TGTGTACTTTACGCTAAGAGGGTATCAGACTAGGTGATATTTTTCACTTGGAAACATGCTTTAAGACAATCAATAGATGTTCTCGTATATTTAGCCCAGCAAGTACAAAATATTTATCAAAACAAAGAGAAGTGACTATCAGGTGTTTCAATCACTTACACCTGAAGCTGTGCCGGTTGTAGCACACTTCCTCAGCGTTGTGCTGACCCCGCTGTGACCTCTAGGGAGGTAATGCAGTCACGTGATGTGTAACGCCACCTGAATGACGTGGCCGTGAATGATACACAACCTACACGTCAAAGTTGGTTACATGGGGGAGACTAGCTGTGACATTGCACAATGAAAAACAACCTCATGGCTCGTTAAATCTATATTTAGAGTACAGTCACTTAAGTCATATCACCTTAAACGCCAATTTGAGTGTTGTCAATAGTTACAATAGATAACGTTAATTAACGTTCAATATGACCTGCTGATTATTTCATTAAAACAACAGAAAGAATTAACCGTTTAAGAATTACTTGGAGTTCACGTGCATGGAGAAGGTTTAATTCGAATAGTCTATTTAACACCTCGTTGCAGGAAGTATGAGATTTAAGGTATATAGATAGCTGTTGTTCACGGTGTATACACGTTGCTAGGAGACTGTAACTACAGGATCTACAGAGGATTATGAAACACGTGAAATCGGCGATGCGTTATATCAACTTGAGAGAAGCCATCCAATTAAGTAGCTGCACATAACGGCGATAACAAAGTTTGGAATTTCATCCTTCCCTTAGTCTGTCACTTTAAACTCTTTCCTATGGCTCGGAAGAAAGAGAATTCAACATGAAGTGTTCATGGTGGGATTCCTGGGCCCACTTGCACAAAGCGATCTTAGCGCTAAGATGATCGTAACTCCCATACTTTAACAAAGGCTTACAATAGTTGTAGCGCTAAGATCGCTTTGTGCAAGTGGGCCCAGGTCAGAAAAGGTCTCCTGTAGAGTATACTCAGACTAACACTTAGTCAATGAAAACATGTCTTTAAAATAATTTTCTGCTTTTTTTTTAATAGACTGTGGAATCAAGCAAACTATATTTGGTTAGTTTGATCTAGAGACCGCCTCCGTGGTCTAGTGGTAGAGCGTCCGCCCGGAGAGCGGAAGGTCCGGGGTTCGATCCCCGACCGCGTCATACCAATATACGTTAAAAGATGGTATTTGTTGTTACCCTGTCTGGCGCTCGGCATTAAGGGGCTAAAACAAGGACTGGTCGGCTCGGAGTCAGTATACTGTGTCTGAGTGGAGTATTCATGTGAAACTGCGGCATGGTATCTCATTATGCTAGCACTATTAATCGGCATCAGTTCGGACTAGTACAAGCAGCCACACAAACACACACACGTACATGCACGTCACTATATATAAGTGCAATAATCTTGGACGCGGCGTTAAACCCCATTTCACTTCACCTAGTTTGATCTAGACTTGCCTAAGCTTTTAGTATAAAAAAAATACCTAAAAAATAAAAATTCCACAGTCATGGTGCAGGCCTAGAGTATGCTATATAAGCTTATCGTTATGGAGCCAGATCGGATGGCACGTCATAGTATATCCCGATGGCTATATATATTTCTCTGACTGACCTTCTCTTGACTCGATCATTTACAGACTGCCCTGGTATGTCTGGCGTTCATATATGTATGTATTATCAACACTCTTTCGCTAAAACAAGTGGTATAGCTCTCGTATTAATGTGTTTTTGAAAATGTGTCATAAAATGAAAGAATCCAGTGTTCATTAACTTCTTTTGAGTAGCATATTTTGCGTGTCTAACTTGAAGTCTAATTGATATGACCAGCAAGGCATATAACCTTGATTACATAATTCCAGGTGTTCGACAGAGAGGGGTTCACGACATATGGCATTTGTGGTGGTGGTTGTAGGTCGGGAGGGGGGTGGGGGTGAGGAGTGTGTGTGTGTGTGTAAGGGGTGGGTGTGGGGGGGGGGGGGGGGGGGGGGGGGGGGGACGCACTCGCCGACGTAGTTATATATCATTGCGTCGCCATTGTCGTGCATGGTTACCCTTTTAAACACTTCGCCAACAATGTCCCAATTATGTTCTGAAGTCCAACTGAATTATATATTCTGTCTGCTGGCCATATGTCGCGGATGAATCGCATCCACTATGAGTGAAGAAGACATCCGGTGTTACTGTATCTGGGGCGTAACACGCGTGTGTTAAACCAGCCATGTACGTGTCTCGCTCGAATTTCTATAGAAAAGACAAATATTGGGATTGTGAGACTCTGGCTAGTTGACATAATGGCTGATTGGGCATACAACGATTCAGGGGTGACTCTCTTAATGTAGGTCGGGGGTGAAGGTAAAAGTTCCAGCCGTATCTGTACTGAGAGTTTATGTTGAGTGGAAGAGTTGACAACAGAAAACAATCAGTGATTACCACGATATAAATATATTACTGTCGTTCGTATGGATCAGAGTGAGGGCTTCAATTCAAGAGGTACGTAAGTCTACATCTCGACGAAGACCTGTTCCTGCTATATATCCAGCCCGAATGTGTCGATGTTAAGTCCGAGCTTAGCTTTTTTTTTATCATAAATGCAACTGTGCAAGTAATTTCTCGCGATTATATCTTATTCAATTATACACTAGTAACATAAGCCTTAACTGCATGCCAAAGTAAAATTAATTTATAACTATGATAGATGTATATGTCTACTATAATATAAGTGCGGCGATAATTTGAATTCAATCTATAGAATATATACGCAAAAGAGGCAAGGATAAAAGAAAACTATGCATGCAAAAGGTTATAGTGTTCTTTAAAGAGTTCTCCTGTGGTGATGTCTGGACAGGATAGGATTCCCACACTGAACCTCATAATGGTCGTAGGGGGCACGGGTGGCCCAGTCGTCTAAGGCGCCGCGATTCGCTGTGCAGAGTTGCGTCCCTTGGACACGCCAGAAACCTATGATTGTGGGTTCGAATCCCGGTTCGCCCCGATTATGTATCTAGGTTTGTCAGCACCATACCCGTGCTCGTGGGTTTCACCGAAGTGGTTAACGTCTGAGACCTGCATCACTTTGGGCTTTCCTCCCACATTAAGCTGACACGCCGCGATATAACTCGAATACTGTTAAAAAGCGGCGTTACACCCAACTCACGCACTCACTCATAATGGTCGTCAGCGCCAAACAACGAGGATGGGTGGTTACAATATGTGACCTGGCTGAATGTCCCTCGTTGTACCACGTCGGCGTGGATATTGGCTCATACTGTCAACCACTGGTTTACCTGACCCATTATTATGATCTTCATTCCTCCATAGGAGATCTCGAGTTACAACTATTAATAGCACACACACGTTAATACATTTGAAATGTAAGGAGTAAAAAAGTTTCATCTTTCATTACATGGTGCTATGCTTGTCGTAAGAGGCGACTAACGGGATCAGGTTGTCAGGCTCGCTGACTTGAATGATGCATGTCATCGTATCCCAATTGCGTGGATCGATGCTCATGATGTCAATCGCTGGATTGTCTGGTCCAGACTCGATTTTTTACAGACATGTAGCTGGAATATTGCTGAGTGCGGCGTTAAACAACAAACAAATAAACATTATATAGTGTCAGGCACAACATCAATGCGCTCGTTCTAGAAAGTCATAGTTTGTGATCTGGGATCTTTTCTTCCTCACATATCCCTGGCAAACACTAAAACAAACCAGTTCGTCCCAGCATCTCGACCCCACGTGACCCGAGAACACCTGCAATGGTCAGAACTTATCCCACGTGGATCACGTGATTTGTAACTTATCGGACAAAGGAAATCTGCACCATTGACAATGGCCACGCGAATATTTGGGTGAATCGGACATCCCATGTTATCATATCATGATAATCGAAACTATTTATATCAAATGATAAATGCACCACACACAGATTAATGTCAAGGAATTATAAATATCATTGGCAAAGTCAAGGAATCTAAAATTTTACAGATTTGCATCGTAGATAGGTCTGGTTGTGTCACATATGCCAATGCCATTTATGCAATGTCATTCTGGCAATGAAGACACATGCACGTACGTAGTTAATCACACAATACATACATGTCTATAGTTGTATATGACTCAGCTGATAGTGTGACGACGATGTCACCTGATGTGGCGCGGCGCGACCAGTTGACTGCGTATAATCATATAACTGTTCGCTATTGGAGCAAAAACTATTCACCTGTACAAAGACATGGGTTACCTAGTATGTCATCAACGCGGAAGTATGTGTCATATTTCACGTGATGATTCAATTAAATTGGTTCATGTAAATTAAGCAAAATATGTTAAGTTCCCTGTTAATTCGTTTACACAGTACTTGGACAAGTAAGATATTCAGTCGATATATACATTATTTAAACATTTTGTTAAACAAATTAATATCAGTAGATTCTAAACAAAATTAGTATATTCTTCGCAAAGTCAAAATATTACATAAATATGATTAACAGAGCAACTTTCCACAGCTGACGCTAAACAAATAGGTCAAAGCAAGCCTTGAAATCGATATAGCCAACTCAAACAAGTGACGTAGCTGGAGAGAATAACGTGGTTACTATTTTTGGTTCATGTAAGTATATAGACAATATTAAACCTACTTATTAGCCAATAAGATAGAACGTGCATGAACTCAGAGTCCTCAACTTTGACCTTGCATCTAATTACGAGATTAACCAATCATTTTTCCGACAAAGCCTTAACCCTTTTCTACAGTCCGTTTCGCAATCTTTTCAATTATTGATTTGGTTAAAAGGAACTTTACTTTTTCCACTATATGATGTACATCTGTAATTGAATTTGTATTTAACAAACACAAGTATAAAATCATTGGTACCACGTACGTTGTTTTGCCCTAAAACAAATTGTAGTTATTGCAGTTAGAAAAGGCTATAAATAAACATATGACCTTTGACCGTAGTCACATGATCAGCTGATCCGCTCATTTCAATATGGAGGCTTTTGCCGGGCAGTCTGACAGATCAGACCATGCCATGGTAGCTAAGGCCTAATACGTAGATGTTTTGTGTCCGGAAGTAATAACATATTCCATGAATTAGACATCATGTAATCGTCTGCTCCTGTTTCTTTTACTTCTATGGGCTGTGGTAAGTTATGATAGCTTTATTTTATTGAGACGCCATGCGACGTTTCGCGGAAATTATGTTGTCTGTCAAATTGAGACATGTAGATCTTTTACACATTTACCGTTACATCTTTATATACGGTAAATGTTTATATTTATGCTTGATACATGTACTTCGATATTAAAATTGACTCTCTTAATGTAAGGGATCCAAGTAAGACTAGGCGATAATTTAATGTCACTGACTCGACACATTTTTGTAAGCAGCGAGGCATATTCACTCGTGGTCAATAACCCCTGATTTGGATACTTGTATTCATTCTACGTCACTATTTACTGTCATAATGTGACAATTTTACATCAAACAGTAATTTACATGTCTATTTCTGTAAAGGAACGGGTGTAAGTTCATTTGTATACATTGTTAACGGATTTCAAAACTCATGTGAAGGAATGAACAAAGAAAGTGCAAAGGTCACTCGTGTCTTGATTTCAAGACAGTGGTCATGTTTATATTGTGCCTTTGTGCCTTTGTGGTTCACTCGTCACGTAGTGGTCGGCAGAATAGGATACACATAGACATCCTATACATGATTTTGGCGTAGGCATCAATAGTTATAAAGCAATAATGGTATTAACTAAAACCACAATGATACATGACATTTGTAGTTTTGATCATTTCTGTCATATGCAACTACAGTAATAATGGGTACTGTGAACTTTTCTATGCTCAGAATGCTGTCCTAACATTATTTGATCAGTGTAATCCTTTAGTATTAATACCATGTGAACATTTACAGGACATATAATATAATCATTTTCAGACTTGTTTTTGAAGATGTTAACCATGTTAACATAATTATATTAACCACTTGTTGACCATCTAAAATGTGGGCCTTAGAATGGGTATGTTGGATTTTGCATACTGATAAGAATATTTCATGATGTATAAGATATATGTCATATTAATGCCTGCATGAGGTATACATTGTCTTTGTTCTAAGCCTTTGAGCATGATGCTGTAAATTGGTAGATTTAGAATACATTGAAATTTGTATTTTAAGGCTTTTTTTTTGACAATGTACATATGAATTAAGTGCTATTCTTTATTTCAGTGTGTGAACTTCATCGTCTGTCCTGTGTGAATAAATAACTACAGAATGAGTCTTGGTTTTGTTGGCCGACTTTTCTCTGGAATCAAAGGGTATTACAATGAAATCAATGGTGCTACACTGACTGGTGCAATTGATGTCCTAATAGTAGAGCAAGAAGATGGAACTTATTTGTCATCACCATTCCATGTTCGCTTTGGGAAGATGGGTGTTCTGCGGTCAAGAGAGAAAGTGGTAAGGCAAATCATTGAAAAGGATACACATACCTGGAGTGTTGATACCATTTGTTCTTGTGATTATTACAGTAATTAGAGAGAGGTATAAAGTATGATGTATATAGGAAGTATGATGTATATAGGTATATAGTATGATGCAGTTTGCATACAAAAAGATTTCTTTGAGTAAATCTATATATGCTATTGCTAAGCATACTAAGTGCCATTATAACATACCCACTTTTCTTAAGTTAAATATGCTGATATTTCTTACAACAGTAGTATTTCTAACTGTATGTTCAGTCAAATTGTCTTTATAATTATATCATCATGATAAATACATTTGGATTATCAGATGATTTTAAATTATGATATTTCATATACAAAATAATATAAAAGCATTGTTTGGAACAGGTTGATATTGAGATCAATGGTGAAGTGGTTGACCTACACATGAAACTTGGGGAGGCAGGAGAGGCATTCTTTGTACAGCAAGTCTGTGAGCCGTCAGAGGTAAGAGAAATACAATGGTTTCTTGTTATATTTTATCATGGTTATAACAATATAAACTGTAAACATTCTAACCATGCAAAAGTCTACATTGTATTTTTTAGTAGTATTGCAGCCCAACACCCAAAGCGTTGATATTCACTCATTTGTAAAACATGATACTTTGCTTGTGAAGTAGCATTGTGTTATGTATTCAGATTGTGATATAACACTATTACAGAGTAAAACTAGTTGAATTTTATTGCAGAATTACTTTCACCTGTCAAACTTTAAATTTATTTCAAGATGACACCAATTTGACTCTGTGACTATGTTACCACTCTCTTGTAGGAGTTCCCTGAGTATCTGGCAACATCACCGATTCCCTCCTCCATGGCACTTATGATGGGCGGTGTAGAGGGCTTGAAGCTTCAGGCACAACAGTCCGATGAAGCCAAGGTCACCGAGTGGCAGCAGAGGTCATTACATGGAGCCATTCCTGAAAACACAGAGGACGAGGCGTCCCTCATTCACACAATATCATTGAAAGACCTCAAGTCTGATAGCTCACATGATGAATTGTCGTCGTCAAGCAAACAGAGGCGGAAAGTGTACACAAAGAAGAAACAAAAGTCAGGTAAATGCTCTCCAAGAACTCATCTAACTGGATCAGACCAAGACGGTGTTTTCGAGATGGACACGTCTGAGTCCTCAGATGAAGAGCTGAAGAAACTGTCTGTCATGTCAAAGAGCCTCAGTATGCCATTACCCCAGTCAGCAGAAGACAAGCCCCACATCAAGAGCTGGAGGAAGAGTTCGACTATTGAGGCATTTATGCATCCCTTGAGTGAGCCGGAGATGGACCCTTTGGATGCTGGCAGGTGAGCTGATGTGCTGTGTATCAACTGGACAACAGGGTATACTTGCACAAAGCGATTGTTTTGGGTTTTTTTTATTTTTATTTTTTTATCTCCTGTACTCCAACATAGATAGTCAGTCACTAAGATCGTTTGTGCAAGTAGGCCCAGAACCATAGTGTATTAGAAAGAACTGGCTCACTAGCCTATGAGTAGAACTACTATTTACAGCATGTCAGAACAAGAAACTGGCTTTAATAACAGTCGGGTCCTCTTTTATTTCTGCTTGTCATGGCCTCAAGCACTCTCCTACCCAGAGTTCCATGCGGCCGGCAGCCAGCTAGCATAGTACCTCTGCCACAGGCCAGCGCCATGTGACGATTCGTCACATCTTTCACAGTCCATTCAAGATATTGCATATGCTTTTCATCCGTTTCATGTTTGACAAGTTTACACATTTTCATAAACTGGTTAACTTTCATTGAGAAAGTATGCAAATACGTAAAAATCTACTTGTTTTTGCGTAGTTATCCTATGTTTACATTGGTTGTACGGCTCCACGTGCTGTCATCGAAGCCCAACGGAGAGCTAGCGACACGGTCACTTTGATGCATAAATATATATTGTCATGCAACTCACTGTCGCAGTTGTAGTAGCATATCTATATAGTTATGCAAAACAATATGTGAAGCGCCCCCAAATACTTGCATTAGTCTGTTCTATACTGATTTCTGAAAAAGCGCGTTTGTTTACAAACAAGAGAAAAGTCCGGTCACGTGATACGCAAATAAGCCTTTGGCAGTGGTGTTATGCTGAGTCACCACTGCGACGGAGTGTGGGCCTCAAGGTCTAGGTGTTTTTTTTACTTCGGTGGGACTATTAGATGAGTTTGCAATAGAATGTTCCCATGGAACGTATTTCAATTATAGAAGTTTGTGTTGCTATCTATCATGTATTAGTCTATGTATCATGTACCAGTCTATATGTCACGTACAGGTATTAACGCTTGATCAAGTTTTGCTTGTGATTAGTTTAAATGTAACTAAAGGCTGATGAGAATTTGCTGGTTACAATGTTGGAGTGTTGGTCATGCATGGAGTGTTGCTCATGCTATCAAACACCGGTTTGTCTTCATAATGTTAGTGGGGCAAAGGTGGCCCAGTGGTCTAAGGTGCCGTGATTCGCTGTGCAGAGTTGCATCCCTTGGGCATGCCAGAAACCTATGGTTGTATGTTCGAATCCTGGTTCGCGCCAATTATGTTTCTAGGTTTGTCAGCACCATACCCGTGCTCGTGGGTTTCACCATAGTTGTAAACATCTGAGTCTGAGACCTGCATCACTTCGGGCTTTCCTCCCACATTAAGCTGACACGCCGCGATATCACTGAAATACTGTTAAAAGCAGCGTTAAACCCAACTCACTCACTCATAATGTTATTTTATTATATAGCTGAAATATTGCAGCATAAAACAACATTCCCTACATGCAATCAGTTTTCTTAAGTGATGATCTTTTTTGAGTTGGTGTGTTGTCTGACCCGTGGTTTGAACGTAAATCCATCTTTGATGTTTTCCCAGCCCACTTCCATCCCGCTGCCCGAGCCCCAAGAGTGACACTGAGGTTGATCTTCAGCGTGTGGAGGACTCGCAGCGTTCGCTGCTGATGGAAGATAGCGGCACCTGGGAGTGGGGAGCCTTTCCTACACCCCCACCATCTGAGATGAAGGTCCCAGAAATAGACCATCAGGTTAAAGAGGACGAGGGTGAGTGTGAGGTGAAAACCATCTGTAGTTTACACTAGTAACTTCATCATTAATTATTAATGATAAACAGGATTCAAGATTAGCTGAGGGCATGGTGAGGTTTTTTTTAATATATATTTTGTTACTATGTTGCTATTGTGTCTTGCCAAGTCAATTATATATATATTTATTATATAAGTATGTTGACTTATTTTTAAAATAAGAGGTGTAAATTGCTGATTAATGTCAGAACTTTACCTGGTGACAATATTAATTGTTTCACATTATCAAGTGATGCGAGAATGTTTTTTAGAAACCACTGTGGTGAATGAAAAATAGGATTCTCAGATAGCAAGCATTAGAATTGCCACAAGAATATGGAACCCATGATAATAGTAATTATAAGAACTAGTTCTTATGTTTTGTTACCATGGTTACAGGCTCTAAGCAACAGGCTGGTGGTCTGTTCAAGTTATGGAAAAAGACGCCAGACAAGGACATCAAGAGAGAGACAAAGGAGATCTACCTGGATGAACTGACTTTAGAAGACCCAGAGATGGCCAAAATATACCTTGGTACTCCTAAAGGGTAGGTGCTCGGATGAATGGCTGCAATGTGGGGGACTGGTTAGGTGCTGGTTATATGTTCCCAGGGGACATAGTGCGGTGCAGAGGATGAAGCCGCTACATTTTTCTAGGCTGTATTGCATCTCTTATTCGCTTTGAATTCTCCTGCAGACTCTCCAAGATAACAATCCTTGGGTTTTCAGCACCATAGCCATGCTTATGTCTTTTACCTCAGTGCTAAATACCTTCAACATAAGCCTTGATTTCAAATTGACTACTTGATTCCTGTTGATTCCTGTTGATTCCTAGTTTTTGTGAATCCTATTTTGTATGAATAAATGGCAACTTCCATGAAGCGTGTGATTCTTTTTGACACCTATTTGACCCTACTTTACAACATACATCAGCATCACCCATATTAAGCTATCATATAACTGAAATACTGTTCACTCACAGTCACACATAAGACTTGGTGAAACACAGCAGTGTGAACATTCTATTGTAAGGGGACTTTTCTGAGCTGTGAATTAAGTGTACTTTTGTCTTCACTATTTGTTAGTTTGGACATTCTGAAGGTGGTCACGTTGACTTGATTACAGGTTCCAGTCAATCAAGGAGAAAGAAGATGACACAGAATCTGGCCGGGGCCCCTCCCTCCCACAATCTCCCCATTCTGTAGAAGGAGCCATTGGTGGGCCATCCGTGAGCTTCCTGCAGTCTGAGGTTCGCCATCTTGGCCGCGTGTCACTGTCGCTCTGTGGTGGCCTTGGTGACCCTGATGGTGTCAACCTTGACAAGTTCATGCAGAAGGTTGTGACCTTTGACGACCTCAGTGATAGCCCAAATATGATAACGAACCCCGACTTGGTTGTCAAGGTAGATGATGGGTAAGTGCCATTTTGAGATGAGTTTGGTTAATAGAATATTAACGTCGAGTACCCTATTTTCAAACGACACCTATTTTTGAACAGCCATATTGAAAGTGATTTTTCTGCATTATAACGAGAGGTATGACGTCATCAAGGCTGCAGCCTTGAGAGTTCACCCGATTGGCCTGTCAACATTGGGTTCATGTGAAGTACCTGTCAGAACATTTCGTCGTCATTCAGAATTTTGGTCCCTGTGTCATGATGAAAAGGAAGAGTGAAATAATGTGAACACTATAATTTGACAAGTATTCATATTTTGTGAATAGGTTTCAAACTTTCAATCACTGTTTGAGTTTAAAAGCCGACCTGCAAGAATTATGTTGAGAACTGTGCGTCGAAACGTATCTATTCATTCGTGAAAAACTGCTGAAGTACGAAACCAATCAGGTGTTCGAAAATAGGTGACATCACTCGAGTGCAGCGGAAGTTTACAGATGAGACAATGTAGGTCAAGAACTTTCTTTTTCTTTCGGAAATAGCTGAATTCTATTGTGGAAGACATCACCCACTGTTATAAAGCAGAATTGAGTTTTGATTCCATCATCCCTCGAAATATCAGCAATGCCATCTTAACTGTTTGAAAATAGGGTACATTAGGACATATCATGGTTCCATTGAGATTAATCACTACACAATAAAAAGTGTCTTGATTCTACTCAAGCAGTTTATAAAAAGGCCTTTCTCAAAGCTTCTTGTTTGTAGAGATCATTGTGAACATAGCTTTTCTGCATGACCTCCCAGCTGATGTAACCATGGTTATTGGGTATATTTCCAGGTATTTCAACTGGGCAACCGCCTCACCGATGATTCTATCACAGATCGTCTTCCGACAAGATCTCCCAGAGGTACTTGCTTCCATCACCTTCTTAAGATCACTGTAGATAACTACATTTATTATGAATATTTTTGTGTGACATTAGATGAGCAATTGACAAAACTGAAAATATAGTCTATGGATGTGTTGAACATTAGTTAAATGATGTTTATTACAATTACATAATTGATATAGCTTTGTATGCATTTGGGGGGCACGGGTGGCCCAGTCGTCTAAGGCGCTGCGATTCGCTGTGCAGAGTTGCGTCCCTTGGGCACGCCAGAAACCTATGATTGTGGGTTCGAATCCCGGTTCACCCCGATTATGTTTCTAGGTTTGTCAGCACCATACCCGTGCTCGTGGGTTTCACCGAAGTGGTAAACGTCTGAGACCTGCATCATTTCGGGCTTTCCTCCCACATTAAGCTGACACGCCGTGATATAACTGGAACACTGTTAAGAGCGGCGTTAAACCAAACTCACTCACTCACACTTATATGCATTTGTGTTTCACAACCAGAGCAAACTGCAGAATGGTTTCACATGCACCCGGATACAATGTATCACAAATTGTTTTACAAATACATATACTGCGACTGGGAATTAAATCTCATCAGTTTATTTGTCACTTTATTTGGATTATCATGCTTTTTAGGGAAATTCTCAATGATGGGAGCCAAGGGACATCCCGCTCTACATTGACACATTATAGATAGATCACTGTACATGATATATATTTGTCATGTCATGAATAAGTATAGTCTTTAACTCTGTTGAGTTGTATATAATATTGACTTTATTCTACAAGAAGAGGCATATTTAATGTATATCTGATAATATTGCATGCATAATGCAAATGAAGTGACTGCATATTATTTTGTGCACTTTATGTTTGAACACATGATGAAGGAACACATCATGAAGGTGTGTATATTCATATGTGTATGTGAAGGGCTGTATACCGGTATGTTTGTTTGTTGTTTAACACTGCACTCAGCAATAGTCCAGCTATATGACGGCGGTCTGTGTAAATAATCGAGTCTGGACCAGACAATCCAGTGATTGATATCATGAGCATCGATCCATGCAATTGGGATCGATGACATGCATCAACCAAGACAGCAAGTCTGACCACCCGATCCTGTTAGTTGCCTCTTACGACAAGCATAGTCGCCTTTTACCAGCAAGCATGAGTTTTTGAAGACCTATTCTACTCCGGATTTTCGTATACCGGTATGTGGTACCGTGTGTATGATATATTAATTAGTTGTGTATGTAATATTGTCTTGTTCCAGAGTACAAGTCAGTCACTGATCAAAGAGCACATGCCCAAGAAGGAGAAGAAGAAGGGCTACTCTTGGTTCTCGTGGCGCCGTGGTGAGAATGCTGTACCCCCCTCGTCTGCTTCCAGTGCTTCAGAGCTCAACATAGACACATCCTCCAACAAGTCGGTGAGTACTCTCTCTACACCTGCATACATGTGCTAACATATTTGTGACTGCCAAGAAGCCAAGAAATGTTGTCAGGGTTCATTTGAGGTGAATTGTGTTTAAATATTCTTGAAATATAGGCTTTCTGGATTTAAGTAAGCTAAAAGATGCTTAAAAAATGTCATGTTTTCTTTCAAACACAACATGTTCTATTTCATCTTTCTGCAAAATAAATGGGTGGCTCAGTCGTCTAAGGCACCGCAAAGTTGCATCCCTGGGGCATGCCAGAAACCTATGATCGTGGGTTTGAATTATTCTCCCCGATTATGTTTCTATGTTTGTCAGCACCAAGCCCATGTTCTTTGGCTCCACCAAAATGGTAAATGTCTAAGACCTTCCTCATCAAGCTGACATACCATGATATTTCTGGAATACTGTTCAAAGCTGTGTTAAACCCAACTCACTATAGTGATTTTAATATACTGTGTGTGTATTGCAAGTTGATAGGTACTGTTAATGATTACCTCTGTTACTATGGTTACAGGTCCTGAAAGTGTACAGGCCTTCACTCGCAGATTGTTTTTGGTTTCAAATACTGCTTCATATCACCAAAAAAAGCCTCTCGATTGGAAAAGCAAGCCCCTTATTTTTGCTTGAATCAGAAAATGAACATATGAATTGTGAGTTTTGATGGGAGGGTGCAACATTGTTGACTATGTAGAATGTAAGTGAGGTGCTTGTTCTTTGAATGTAGTTGTGTGTTTTGTCAGAACCTGAGTGACGTGGGCAGCCCCCCTACAAGCCCCCCTCCCAGTGTGACCAGCACTCCACGCAAGGTTAAGAAGGACAGCAATGCTGAAGGGTAGGTTCAATATCACATCAGTGTCTTATCTTTGTAACATCGGGGCGGTCGGGTAGCCTAGTGGTTAAAGCGTTCGCTCGTCAAGCCGAAGACCCGGATATGTTGGTCTAAAGAGGCCACCAAATGGATTGGGTGGTCAGGCTTGGTGACGTGGTTCATGGCATGTTGGCATACCCCGTCGGCGTGGATCAGTGTTCACAATATCAGTCACTGAATTGTCTGATCCAGACTTCATTTTTTTACAGGCCAGCGCCTTATAGCTGTCATGAGTATGATGTTAACAGTTAAACAACAAAGCTATCATCCATGAACTGCTGTTCTGGCAGATATAGTGCTGATTGAATCTTTCAATGTTGCATGTTTGTAGGGATATTGCGGTGTTTAAATATGCAAATTGCCATCTTTCCGTGAAAATATTTCCCATTTCTTAGCAATATGGTTGACGAGGCATTATTTTTTATACATTCCTGAAACTTTTCATTTTCCTGACCCATCATTAACAAGATAAGATTATGACTCAACTTCTATTGTCATCAACTCTGTGACTGCAGTCTAGAAGAGCACCACACCTCCAGTGAAGCAGACACAGACCAGTCAGAGAAGGATAGCATCGGCAGTCCAAAGACAAGTATGGTCGAACCCAGCAGTGCCAAGACTAGTATTGTCGAAACTAGCAATACCAAGACTAGTATTGTTGAAGCTGGCAGTCCCAAGACTAGTATTGTTGAAGCTGGCAGTCCCAAAACTAGTATTGTTGAAGCTGGCAGTCCCAAAACTAGTATTGTTGAAGCTGGCAGTCCCAAGAGTCTGTCCCCAGGTAGTCCACGGTCAGGCAGTGTCAGTCCCAGCTCCCGTGCCAGCAGTGTCAAGAGTGACCACAGCGGTCACAGTGTCAAGAGTGACAGTGCTTTCAGCTTGAGTGCCAAGAGTGATGTGGTGGTCAGTGCCAAGATTGAGGAACAAGCTGCCAAGAATGAAGCCAAATCTGATGATGAGGATTCTTTGAAACCTGATAAATTCAAGAAGACTCTCCGGCTTTCATCAGAGCAGATTGTAAGTACATGTTATTGTTCTGTACAGGCATGATGAAGATTAAATGTGTTTGAATATTTGTAATAATAATAACTTTACTTTAATGTAATGTAAACTTTCGCTTGTGTGTGGGGACATGAGTGTCCCTGCAATTTAATCAGTAGAGTTGCTTCCCTTAGCCAAGCCAGCATTCGTTGATTGTGACTTGAGACCCAGATTCAGCCTGGTCATGAAACTTTATCTCTCAACACCATACTTATGATCACCCAACTCACTTCACTTTAGATCCGTGAAGATCCAGGCTAGAATAGGTCTTCAGCAACCCATGCTTGCCGTGAAATGCGACTATGCTTGTCGTAAGAGGCGACTAACGGGATCGGGTGGTCAGACTCGCTGTCTTGGTTGTTGCATGTTATCGATCCCAATTGCATGGATCGATGCTCATGATATCAATCACTGGATTGTCTGATCCAGACTCGATTACTTACAGACCGCCTCCATATAGCTGTAATATTGTTGAGTGCGGTGTTAAGTAACAAACAAACAAACTTTATATATTGAAGGCTCCCGTAGCACCGCAATGCGCTGTGCAAATTTGCATCCCTAAGGCGTAATGGCACCCTAGGACCATGGGTCTAATAAACAGTTATCCCGAAAAATGATTCTTGGTTTGTCAGCACCATACCTGTGCTCATGGATTTCACCAAATTGATAAACGTCTGAGACCTGCACCACTGCAGGCTTTCCTCGTACATTGAGTTGACACACCATGATAGGACTGAAATACTGTTCAAAGCGACGTTACTGTTACATTTCTGTCCGTCCATACATTTATAAATTTTGTTTTACACCTAGCTAGATCATACAGATTTAACTATCATTTTGCCATATTTTTAATCTGACGTCTTTGTCATTGCCAGGCCAAGCTGAAATTGAAGGAAGGCCAGAATGAAATATCCTTCTCTGTCACAACACAGTACCAAGGCACAACACGCTGTACGTCTCACATCTATCTGTGGAAATACAGCGACCACATTGTGGTGTCCGATATCGACGGAACTATAACTAAGTAAGATCGATATACATTTTATTATTAGTTCTGTTGTTGCACACCAAATGACATTTAGAAAGTTCTCAAATGTAACAAATGTTATCAGCGATCAAACCCACTCAACCACTGAGGCTGAAATGAAAGTCTGATAACTGGTAGTCTAGATCACGTCTAGATCGCTGACTTTGTGTGTTGGCAATTAGGTGCCCGGACGGGACTCAACCCAAAATAGTACTAGAATCTGTACTGAGAAAGTGTTATCCCAGATATAACATTTGTTACATTTGACCACTTTCTAAATGGCATTGTTCTGTTGTTATTAATAAACTCCTCGAGGGGATCCCAGTCACTATGGGGGCACGGGTGGCCCAGTCGTCTAAGGCGCCGCGTCCCTTGGGCACGCCAGAAACCTATGATTGTGGGTTCGAATCCCGGTTTGCCCCGATTATGTTTCTAGGTTTGTAAGCACCATACCCGTGCTCGTGGGTTTCACCAAAGTGGTAAACATCTGAGACCTGCATCACTTCGGGCTTTCCTCCCACATTAAGCTGACACGCTGTGATATAACTGGAATACTGTTAAAAGCGGCGTTAAACCCAACTCACTCACTCACTCCCAGTCACTATAGGTCCCCAGTACCCCAGTCCACATTGGCTGTGGAATATGTGGTAATGGTTGGTTAAAATATCCGATTATTCCAATTGGACATAATCAGATGGCACTACATTGAGGTCAATAAAAATATCAATACCTGACATCAATCACTTTCGATAGTTGGATAGATGTAACAAGATGCATGAAATGTAAGAAAGCACAGATACCCAACACATCTAACTATACATTAATAATTTACCTTATATACAACAAAGCAACAAAATGGATATGGTTATACACCCAAATACTGAATGTAATGACAATTTTGTTGAATAAGGGGGCAATCTAGGGCTGGGACGAGTCCAAATTTACTACCTGGGTACCCACACACTTATTACCCGACCCTACCCGAGTACCTGCTGTTGGTGTCAAGAGATAGGTACAAAATGTCCGATTGGGAATAGTTTGACAGTGGCCCTGGCAGAATGTATTTAGATACACGTAGAAAACGATGTGGTCATGCATACACTAAAGTTGACTCAAGTTTTAGCTTTGTTCAAACATATATAAGTCAGAAGGAATGTGTTCATAGTCATGAAGAAATGCGAACATTAGAGACTTAAAATTGTCGTGTAACCATGTAGTTATATAGTGAATTTTTGTCATGAAACAATATATCACGTGACTAACCATGGGTTCGGGTAGTCCTGTGGGTACCCGGGTCCTACTCAGTACCCACCCGACCTGAGTTACCCGTCCTGAGTATCTCATAAGTTGGTCTTAGCTACCAGACGCAGACATAATGTGTATGTGAAATGGCCTACTGCCTCTTGTATGCAAGACGGGTGCAGTCTGCAGTACTCAGTAAGGTGCTTGACACGCATTATAAATTCAATCATAGTGATAGATCTAATCATGTACGACCCCAGCTAGTGTAGTTAAGGTGTCCCCTAAAACCCCCCAAGTGTGATAATTATTGTCTATCGTAATCGACCAAGTGACTTTCCTGATCTTGGATTTGCCAGCTTTGCCCATAAAAGAAAGCACCTTGTAATCTGCAAGCCGTAAAGTTTACATATTTATTCGATCTAACAAAAGTATGGTTACTCTTTGTTTAGAATAATAGTAAAAAAAATGCTCTAACTTAACCCGGGTCAGGTAGCCTAGTGGTTGAAGCGTTTGCTCGACATGCCGAAGACGCAGGTTCGATTCCCAACATGGGTACAATGTGTGAAGCACATTTCTGGTGTCCCCCGCCATGATATTGCTGGAATATTGCTAAAAGTGGCGTAAAACCATACTCACTCACTCACTCTTACTTAACCCATGCAATACTGTCTAGACTTGACGTTATGGCTACCAAGTATTACCTGTTGCCCTCAGTCTCTGATGTTCACATTTTTCTTGACAATTCAATGTCATCTGTAAAATTAAGTCCTGTCATTAGCTGTTTATGATGTGTAGACAGACCCTCAAATCTATGAAGCCATACCATTTACAGACTTCTTACATCATCCCAGCTGTTACCTGTCATTGTTTCATGATCTCTTCCCAAGCATATCAGATTCTTCTGTTTCCTGACAGACATTTAGATGACACCAACATGTTTGATTACAGGTCTGATGTCCTGGGTCAGATACTGCCCATTATAGGGAGAGACTGGTCACAGTCCGGCGTTGCATCCCTCTTCACAAGGATACATAAGAATGGCTACAAGTTTCTGTACCTCTCTGCACGAGCTATAGGCCAGTCCCGTATCACCAAGGACCTGCTGAGAGGCATCAAGCAGGGGGAGCTGGTGCTTCCTGAAGGGCCTCTGCTGCTCAACCCTACATCTCTCATCAGTGCTTTCCATAGGTCAGTATGTTTGGGGCACCTTCAAGAATTTTTCAAATTCTAAAATCTCTCTCTATAAAGCATTGTGGGTTAACAACACCCTCGATGCCCTTGCGTCAGTAAAGAATAGTCACCTTTGAAGATGTTGAAAACACTCAGGTACTGCAAGATGAAATTTTGTTTGTTTGTTTATTTGTTTGTTTGTTTATTTGTTTGTTTGTTTAATGCTGGTAGTAAATGGCTTTTTGATGGGTGTCTGTAAATAATTAAATCAAGTCAAGTCATGAATCATGCACTCACACACTCACACTCATGCTTGCACACACGACTGTACCAATACTGTTGATAGTCATTGTTTGCATGAGAAGGAATTGTTTAGCCCTGTATTTCCTCAATCTTGTATGTGTTTGTTGTAGGGAGGTGATCACCAAGAAGCCAGAAGAGTTCAAGATCAGCTGTTTGAAGGACATTAATGCCCTGTTCACTCGAAGTCCTTTCTATGCTGGGTTTGGCAACAAGATCAATGTAAGCTGATATATGATATTGTCACATGGTCATGATCACATTTGAGATGCACATGATTGTACCTCTACTATATAAAATAGAGATCTTTTCAGCTTAAAATTTTATTTCATTTGTGTGTTCTATGAGTAGTGTAAGAATGTTTGCTGTTTGCTGTCAACTGGACTTGTTCTTCTTTCAGGATGTCTGGGCATACAGAGCTCTCAACATCCCCAACTTCCGTATCTTTACCATCAACCATCGCGGAGAGTTACGCCACGAACTGTCAAACACGTTTCAGTCATCGTAAGTTATTATTCTCAGTTCCTCTGTCCAGCTACACAAATAGCCTCAGATTGTATGTAATGCCTTAAGCTCTTTCTGTCATACCTGTTTATGACTATAAGTAAAAAAAGACTGTCTCCGTGGTCTATTTGATTGAGCATCTGCCCAGAAAGCAAAATGTTGGGGGTGATCCCCTGGCCGCGTCAAACCAAATGACGTTAAAAGATGTTACCCTGCCTCACACTCAGCATTAAGGGGCTGAAACAAGGACTGGTCAGCTCAGTCGGTACAATAGGTCGGATTGGCATGTCCATATTAAACTGCAGCAATGCATCTCAGCGGGCTAGCACTATAACCGGCATAGATCCATACTGGTACAAGCAGCCACACACATATGCATGCATGTTGCTATTTAAGTGCAACAATCTTGAACGCAACAATGTTAAACCCCATTTCACCTCACCTATATATCATGATATATAATAGGACTGAGATTAAGGAACCTTGATTTGTCTGTGCCTGTGTCATTGTTATTTGTTAAAGTTTATATGACATGCTGTTAAGAAATTGACTCTTATAAGTTATTTTTCATATTTTTGTGGTACACAAAGCCAAGGTAATGTTGCTTTAGTTAGTTTTTGTTATCATATTTCAGTTATACCCGTTTGAGTGATGTCGTTGATTACTTCTTCCCCCCTGTGGAGAAGAAGACTCAGGCATGTCTGGAAGAATTCAGCTCTGTGAGTTTCTGGAGGGAACCACTGCCTTCCATTGATCTCGAGCTGATTGATGAAACAAAAGTAGGCAAAGGTGACGGTCGAAAAGTGGAAGCAAAGAAGGAAATCAAGAGATGACCACTTGAGAAAGCACCACTAGCCAGAATGGCCACCCTAGATCAGGTGGACAGCAGGACTCGTCGGTCAGCCAGAGTGTGGACGTTACCACTGCCGTTTATGTCCTAGTGTAATTTATCTTCATCACCTACCCGAGTTTAGTCCCTCGGACATTGTGTAGTCACTTGGTGCTGGTCATCCTGTGTTCTAGAATGAACTCATCGCTTTAGGTCAAGATAAACGGTCACAATGATCCCCATTGTCTCTTTTGAGGAAATAAGGGTGAGATATAGGTAAACCGAGTTTTGTTAAGACACCTCAGGAAGCTCATCGAGGAGAGACAGAGGAAGTGCCTCAGCTCCAGGCTAGCTTCAGGCTATACAAACCTCACTGGGCTCTGCCTTAAAGTCAGTTGAACAAAGAGGAGGTAACTCCCAACATTGTGCAACCAACTACATCCTGATGTCCCTTGATGCAAATCTGAAAAGCCAGGTCACTGAATATTTCCAATACCTTGGCTATCATGCTGACATCCTGAATGTGTTCTTTCACAAATTCTAGTCTTTGATCAGGCATTTACATGGATCGTCAGTGGCAAATTAAGACGTATTCCAGGATATTTACTGATCAAACTGTCTGGTCCAGATTGTTGATATATTGTAGCATTAGGACATGTCACTGCTTGATGTAGAATTGTACACCGTCTATGCAAAGTCACACTTCAAGGCTTGATGGAAACACACTGGACAATCAGTCTACTTGAATATTAGTGACACAATGTTATAGATATGTTGTGAAAGTGATAATGGCATTAACTATAGCTGTATATAGTGTATTCCCAGTGATACAACCTATACCCCCGTGATACAAAATGTGCCAGGCTGTGACAACTAGGCTGTCTCTTCATCTTTCAACAATGATGGGAATGACACCCTTCCCTTAATTAATTACTCATACTAACACACATGGATGATTTACTAATATCACTTTGTAAAATCTTCCATGTTAATCCAGATGGGGGATTCCACCATGACCATTTTTAAAAATGAACTGTTACAAGAGTTACTTCCCTTTATTTGAAGCAGTGGCTGCAACTGTATGAAGCATTCCTATTGGACTGTAGGAGAGTTATCTCCCTTTGCCGGACATATTACCCATATATTCAGTGTGCCCCAGAGTTGAACTAACAGCTGACCAATGTCAATAACAATGCAACCCTGACCAAAACAAAATCTCCAAAGATGACCATCATACCTCATTAGTTATGGTTGGCACTGAAATCTAGTTACCATGGTTACTTACTAAAAAATGAGTGTTGATACCATGACACATGGAGTAACACAACTTAATGATGTAATGACTGCCATGTTTACATTGTAAACTTTGTAAGTCTGTCAGCCCATACGAACAAATAAGTTCAGAAAATGTGACAGCATAATGTCAGCCTAATGAAATCATGCTCTGTATGTTTATGACTTGTATTCATATATGTCAAACAGATGGTTTTTCATATTCAAATCATGATTTTAACTGTCCTAGCCATATTGTACTTACTGTTGAATCTACAATCATTGTTCTTTGTCATAACAAGGAGCACTTAGTGTATGAACATGGAGTATTTGATACACCCAGAGCGACAAGATCGAGAAGCTGTGATGTAATTGGAGTATTGATACGATGAGGCTATAATACTGTATTTTCAGTAACCCGTGTCAAATGTGATATGTTCCATGAGACTGCTCAATGTCTCTCTTAAATGGTACATGGATGATTCAGCATGTCTAAAGCATCCCCTTAAAAACTATCTCCCACGCAGCAGTCAGGGCATGGTAAGACGGTAGTAAGAGTTATCCCCCCTGCAATCAGCATTGTGCTATCTGTGATTGGTGTTACGTCTCATATTGCTCATGCACAAGTCAGCATTTCATCATAGTAGATCTTATTTTTATATACATAAGTATTAGAGGTGTAAAATGTTCCAATAACCAAAGAACTAATAGATGAAGCTGCTGACTGTAGAGATGGTTCCGTGTGATATTGATGTTGATGGAAGCATAGTTAGCTGTATCGGGATGCTACATCTGGGATGATAAGAAGGATAGTAAATATCATGCTTCAGATAAATCACCATCTTCTACTTCATCCTTCTTCATTTCATATTAATTATTTGAAATTACCACTCCTTGTGATAATCGTAATTCAAGAAGCTACTTCATTGGATATTTGGTTAACCATTCACGCATCTCATGATGAAGTAGAAGCGATCATTAGTGAATTAATGCTGCTGCTACTGCTGCTACAATGTCTTGCCAATCTTCTCTCCTGATGTGATACCTTGTCTGATTCATCTGTCTCACGTGGCTGGTACTTCTGTGTACTTATTTAATTCATGCAAAGCAGTACAAGTATTTAATCTTCATCATATTTCAGACTTTCAAGGTAGAATAGGCATACATCTGTGTATGAATCATTGAAGTTTTACTATTGTGTGATCATTACAATTTGCTCCTCAATGATAGGTATTGTGATGGCAGATAATGTGACCTACCCTCAGTGTACATTCAGTGAGAAACAGATGATCTCATTTGTTAACCTTAGGGTTACCCTGGTGAAACTCCATTTTGTCCACATATAGTCTGACCCGTCATTGAGACCCCCCCATGACACCACCACATCATCCAGTGTATATTAGCATCCATCACTTCTATTAATCACACGTTTTTATTTTTATTATACAACCTTGCATTTCTCCTATGGTAGAAATTGACAATATTTTCACCTTCTCTTCTAAGCCTGCTGAGACGAACTTAGCATGTTCAGCAAGAGTATGTTCCTGACAGGATGGTTTTGTATTCCTTAGTCTAATCATATTCACCGCTATATGGAATGGTGTTGTCTAGTGCTATGCTATTACTGTGACGGTTTACGTAGTGTGTGTTTGCTGTTTGTTGATAAATGTGTGTATATGGTGAAACCTCTTTTATCTAGACGACGACTCTGAGTGAATTAGTCTAGAGGAACTAAGTTTCCGATTATTGGGTCAGGGTATGAAGTAGTGTTGCTGTACATATGTAGACTCTCTCGACAAGATTGTCTGGAAGGCGATGTTTCTGGACAAACGAGGTTTCACTATAATGTGATCTGTACATATCGTGTTACTGTATATTAAACTGTCGAGTACACTATCATCTTCATAATACCTACACCTCTGTATTGTGGACAGGACGCCAGGGAGTAGACAGAGGCTGTTTCAGTGCATTTGACTCAAAAATATATTTTACACGTTCTCAAATTGGACTTGGACATTCCTTGATTGTATTTATCGTCTTTGATTCCCCAAAAGATTAGATACTTTCAGAGTCACTGATCAGTTGTTATGGCGCTGTGATATGAGGTGTGCCTGTCCTGTTTGTAGAGGTGTAGGGACATCAGTACGTATGCAGGCTGAGCCTGAGAGCTATCACAGTATTGCAGTTCGGGTAAAATTAGAAAATAATATTTAGAAATGGTGTACATTTCGTGATTACTGACTTGTTGGGAAAGACGACAAAACATGAACATTCTTTATCCTTTCATGACAGCCCAATTGTTTTTTTGTTTTCTGAGTTTACCCTAAACATGCTAAATTTTCTAAATTAAAAATTATATATACAAATTTCAAAAACGTTTTTTTGCTTGTATTTTTTCAATACAAGTTTTAATTTTTCTTCATTTTGGGAAAATTTATGTTGCCACTTGCTACTTTGTTTATTAACCAAGAGAAAAACAAATAAGAAAATATATTGATGTGGCCTAAATGGGAATTCTGTATACCATTTTAGTAATAGTTTGCAAGTATGTGAACTAGCTTGATCATTTAAATGAAGGTCATGGAGTAATCACATTCCTAGGCTCGTGTACCTGCACACGGCGGCTTGTGCACCCTGTGTTGGTGTGCAGTGCTGTGCTCATTGCATGTTGCAGACAGTGCATAATGTCCCCGATTCCTTGGGATGCCGACAGTCTGTGTTCTCCTCTCATCGTGTGTACATGTGATCATCATAAATGTGTTATTGACTATTTTGTTATCAAGTACAACTAGAATTATCTGGTTATGATACTGTTATTTTGTTTCAGCTGATGGTGTATGTTTTATGTACCCACATGAATAAATGAACTATTATGAATTTGGGGTTCTTTTGTTACAATGTGAAAGGAATGATGCAAAGAGATAATTATTGATAAAAGATCCATAAGTGGACTGGATTAAAGCCCCACCCTGACTATAAATAGCCTGCAAGGTGGCGGTGTTCAAATTTTCTGTAGTTTTATCATAGAAAATCGAAACGGTCGTGTTTGACGTCTGCATCCATCACAGTGGGTGGAGTTTATTTAGGGTTGTGCTATAAATAGCAAATCACATGGCCATGTGTATATGTGACACATTCGATGCATTTGTGGAACAGCAGCACAACAACAGTTTCGGTTAATGTATAAACACATGAAGAGTCATCCATAATGTGGAGTACAGGGCTTTAGCATTGTCCTCCAGTAAACATGACATCATAACCTAGGATGAAGTAGAAGCCGTTATGCTGTTTGGATTGTCTGTGGACGCTGAGATTTGAAATAATACACTTGAAGTTTACTTTCCACCATTTTCTTTCCAAAATGTATCGTCATGCATACAGTGAATACTCACAATCTTTCTGTAACAAACATTTGCAATTTATTTGAGTGAGTGAGTTGGGTTTAACACCGCTTTGAACACAGTATTTCCAGTTATATCACAGCGTGTCAGCTTCATGTGGCAGGAAAGCCCGAAGTGATGCAGGTCTTGGACATTTCCCGCTTATGTGAAATCCAAGAGCATGGGTATGGTGCTGATAATTCTAGTAACATAACTGGGGCAAACTATAATTCGAACCCACAATCATTGGTCTCCTGATCTGACTCTGCAATGCAAGTTGAGCCGCTGTGCCCGTGCAAAGTATTTGAAACTGCCTACTGAGAATAATAGAGAAAGTCACTATTTTCATGTCATCTCAAATGTTTGCTTCCATTGTGAACAGTCGATTAAATCAGAGCAACGTTACTGTGATTTGAAACCTCTGTTGACCAATCATAGCATTCTCTAAATTCATGGTAGAACAAAGGATTAATCCATACACAAAGCAACGCTAAGTAGATAAATATATACAAATTTTATTTACAAATGAAAGCACAGTCATTCAGTTTTTACAGTGATTGTACATGTTGGTAATATATATTATGATCTATGACTGCCCTTGCACACATGCAAATATTCACATTGCACAAAGTACTGATAGTACACTTGCCTATATATAACAAGCAAGTGAATATATAACAATATATGGCCTCTAATCATGCACCAGAAAATTAAGATATCATTGTTAAGCTGGTTCAAATTATGTGCTGAAAATACAGGTATGTCCAATTCGGATTCGGTTGGGACCGGTAAAAAAGTCAGGTTTACGTCAGGGTCTGGATTACACAGAGTACAAAAAGTTGGACCGAAGACAACGAAAATCAACAATCATTCATCTTTATTCGCATACACATACATTGTACATCCATCGGATAAAAAGGATTATATGCAGAATTAGCATTGTTCTGTTAGCCGACAATGACTGAACTTACTTCAAAGTCCTGTCCGGTCCAATTTAGACAGCTTCTTTACAATATTAAATTGGTTGTTGGGACCATCATTTTAGTCCAAAGTGTAAAAGTCTGAATCAGTGAGTCGTAGGTCCGTTTGAGCAATGATAATTTATTAAGGACCTTAATGGACTGGAGAAAAATCTGATTTTCACTGAAATCCAAATGTGACAGTCTGATTTGGGCAGAATTCACTGTGTACACGACATGATATTCACAAAGCTTAGTGTGACATCTACAAGTCAAAAATTACTGAAGTCTGGCTGGTATTTTTGAAGTTTGCAAATTGTGAATTAAAAAAACAACAATGAATATACATGCAATCACTATGTTTTGCATATTTGGTAGTAGAATAACAAATCTACATTGTTTGTACAAATGTTCATAGTACTGACTTACAACTGGTTGCAATATGTCATGAGTGAGTGAGTGAACTGTCAGCAATGTTCCAGCTATAATGTAGCTCATAAATCATCAAGTCTTGATTAGACAAACTGTATTAAAGACAATACATATATCCAGTCAAAATTTGCCAATGTTGTGCTTAATACACATATTTGCAAACATTGTCTTTGTGAAAATCTGAAAGATACTAAACCCCAGCCAGACACATTAGCATGATAGGAAAATAATGTTTCATGTTCTTATTAATATGAAAGTTATATGTCATGACATTTAGAGGATCACACTTGTTTCCGCATCAGGCCAAGTGACAACGTGCCCCAGCAACACACTGATGCAGATACTTTGTGCACTATAAGGAAAACAAGCCATTGTCACTTGAATTACATTGTTTATCAAGGGAAATCACTTATAAATACAGGGGCGGTCGGGTAGCCTAGTGGTTAAAGCGTTCGCTCGTCACGCCGATGACCCGTGTTCGATTCCCGACATTGGTACAATGTGTGAAGCCCATTTCTGGTGTCCCCTGCCGTGATATTGCTGGAATATTGCTAAAAGCGGCGTAAAACCATACCCACTCACTCATACTCACTTATAAATACTACTCAAAAGAAGTTAAAGAACACCATTTCACATTTCATATGACATGGGTTGTTAATCATCATGACATGACAAAATTCTTTGGAGTAGTATATATGTATATACACTGCTAAACCTAGAGAGTATAATAATAACTGATGTTGGTGCTGATACAGCTTAAAGCAACACTCACTCACTCACTGACTATGACTGAGGTATACTTAATTTATAACATAAGGCTATGAGGGCTCTAATTTGGTCATACATAAAATACAAGACAAACAAATACACTTCTTCACACGATCAAAGGTCATATTTCATGCACAGTACATGAAATCTGTACACTTATTACATAATCTAACATCCTATTTAACATGTTAAACTGTACACAATATTGTCATAAATATGTGACAAAATGATGTGTCCTGTCCCTACTGACAAACACAAACTCAAGTTTGGCACAAAAGGTTTAGCATGATACAACAATACACCTTTGTATTGCCATATAGGGCACATCTGCACAAAGCCATGTGAGAGCCGTGCTACTATCCGAACTCCAATACTGGAAGAAGTAGCACTACACCTTCTTTGTGTAGTAGGCCTGTGTTTACTGACTGAGACCAGCACACTACCTGGGGCATCTCGACAACTGCGGCTGATATCTGGACTTACAAGGTTTCATCAACATCAGATCGATGTACAGACTGCACAGAAGCATACCAACATGTGTGCATGTGTACTGAACATATAAAATGGTGTCTTCTCAGACAGGAAGGAATTAATTGTACTTCTGATAAGGTTTTATGTGTCAAGTCTTCTATCAGTATCATTTGCATCCCTTCAACCTTACCCTCTTGCTTCTATACATCCACCAGGAGATAAGGTACCTTCATCGGTAAAAGGTCACATTTAGACTTCTCATTATATTTTAAAACTATAGTATCCTGGAACACAAAAATATAATTCTCAAGCTTCAATTCATATTTATTACAGAGAAACATGACATTAAATATTTGGACTCATTTTTCCGACATAACGCCTGATGAATTGAAAGTAGACAGGATATGCTGAAAGGTTTTGAAATAATGTTTTCATTACATCACTAACTAACAAGAGTGAGTGTGTGAGTTGGGTTTAACGCCGCTTTTAACAGTATTCCAGTTATATCACGGCGTGTCAGCTTAATGTGGGAGGAAAGCCCCAAGTGATGCAGGTCTCAGACGTTTACCACTTCGGTGAAACCCACGAGCACGGGTATGGTGCTGACAAACCTAGAAACATAATCAGGGTGAACCGGGATTCAAACCCACAATCATAGGTTTCTGGCGTGTCCAGGAAACGCAACTCTGCACAGCAAATCGCGGCACCTTAGACGACTTGGCCCCTTACTAACAAGAGAAAAATAAGATATTTTCGCACAGACCGCACACATGAAGTAAGTTGACACATAAACATCCTTATGACATCACAGCACAATTGTATCCTAGCACCCATAAGGTCCCTTTTCTCCTGGTGGGTCACAAATCATAAATATTGGACTGTGCAAAATGAAGAGCACTGAAAACATACGGCACTTATTCGTTTTGAACAGCACAGTGTTGATCTAGAGAGAGAGTGAGCTGTTTCAAGTACTATGAAAGTATACAGAGACTTGTGTAGTCTCAACCTTTGTACAGCAATTACAAACCCTGCAAAACGATCCACAAACACAGAATAACTAGTAATACCAATTTGCATTTGGTACACAAAAATCGACCAGAGTTAATTCAACTCTTTCAGTTTGAATCATATTTTTGTAGTCAAGAGGTTATGTCAGCATGATTGGGTCATCTCACCACATCCAACATGTAGGAATATTAACACTAATTATCATATTCAAGAACAGTATCAATGTGCTCCAGTTTTACAACTCCTATGAGAAACAATCATACCATCTTTCAAACCTCTTCATCATCAACACACATGATATATTTGATACAGTGTTGATCTCTGTATGCTAAACACATTTAGGTTGGTTCCATGTGGAGGAGGACATCCTCACTTATCCAGGGTAGTATATCTCTGATGTGTTGTAAATACCCCGGGCCTCGTTCCTTAAAGTGATTTAAGGCGTGACTTCCATCATTTAACATGGGCTTACGATCATCGTAGAGCTAGGTGAATGACAGTCCCATCGTCTAACATGGGTTAAGATCATCGTAACACTTAGATAATTTTGTGGAACAGGGCCATGGACCCATTCCTCACTTTAGCTTCTTGTGGGCAGTGACGAAGCCTTCTCCCTCTCTTTTATCACTTAGTACACATTTTCCCCGCTCATGAGCTTTAAATCAAAAACCAATCAAATTGACTCTTCTGAACAAGTTTGGCATAGACCTAGGTTAAAAAATGTGGTTTTGTCGAGCAAACCCTTGATAAAGTAAAAAAGCAACAAATCCTAAACCTACTTTTAGCAGGAGAAGAGTTCAAAGACATGGAGTGGGATGTCCTCCTTTAACCAGGTGTTACCAGTTGTATTAAATACAGTACATAACAAAACAAGTCCAGTGATATTACTGCTTGATTCAATCATGACAGAACAAGCATGAGTTGATTGGACGGCTGTTTTAGCGTAGTGTTGTTCAAACTAGACTGAAACCCAAGCTATGGTGGCCAATGTGTCCAGGGTATTGACTGTCACAGCATGGAGATATTATACACTGGGTAATGGAGGACGAGGTATGAGGAATGCAGTGTCACAGAGAGCTGACCTGACGGTGGGGGCTGTCACTCAGGACAAGCATTGCTAGCTTCTCCAGACCTCAACCAACATAAACATGATTCATCTCTGTATAAGCTTACACAAAACCTAATAATTTCTGAATACAACTGCAACATATTGATGACTTTATGATAACTATACTATTCAATCTGAATGATCTCATGAAAACATACATGTTAGTTTTTATTGATATAAAACTCCTGCATCTTTCGTACAATATCAAACATACTATTCTAAAGAAGTTAAAGAACATCCGACTGGCATGACCAATAGCTATAGTAGTACGAAAGAACAGGTGCTCTTTAACTTCTTTTGAGTAGTAGATACCACCTCTCAAAATCAACCCCTGGCACTGACTTTGACACAATTATGTTTTTGGCCTAAATGTAAGTATTTACTTTCCATCTATGGCTTAATTCTGTTGGTAATTCTGTCAGTATGCAACATACCCAGCAGTGTGACAGTAGGAACTATAGTCAGTTGCTACAACTCACGACTTGCTACAATGCTGCTTGGTAGAAATAGGAACCATTAGAGTTTAGATGGGTGGGTAAGTTGTAGCAGCGTAGAGCTAACATGACCTGCTGCTTGGCAGAGATAAGAACCATTAGAGTTTAGATGGGTGGGTAAGTTGTGGCAGCGTAGAGATAACACGACCTGCTGCTTGCATTTGTCCATTGCCCAATGGCAACACAATGATAACAGGTTAAATATTAACAGCCAACACTGATGCACCACTACACTGTCGATTGTATCGATAGGCGTACGAGAATGAAAAAAATACTTTTGATTACATGTATTTACTTTTACTCAGGTATACCTTGACTGTAGACATTCACTCAGAGAATGCTCATAAATTCATATCAGACAATGGGAAGAGGTTCCTTAACTCACAAACACTGCCACAAGGAATCTGTAGAATCCAGGACGTGGCGGAAGTGTTAGGCTTTGTTATGTTAAATAATGCCAGGAGACCTATTGCAAGAGGCTTACTTGTCAAACTATTGCAACTGTTGTACTACACTGAAACAGTTTCGAAACATGTCTACAGCATCCCATATGCCCTGGACAGCCACCCCTTGCGTGTTGGGTAGAACGTCACTTTGAAAGTATTCAGTTCCATCATGGTGTTAAGAGACCGAAAAACATGTCAGATAATTCTGGTCTATATTTTCTTTGGGTTAAGGGTCTTAGAGGCTTTGCATGGTGTAGCTAATAATAATGTGATTGATAAGAAAAACAACTAAAAATATCAATAACAATCATACATTCAATAAACATCTTCATGCAAGATCCAGAAGTCATAATTTACATCATTACCGTAATGTTTAGGGCAATATACTTGCAGAAAGTTGCCTCTCAAGTTGTGGACTTATAGCACTGTATCAAACTTAATTGATAGATTAACACACAAGATGACCATCATTTCGCTACCCACAGCTGCCGACAAGCTTGTGGGACAGAAAGCAAAATTGATTTTCTGGATATTCATTAACCAGCTGTACATGGTATAATATCCCCTCTGCTTGGTTCCCGTCAGCTCCACATGTGTCAACAGATCATCCTACACTCTGCACTGCAGTATGGAAATCACAATGTCTCTGATTCAGTCAAGGCAAAATGATGGTATCACTGTATTTTACTGGCAATGCCGTTAGAATGAACAAGTTCTGTCGAGTTGAGGTGCCCACTGCCAAGCTCCTGTTTCTGCCGAACATCAAACACTTCTTGTATTGCGTGGCGGAAACAGTGGAAGTTGTAGTCGATTATACCTGCAACAGACACTGTGTCAAGGAAAAACACTCACAACTGTTTTACAATAGGGAAAGTGAGGCTGTGCTCAACTGATCTTAATGTTAATGTATTCAGTTTCATGTTTATTTTGCAGTAAAAACTTTCATCCCACTGAGCTGAAAGACTGCACTTTAGGGGCTCCTAGACTTCCAAAGTCTGTTTGGTCTATTGTATCATACGACATACTTATTTAACAAAAAGCGGTAGACACCATTGGTTATAGCTATTTTTGGACTAGTTTTGTTTGTTTAACACCACACTCTGCAATATTCAAGCTATATGACGGCAAGCCTGGACAAGACAATCCAGTGATTGACATCATGAGCATCCATGTATGCAATTGGGATACAATGACATGCATCAATTAAGTCCGCAAGCCTGATCACCCAATCCCATTAGTCGCCCCTTACGACAAGCATAGTTGCCTTTTAAGGCAAGCATGGGTTGCTGAAAACATATTCTAACCCGGATCTTCACAGGTCTTTCAGACTAGCGTTATATTTTATAACTAGATTTGGGAAGAAAACTAGTCCATCTCGATTTTCACATGTCTCAGAATAACCAACTAGTGGCTCCCTGGGGAGGGAGATTTCATGACACTTCCAGTGGACCATGTTAAACTAACCTCCCTATCCACGCTACCAAACATCATACAACTGGGTCTCATTGCCTGAAAGAGAAGCTCATTCTGTGGTTATCAGCCTCACCTTGTCTCTCAAAGCTGTCCTCTCTTAGGATGCAGACCAGAGCCAGGTACCGGTTCACTTCTCTCAGATACAAAATGGTGTTGGTGTTCAACTTAATGATGGCTGCTGATTGGTTGTCAAAGGCTCCATCATCTCGAATACTGAAAGTACCAATGTTGACTCATGATCATACCTGAAGTGAGTGAGTTGGGTTTACCGCGGCTTTAAACAGTATTCCAGTTGCAATGTATATCACGGCATGTCAGCTCATGTGGGAGGAAAGCCCAAAGTGATGCAAGGCACTTACCAAGGCACTTGGCAAAACCCACGAACATAGGTATAATGCTTACAAATCTAGAAACATAATTGGGGCAAACCAGGATTTCTGGCATGACCAAGGGATGCAACCCTGCACAGCAAGTTGCAGTGCTTTAGGCAAATGGGCCACAATCACCCCCTCCCCTCAATACTTGTAAATTGTATCAGTAGCAAATGACTTCCATCACTATTCAGATTAGGGGAAATTCCCAGAAAAAAAAGAAGAAAAATAGAAAAAAAGAATGAAAGAAAGACGAAGGAAGGTTCAAGGAAGGATTTTCCATTTATCAATCGGCATGATCAGTGAAGGATCGGTAGTAGTTTTGTGATATCAATAATAAAAAAACTTTACACTCCTACTTTACTGGGCAAACTAAACGTCATTTAACAAATACTGAAATAGTAGTCATGGTATAATACTAAACACTGTGATACACTACATCTTTATCATTTTCTTCATCAGGCATACAAATAAAGAGAGTTGCAGCAGTTATAGGACAAAAGGGTTGAAAAGTACAATACACATACCCTGCATTCTGGTATGGAAGTTGAAACTGACAATGACATGACCATGACATGTCTACTTGCACACGTAGATACTTCCTTGCTAGTGAACCATCTTAAAGTGCCCTTCATAAAGTACTTGTTATTGTGCTTATTGATCAGTTAAACCTTGCTTGACCGAAACATCACATTGAAAATATATGGTTGAAATTCATAAGTCAATCTTGTCTAAAAAAAGTGGTACTATGGTTATACATTCTATAGTTTAGTTATCATGGTTACCATACATTCTATAGTTATCATGGTTACCATACATTCCATAGTTATCATGGTTACCATACATTCCATAGTTATCATGGTTACCATACATTCCATAGTTATCATGGTTACCATACATTCCATAGTTATCATGGCTACCATACATTCCATAGTTATCATAGTTACCATACATTCCATAGTTATCATGGTTACCATACATTCCATAGTTATCATGGTTACCATACATTCCATATTTATCACGGCTACCATACATTCCATAGTTATCATGGTTACCATACATTCCATAGTTATCATGGTTACCATACATTCCATCATGATCACTGGCAGGTCAGGTGTATTTTGATGCAACACATTATACCAGCCTTTGAATATAATCTTTCTGAAATATTTAATAACTGCATACTATCCAATTACTCTATTCACATAGGAAAATCTCTGAAACATGCACAAGACTAACAACTGACTGACTAAATCATAGATTCTACATGTCCTGTCTATCCCAGTATCTATCATGCTGTTATCTTGCTTATGTCAACACTAGGGAGTCACCAGCAGCATCCGTTCCAACAAAAGTACATGTATATATGCTTATATTGGTTATATCAACAGGACTCCTGTAACCATGGTAACACAAGAGAGGGAATACAAGCAGTTAAAGCATACATGGTGTACATAGACAGGAAGCTGTGCAGAAGAAATATAGTTTCATATTTTTAAACAATGTCTTTATCATAATCTAAACAGAGGTTTGAGTTCTAATGAAATATCAGAGGCACAGGACACTTCTTGGTACAATTCATCTTTACATTTGTTAACCAAACAGGTATATTTTCTTTTGATAAGACTGAATGCAACTTTACCAAATTTGTGCACTTTGCAGTTTAAACCCATCGTCTTTTATCATGTTTCGGGTTTTCATACAAACTTCACAATTTCAACTATGCCTGCCCTTTTTCATGTTTATTATGATCAGTGATGAAGAACTGTGAAAATAACTACAAAAACTATAGGCAACCAGGTTCAGTGTGATAAGCATCCACTCTAACCATGAAGCTACCCAATTTGGCCATTGAAGAAGAGTTAGGAGCTGCTTCAAGATTTGACAGCATGTAACCATGGTTACATGAACAAGTCATAAACCAATATCAATATTTTTAGCAAAGTTCTTCTTTCCATGCTTTCCTTGATGGTCAGATGAACCAACCCAACAACAGTTTCACCAACGCCAACACAGAACAATGACTCACTGCACTGTGATACATATTCCACAAGGAAGAATATTGCAGCCAACGATATACATCCTAATTTCAGGCCATATAGAGTAGTTTTGTCAATGATCTTGTTGCCGGATTGCCAAAGAACAATGCAATTTTTTTACCTTGTCATCAGCAAATTCCTGATAAAACTCTATCAATAATATGTAAAAGTGGTATTTTCATTATCAATTAACTTTTGGATACACACATTCATATCATATCAAATTCAGCAGTTGGTAGGCCTATGTATGTCATGGAAGTGGTATACAATGGTTCCATAGTCACAGTGGGAAGGCAAAAGTATGAGAGTAAGTTGTTCTACTCGCCACTGGGCAATACTCAAGCTATATGTGCGTAATGGCCACAGAGTAAATTAGGCTTAAAAATAAAACTGCTTCGAATGATATTTCAGTTCCATCACATGTCAGCTTGATGTGGAAGGAAAGGTCATGGACATTTACCATTTTCTGTGGGTGTTATACAAAAAGATCAAAGATAATCATGATCATAAACAGTGCAAATCTTAGACCTGAACCCATAATCAGTGAATCCTGACATAGCAAGGGACACAACTCTGTACAACAATAGACCAATGGACCATCTGTACCTCTCTTGGTCACAGCTGTAGTACATAATGTCAATTTTTTAATAATAAATGTGAATAGTGGTCAATGTGTTCTTATGTTGCATAGCAATAGGCAATCAGGGAAGGCTGGGTTGGTGCTTTATTCGACAGTATTCAGCAAACTGTGAAACTATAAATAATGGAAATTGAGAAGCCAAAATGTGAATTTAATATAAAAGATTACCGAGACAAAACAATGTCTGTGACACTGAAACATAATATCATAAAATAAATAAAAGACTATAAGATCATGTAATAACGTATTTATTACCTAGCCAGTACGGTTTCCGTCACACTGAAATGTACAACACAGTCATGATTACAGAAACTGACTGACACAGTGCAGGTCAATAGCAAGCATGCAGTTCCAGTCCGAGCCAACCTGGAACCAATCTTCAACTCAAACGTAATAAAATGAAACAATTTGATAGTCAGAGATTTTCATAATCTCAATAAATCAGATCTTACTGCTCCCATACAAAAAGATCTGGGCCCACTTGCACAAAGCGATCTTAGCGCTAAGATGATCGTAATGCCCATACTTTAACATAGGCTTACAATAGTCTTAGCCCTAAGATCGCTTTGTGCAAGTGGGCCCAGGTGACATCCCATTATACATGTTACAGTTCAAGTCAAAACAACCTTTGAAGTCAGAAGTCAGGAAGTCAGCATTAACCAATCCGAAAGCAGCTTTCTCGAGCTTTACGGCACTAGTTTCAAAATGGCAACTTTCATTCCATACTACTCTTTGAAAAATATTTTGAGCAACAGAAAAATCTGGAATTCTAACATGTCTAACCCATGGCCCAGATTGAATGACAGTACTTCCCAAGGACTGTGGAAAGTCTTACAGTCCATAACTGTTATTAACCTTTACAAGGTTACATGACTCGAAAACAAATTTGGACTTTCACTTTCATGATCTTGTAAACGACTCTCTGATTGGTCGGTTGAATGGTCGTTCTGGCAAGACCTTTAATGGAGTTATTGATCTTTGTGTAGCAGTAGCAAGCAGAAAGATCTGATTTTAACAAGCTTGAGATTTTCAGGACATATCATGCAACTTTCAGGATAAAAAAAATAGGGCTGAAATGAAACACCCAAGTCACGACACATATGATGATCATGATGATAGTTTTTGCATGACATGATCATATCCTGACCCACAATCTTGGAGAGAAACAGCCAATAAACATGGCAAAACATCTTCTTTTATGTAAAAAGGTTTGCCACAAAATGCCTGTTTGACATTCTGGAGAAGAATTTTACAGCCTCACCCAATAAACAATACTGATCATTGGAATTCATCATGTTAATATGCCAAACCCAAAATGTTGATTAATTCCATTCTATTAGCTACTCTGTATCCTGTGCACAGAATGTTAAAAAAACATAACAATATTAAAGTGTTTTGTGCGAAGTGTAATATCGTGATGCCCAGCTCAGTCATTTCAGCCTTGTGGACCTGGTCAACAGTACATGCATCATGTTCCTACCATCACAGGTATGACTTTACTTACCCGTATATACAGGACACATCAATGACGACATCAATCATATCACAACAGAGCTCATAACACTGCATGTCCACAGGAGAACTGTCGGTGGCTATGTAGATTTTACTGACAACATCAAACAGAAATGCCTTCTCTATCCCTGAGTTCTGAAAAGAAAGAGTAAATAAAGATTGAATTGTGTTTCCATTTCACTGATTCTGATTGCCTGGGCTTCTCATTTTCACATGTTATCACAATGATCTCAAGCTATGACATTTAACATGTTGAAGTCTTGACAAAAAGTGAGAGGTGAGATGATATGGGGTTTAACGTCGCATCCAAGAATATTGCACTTATATAGCAATGTGTGTGGCTGTGTGTGTGTGGCCGGACTGATGACAATTTATAGTGCTAGCCCACTGAGATACCATGCCGCAGTTTAACATGAATACCTCACTCAGATACAGTATACTAACTCTGAGCCGACCAGTCCTTGTTTTAGGCCCTTCATGCCAAGTGTAGACAGGGTAACAATAAGTACCATCTTTTGACGTCGTTTGGTATGATGCGGCTGGGGATTGAACCCCGGAGCTTCCTCCCTCCGGGCGGACGCTCTACTACTAGACCACGGAGGCGGTCCCACAAACAGTGAGACCCTGCAGTGGTAGGTCATATCTAACTAGTCTGCAGCTAAATTTGCAAAAGTGGATTATGTAAAGTAGCTAGATTTTGGTAGAAAATAACTAGTCCCTCTGGATTTTCTCTAGTCTCAGACTAACAAACTAGTAACCGTCATTATCCCTGCCCTGAGTGAATGTTGTTTTATGCCACAGAGTGAGTGAGTGCGTATGGTTTTAGCAATATTCCAGCAACATCACGGCCGATGACACCAGAAATAGGCTTCACACATTGTACCCATGTGGGGAATCAAACCCAGGTCTTCGGCTTGACGAGCAAACGCTTTAACCATTAAGCTACCCCATCCCCTGATACATTAAGTAACCTCCTACGACCAGCATAGGTAGCTAGGGAGGTTGCTACCAACCCCCATCCCTCGATCCATTTAAAAGGCACCAGAATGAGGTACTGACAAACTATTCTACCTTATAAATAAAAGAGTACAATACTTACTGATATAAGAATATTAAGGAGGTTTTCTAACACTGGTAACTGAGGAATCAGTTTCTGTACAACTTTGCTGAATGCCTCAAATATTGAATGATCGTAGATACTTGTGAGATGAAAGCTGAAAGACAAAGGACAAGTTGACACACTGTAGGACAAGAACTGAGTTGGTGAATGCAGCAACTTGTAATCATCAACAAAACTATGTACATGATGTAAGATTTCCAATATATAAGATTTGTGGCTTAATGCTGTTTTGAACAGTGTTTCAAGGCATGTCAGCTTGATGTGGAAGCAGGGATGGAAATTAACTAAGAAAGTCTACTCATCCCAATATTGACAACATATATAGCAATAACCCCCAAATTCTACAAGCCCTTAGGACACCATTAACATTACCAAAACGTCTAGCAGCTAGTGCTAATTCTCATCCCTGGGAAGAAAGCCTGAGATGATGCAGGTATTAAGACATTTACCACTTTGATGGAACCCGTCAGCTTACAAACCAAATCATTATCAGGGTGAACTGAGATCCGGCTCCATGACCATAGGTTTCCAGCATGCCTAATGATACAACTTGGCTACCCGAGCCCCTTCCAAAATGTCCAAGACAAGAACAGGTTTCTGTTTGAAGACAATACACATCTACCATGACTGAAATGTTTACCTTACTTTAACTTACAGGGTTCACTCCAGGAATTTTCTGACATGGATCCTTTATGTGAAAATTTTAAATATTCCTGAGGTACACCCAAACTTGCCCATTCAGCACAATGTTAAAATGTATTTGAAAATGTGGGCCTTTTTCAAATTTAGGGGCTAAAAGCACCAGGCCCCACCCTTGAATTATCCCTGAACTTATGCCTTATCATGTTCATATCTATAGCTTTGTGAAGTGTTCTCCATCAAGGGGAATCATCCATTACCTCATCCATGTCCTCATCAACAAGATGCAAAACACCTGAGCCAAGTTCCACGAAATGATCTTAGTTTTACAGTGACTGTAACCTCATACTTTGACACAGGCTTACGATCATTGTAGCGCTAAGATAGCTTTGTGGAACAGGGCCCTGGCATTCTAATCAGTTTTATGATCAAAATCTTTGCCATGTACTAATGCTGACATCTTTCAGACTTGGTTACGTTAAAAGGTTGGGATCTACTCTGCATCACCTTTATCACAGTGGACGACACTGAACAGGATTCACATACACATGATACAGGGAATTGAACCCAGATCTTGTAACTAGTCAACACTTCAACCACTAGGCTACCAACATATTGCCCACCTTAGATGGACACTCTCTAGCCCCGTGTCCTGCAGATCGTCTGATGCCCTTTGGTGAATGTCTCGCTGAGTCTCAATCTTGTGGTCATCAGACAGTCCATCAACTTTATGAATGAACACTTCAAACTTGATCTTGGGGTTGATCTTGTAGGCTCTGGACACTGTTGAGTGCAGCCTAGAGAGAGCCTCCATGTAGTCATCCTACAAACCAGGGTATTAAACAGTAAACTCAACATCATCCATAGCTCATATCTGAAACTCTACAATAAAGGAAATGTACTGGAGTCCAGATAACTTTTTTAGCTACTATGTATTTACTCACATGTTATCATTCACACTGGGTTTTGGGGGATTCAATATATTTTTACTCTCTTGGGTACAGTCTATTGGGTATTAAGCTATAAATAGACTTCGATGAAATTATTCTACTTCTATGCTGTTCAAAGTAACCTCAAAATAGCACGAGTTCAATGCTGCCCCAAGTAAGTCACATGTCTCACAGCCGCATAGCAGTGATACATGTCAAGTTACAATGTCATACGCAAGATGTTGCACATCTGTGCATTATTCACTGTAATAGAATTCATGTATATGTGATGCCTGCATTCAGTCAGTAAGAAAAGATCTGTGAGTGAGTCATTGAGTGAGTATGGTTTTACACTGCTTTTAGCAATATTCTTTCAATATCACAGCGGGGGACACCAGAAATGGGCTTCACACATTGAACCCATGTCAGGAATTGAACCCGGGTTCTTTGGCATGACGAGCTAACGCTTTAACCACTAGGCTACCCGTCAGCCCCTCTGTAAAGATCTGTAAAGACGTGTGTATGAAAAAGCTACATTGGGTAATAAAACAGAGTGTTGTTATACTATTGGGTTATAAAATTTCTTAATGCATGTTCACTGCTTCCCTCTCCAAGTGCTACCTGTCCAAGTACACCAGCATGCCACCAATCCGAATTAGTGGCTTTATATTCAGGGTTTTGTGAGACACAGTGGACTGAAACGTTTACATACAAAAACTCAAATTTGATGAGGAAAACAGAGCACAGGTCCTACTTGATGCAAAATCAATTAACATCAACCAAAACAAAATTAAAAAGGATGTACAAGAAGTCATCAACAACTGGGGCAGGCTTTATCTATTTTCGATGAAAATCATTGTTAAACATTGTAAACATTCATAATGCAACATCAGTTAACGACTCCCAGGAAGAGACGTCGGTGAATTATTGACAAGTTTCTCTACACATGATACAATGAGTAAGACTTATTCTGCTACGGAATCCCCACAGGCGACGAGAATAGCATAAAGTATCTGTTCAACCGATCAAGAGTTGTCCAATCTGAGGGGCTATTTGAAGTACCAGTATCTTGCTATTATTTTAACATACTTGAGCATCTATGACGAATATTAGTGCACCACATCCTCCAAAGATGTTCTCTGAATCAAACGTTGGATCAAAGAAGTCAATGTGGCCAGGCAGATCCCAGATCTGGAACTGTACAAAGGAGCTGTTGGACACATCTGAAACACAGATATGACAAAAGATATTGAACATTTTATATTAAATTGTATATTCATAAAGTTATCCTATCTCACACTATGCATTTCTTCCTTCTTCTTTTGATCGTTGTGTGGAAACGTCTTCAAGCTGCTAGAAACATTTTGCCCGTACACCCCTGCATCACCATCGCCACCACCTAAACAAATGGGCAACGCACTACAATCGTGTGCGCTGTGACCTAAGTGGTTTGACCACCTAACACCCCATGCCACATCATTCTCTTTCTTAGAGCTGACAGGCTTGTGTAACTGTGATGTGAGGACGGTCGGGTAGGCTTATAATGTGTAAGATAGGATAAGTAAATAAATACACAATTTAATGTAAAATTGTCAAATTTTTAACTTATCCTATCCCACACTATGCAATTGGGTGGGCGTAGATACCCTCGCCTGTAGTGGACTTAAACTGTGAGATGGAAGCTGGTGCTAAACATGCTTCATATAGATTGTTGCACAATTAATATCTAAAAGACATGGACTTGTGAGTTGGTAGAACACTGTAATAATTACATAACTTGGACATGACCTCATGAAATCAGTTGTAACACGTGCTAAGTGGCTTCACGTATGGCATTGTTTCATGAACAACTGCATAGCTTTAAGGTAGCGAACCTATCTTGCCACAACCTCTAACCAATTCAGAAGGGGACTCCAAGCAATAAGTTACATGACAAACCACCACTTACACTCTAAGACGTAAGTCTCAACAGCTTGGCATTTCTTTTAATGCTTTGCCAAAGGTATCAATCACACCCACAGAATTGAAGTATGCTCAGAGGAGAAGAGTTAACGATCGACAACATCCATAAGAGTATCTTCAAACCAATACTTAGACATCACATGCTCAAGGAAGAGGTGAGCGGTAAGGATTTGAAACACCAACATCATTGTTGAAGACTGCAGTCTCTACAGATGTGTATCTTCAACAAGTCCTCAATCTGGGAATCCGAAGAATACTAAAAATAAACGAAGAAGAGGTCAATCGTTTATTTAGTATGTACAGGATATGAAGTACGAGTCTGTCGCAGCAGGTGCAAGTATCGTCTATCTGTGTTGATGGGCTCTCGTTATCTGTTGTGCCACGACCAGCAGACCAAAATGGTGGAGGCCTTGAACATCCACGAAGATGTCATGTAGATAAAGAGGTTGATGTCTGGGCAAGGGTAGAGGCGGCAAATCAACTGGAAGATCAATATAGACACCACTTTGTCGGGGGCGGTTGATTCGTTCAGGATAGAGAATCCGCTATGACATTGTTTATACCAGGAATGTGTCTTGCTCAGACTTGAATGCCCAGCGTGTTGACCAACTTGAATTCAATCGCCTGAGACAAGGGACGTTGAATTGGTGGAGCCCATTTTGTTAATGTACCAGATGACTGAGATATTGTCCGACTGGATCATGAGACACCTGGAGATCTTCCACCCAATGGGATATGGCCAGGATGACCGCCTTGAAATCTAGGTTGTTGATGTAGAGGATTGTTTCTGCTATTGTTGAGCACCCTGCCACCTGAAGATCCCGAAGGTGAGCTCCCCAGCCTACAGGTCTTCAAACAGGTGTTGGTCGGGATGAATGGCCTCACAAACTGTGTTGCCCTGTGGACTAAGAAAGGGGATTTTCAGCTGAAGGTCGAAGAATTTCAAGGGGTTAGAAGCCTCAGTTAGTACTGTCTATAGTCACAACAGTGTGCTTGTCCGATGTAGGTAACATACAGTGCACTTTTACTTGATGGTTTTGGCGGGAATTTCTTCATGAAGAAAACTATCAGAGACCACATCGTCTTTTATCTGACAGAGACGTGTTGGTAGACCTTGGTGGTTGGTAGACCTTGGTGGTTGTTTGACAGTTGACTTGGCAGAGGAAGGGACAGTTGCTTTAGCTGTGACACAGTTAGGCTTCTTGGTAGCAGACGGCCCATGTTCAGCATCCTGTGATCTTGATCTATGATCAACGGAACATTTCTGGCATTTACATAAATAATTAGTAAAAGTTTCTTCTGATAGGTGAGCACAATAGGAACAGCGGTGACTAGATTAACAAACTCCCTGACAGTAGCAGCAAATAGTTCATGTGGATCACAAGGTGAAAAGACTTGGCATCACTTCTTGCAAGCCTTGGGCGTTTATTCTGATCCTTTCAAAGGCATAAAAATAGAGGTAATGAAGAGGAAACTCTCTTAGAAAAAACACAAAAATCTATTCTCTACTACTCAAACATGTCTCACACGGTTGTGATGAGTGAGAGAATATGATGTGGCATAGGGTGTACGATGATCAGACTGTTTAGGTCATGGAGCACGGGATTGTTGTACGGGATTGTTGTGCGTGACTCATTTGTTTCGCTGGTGACGATGGTGATGCGAGGGGTATTTAGGCAGAGGGAAAGAGGGAAGAAGAAATGCATAGTGTGAGACAGGATAAGTTTAAAAATGACCATGATTATGAACGTGAAATTAATGGTAAATTATTACTTTTTCACAAATGTTCGTCTCTCTGAGTTTACCAAGTTCATAACCATACACCATATGCAAACTAAAACTCACCATCTTTGACAATCTTGTTGGTACTCTCCAGAAACAATGTTTCATTGGGGGACACTTTGTGAAAGACAACTTTCTGAATGGAAGACTTGCCACTCCTGCAATGACAAACAGAGTTGTCAGGTTAGTTCCTTACTTTCCCAATGGTAATACAAAACAATAGAACATGCTATCATGATTAAAATGAATAGAGACTATAATAATAAGGAATAATATGTTTATTGTATTTCATCATGTTTATATACCAATGTAAATGATTAACATGATTAATACCAGTATGTCTTCGTTTCCAAAAAATCATTTTAATATTTAATTTTTTGTCATCAATTCATTGGGCATGTTGAGATGCAAATCATCCAGATCTATTTGCACATGTTTGTGAGGTTCAAAATGGTACATGAAGTCAGTGTTGACTTATGGACTTCATACAGAACATGTGGAAGGAATACGAAGCTGAAATCTGTAAGTCAACTTTCTCCGGTGATACTGCAAGCTTTCAAACTTGTATACGATAAACTCATAGTTGACATTTGTGAAAAAATAGGTAGAAATGTAAGCATTGCAAGAGCTGTAATAAGTCACCACAGTGACAGGTCCTTTCAAATTCATTGTGATCATACACATGAAACTAATCACTGCTAATAGACATGGCAGGTAAGATAAGAACTTTACAAGTGTGAGTTACAGATAATAAAAGAAAGGTGGCATCAGCAACACAAACCATTACCATAATGACATGTTCAAGGGTTTTAATAAATCATATATGCCTGTCGAAGAAACCAACAGGGTCAGTTCAATAAATTTACCAAACCAGCGATAGAAACTAACAGTTTTAGTCCACTAGTCCTTATAATGATAACATGTAGTAAAACCCTTGTAAAGGACAAATTTCTACTAGTCCTTTGGATACCTTAACTATTGAGCAGTTTGGTAAGGACTACAGGACTAGTGCCAATTTCTAACGCTGCAAACGCTGACAAATGTCGCTGTTCATTTCCCTTATAAAAGATTAAAGAGTTCTATTTTCCACCCAACCCACCATCCAAACATTGGCGGCAGTAGAAACTAACTTTTTTAGTCCACTAGTCCTTATAATGATAACATATAGGCTAATCCTTAAAAATGGCAAATTTCTACTGGTCCTTTTGATACTTTACTATTGGGCAGATTGGTAAGGACTCCAGGACTAGTGCAAATTTTTAACACTGATTTGGATTGTCAGCTTCTTGACAACACGTGGCCCACTTAGATAATGTCGGCATATTATGATCAAATTGTATTAGGTCAATGAGAAGATAATTCACCCTATAGGCAACAAGTACAATACTTCATCTGTCAGATCATCATGATCATACTGACTGATGTTTTGTTGTTTTTTAAATTGTAAATCCAGGCATAGTCTGTTAGTCTGAGTGTAGTGAAAATCCAGAGGTACAAACGTTCTCTAAAAATTTAGTTATTTTACAAAAAATTCCTGTCCAAAAAGAGCTGCAGACTCTTAAGATTTGACCAATGGTGACTACCCCTGAAATACATGCATGTTTTTTCACTTTCATTAGAGATTCATCTTTATTTTATGTGATCCATTGCCAACATTTTGGCCAAAAGAAATATAACTGAAGGATCAGATAATGATAATAACTCAAAATGTGAGGTGAGGTGAGGTGAGGTGAGGTGGAAATAGGGTTTAACGTTGCGTTCAAAATTATTGCACTCATATAGCGATGTGAATGTACGTGTGTGTGTTTGTGTGGCTGCTTGTACTAGTCCGGACTGATGCCGATTTATAGTGCTAGCTCACTGAGATACCATGCCGCAGTTTAACATGAATACCTCACTCAGACACAGTATACTGACTCCGAGCCAACCAGTCCTTGTATTAACCGCTTAATGTCGAGCGCCAGACAGGGTAACAACAAGTACGATCTTTTAACGTCTTTTGGTATGACGCGGCCAGGACTTTCCGCTCTCCGGGCGGACCCTCTACCACTAGACCACGGAGGCGGTTAATTCAAAATGTAAACGTTATTTCTACTGGACAGAGGAACCAACAGCCTTTGAATTTACAGGTCACCACTTTTATATGCTTAACCACAAGGTAACACCGTAGCCATTTCCATGATTTCTGAACTGATCCTACCTGCGCAGTCCCATCAGTAATATCCTTGGTTTTTCTTCTGCTGCAGCTGCCACACCATCAACTTCATTTTCATCTGGTCCATAACCGAAACCCTTTGGGAATGACCCAACAAAGTTCCCTGTTGTATCGTCGTCAGCATAAGACTGGGAAAGAACATTGAGAACACTGAACATTATCAGATATCATACACATACTCAGTGTTCAAAATTAGTCATAATAATTTGCTAAAAGTTACAGCTTTAGGGGGACACTTTTTTAAAAAAACCTTTAGCAGTCTGCAGCAAACCTTAAGGACCCAAGGAGCTCTTTTAATTTCAAAGGAATGCAGCATTCCTAAAATTCAAAACAAAACCAATAAATCACTGTATAACCCATGGCCTGTAATATACCATCTATGCATGCTCAGATCTCTCAGACAGCAATCTTTATAACACTTCTGAGAAGGTGATGTAGTGGATTCCCTTGTAAGTCACAGGTATGGTTCTTGTGAGTGGAATCAAATTTGAAATGTTATGATGCTATTTCTTGACCAGCCTCCATTTGCAAGTTTGTTTGTTACAAGTTTCCAATGGTACACCTGATAACGAAATTTATCTACAATAAAACATTCTGAAACATTTTGAAACTACAAACTGTTGTTAGCGAAGCGGACAGTAACTTTACATGCTTCATTGATAGTATATAACTGTTTCAATGTGAACCTTGAACCAGATGATACATATTGGAATTTGGATGACATAATCATTATAATGTTCGTTGGTTTGTTGTTTAACGCCGAACTCAGCAATATTCCAGCTATATGACGGCGGTCTGTAAATAATCGAGTCTGGACCAGACAATACAGTGATTGATATCATAAGCATCGATCCACGCCATTGGGATCGATGACAGGCATCAACCAAGTCAGCGAGCCTGACCACCCGATCCCGTTAGTCGCCTTTTACGGCAAGCATGAGTTGATGAAGACCTATTCTATCCCGGAATCTTCACAGGTCTTATAATGTTCAGACCAACTTAATAATTTATGTCATCTATGAATTTATAACATTTTCGTTTGCATCAATAAACTGTCAACTGTCCATCAGTAGATTAAAGACCTTTCAGCTTGAAGTATACTGCAACATAACTAGGCCTATTAGGACTGAACATGCTGAAAGGAGAACACCCAACATTTGCAGTGAGGAGTATAGTTGTTTTTATTGTCTTTCGATTATTGATATAATATTAGTCACATCAGCATCATAACACTCCTCCTCATCGCATAACATTGTTAACAAGATATGTCACGAGACTGGCCAATGCGACCACACACAGTGAGTGTCATTTGATCGAAGTAAACTTGTCGCGTGACCACATAACGAAGTTCAAAACAACAATATCAAACAGCTAAAATATCGAATTAATTGACTGTGTGTCAAATGCAAAATACACCCCCTGTTGTGCAAACAAACACCACTGCTGTCAGTGCCTGACATTATACAAGGGACGTCAAAACACAACACTGACATTCTCATATTCTTACCATCGTTCGCCATTAACAATATCATGTGACTCTCGTGTACTCTCTAAATCTAAGGTAAATTCCCCATAAGGAGTACCGAATGCACATATTATAAATAATTAGCACGCGATAACGATTATCAATTTATGTCCAGCATGTGCATAACACATGGCGTAAAACCTTTGAAAATAAAGCACAGGAGCATTTGAAATATATATCATTATATTTAGAGAGTATTTTTCTGTCTGGCATTATTCACTTCATTCTCGCTTACATCGGAAACAGTGATGATAAACTTCGGGTTCATTCGGGAATAACTACAATGACTTACGGGATATTTTTAGTTCCGAGTTTTGGCGAGGGTCTTTTACCATTATTTCACAGTCGGCGTCAACTTCAATCAGTTGAGACAGTTCGTTTATATGACGTCACATATCTATGGGCTGCTCCACAAATTGATGTGAACGAGCCTATCACAAATTATAGGGGGGGGGGGGGGGGTTTAAGAACTGACTTCAATATTATTTTGCGTTTATGGAGGTATAAACGTAACAACTGATGTGCACATTTTGCGTAAAACTAACTGAAAAGGACCCTGCCTGATCCTCTGTGGGCAGTTTATTATTCTCCGGGGACGGTGGGGGTAGCCTAGTGGTTAAAGCGGGTTTGATTCCCCACATGGGTACAATGTGTGAAGCCCATTTGGCTTAACAGTTGGATAGTCACACCAAATACCCGCGCTCGATTGCCAACATAGGTACACTGTGAAGCCCATTTCTGGTGTCCCCCCGCCACGACTTAAAGCGGTATAAAACTCACTCACTCACTCACTCATATACAAATTGGTTGGTTTGTTGTTTAACGCCACACCCAGCAATATTCCAGCTATATGACGGCGGTCTGTAAATAATCGAGTCTGGACCAGACAATCCAGTGATTAATATCATGAGCATCAATCCACGCAATTGGTATCGATGACATGCATCAAACAAGTCAGCGAACCTGACCATCCGATCCCGTTAGTCGCCTTTTACGACAAGCATAATCGCCTTTTACCGCAAGCATGGGTTGCTGAAGACCTCTTCTACCCCTGAAACTATACAAATTGGAAAGAGGTGTGTCACAAACAACAAGTGTGTTTAAAGAGGTACCCTGCACAATGACCTGATCTCTTCTACCAACCTAGAATTAGACAATGCATGAAACTAGGACTTTGGTAAGAATATGAGAATGTCAGTGTTGTGTTTTGACGTCCCTTGTATAATGTCAGGCACTGACAGCAGTGGTGTTTGTTTGCACAACAGGGGGTGTATTTTGCATTTGACACACAGTCAATTAATTCGATATTTAAGCTGTTTGATATTGTTGTTTTGAACTTCGTTATGTGGTCACGCGACAAGTTTACTTCGATCAAATGACACTCACTGTGTGTGGTCGCATTGGCCAGTCTCGTGACATATCTTGTTAACAATGTTATGCGATGAGGAGGAGTGTTATGATACTGATGTGACTAATATTATATCAATAATCGAAAGACAGGGATGAAACAGGGATGAGGAGTGTAGACTTGCTTTGATAGTATGCTTGTATTCAGGGTATGTATTAGACTAACATCTAGTCTCTGAAATGTAAATATCTTACAGAAAAAAAACAGTTGTTTAATTATCTTAATAAAAAATATAATAAAAAAGGAGCCCAGAGACGCTCTTCATTTTCAGATACTGCAGTAATATAGACTTGCGAAACATTATAGACTTGCATGGGCTGTATTGGATATATTTGTATCAAGGTCTGTATGACAGACTAGGTATGTATGGCGAACACGGCACTGCGTTAAAACGTCAGCAAAAACGACAGCCTTGCCCAAAAGGCACCAATTAAATTGACCCTCACGGCACCAGACTTAGTTGGCGAAAATGGCATCATATGTGTCATACTACGCTGAGCGGTGCATGCTGAAAACACACACTACCTTACCATACAGTATGCATTAATTCCTTATTTCATAAGCACCTGATCTTAATTCATCTGCACATCCTGGGTCATCCCCGTGTGAAAGGAACGGGTATCCTCCCAAAACGTAGACCTGCCAAAACGCAGACCCGTTAAAACAACACTCGTTATGGCTGGTTGCATCAGTATTTAGTACCCTGTAACCTTAAGTAAAATGGTATCACCCATGTAACAAGAAAGAAAGATGGGTAGAGTTCACAATTTTTTATTCAAATGTTATTTCATTGTCATTTATGATTATCGGTCATTTTAACTTGTTTATCATCAGTGGACCAACTGCATCCAGGTACTGAAGGGGTGTCTTTTCACGGCGATGAAGCTGTTCCTTCTCTCTGTAGACAACCTTCCTGGGTGGCGGTGCTGCTCCAAATTGAATCTGCGCTAGTTTCGCTCTCTCCGAAATTTCCACCTTCTGGATCAGTTCGATAAATCTGAAGATGTTTGGATGCTTGTGCTGGAGGGACTTGCCGATTCTGGAGTGGAAACCTTCTAGGTTGTTGTTTGTACGGGGCCCTTGTGTCGCATGGTATATCCACAGTCGAGGTACTATATCCCAACATTCACTTTTGAATTTACTCGACATTATAGATTTATAAACTAATATTTCACTTTACACTCTGCCGGTGTATCTATATTTAAGATTTATAAAGAGCCCTTGACTTAAAACATTCTAACCTCATCTCAGTTATGAATTCAGTTGCTTGTGTCGGCGTCTTCACAACAGTGTCTTCTTCCTGTTTCGTCTGAAGTTGAATATCTCACTAGATTATCATCGTCAAAGTGTTCTGTAATAATTCAAAGATGCAGATAAGGCCCGTATCCACGTGCTTTAAAGGTTTAAAGCAGAGCCTTTGAATTGTTACTTAAGATACAAAATAACAAATCCAGGATGCTCGATTATACAGACAGAAGTTGCAATATGAACGAGTCTGATCCTCAACTTCTGATTGGTCGAAACTTGAGCGCCATTGAAGCGAGCTCGAGAGTCGAAAGTATACACGTGCAGCGGTGGAATTGTAAACATTAGCTTTAGAACATAAACGTAGTTCAATCCAGAAATTGTACCATTTTGTTTCAGCTATAAAGACACCGGTTTCACGATCACGTTTTGTGAGTGTCATTAGAAATGCCAAGCGACACAAGGAAAAAACGAAGGGCGGATTCAGAAGTGGATGATACATCCGATGGTATGCAGTTTTCGGTTGTTCTCATAATGTGTAAATATATGTGTGAAGACCGCGGCAACATAATGAGTGACAAGAAAAATAACCATGACTAACCACACAACAGTGATGTGTCAATCACCTAATCCTCGAAACATGATGTTTATATTTTCGATAATATTGGTTCCTAAGGGAGTGGATATTGTTTTGTTTTTAAGCAAATTTATACTGTCTCAAATGAAATTTGGCATGGATGTAACTATTATTGATGTATTTCAAGACTGTCTGGTTAATTTTGATCTAAGTAAATAGGGAAACTGGTAACTTCTTCCCCAAAGGTGCAGTAATCTATGTGGAGGTCGAGTTGCCTCCCATAGGTGTGCCAGGAACCTATGTTCATGTGTTTGAATCCGAGAATCGCACTGATAAGGATGATTTGTTTGTCTGAACTATACAAGTGCTTATGGGTTTCACCAAGGTGGTAACATGTAAAACCTACATGTTTGTTTATTGGTTGTTTAACACCACACTCAGCAGTATTCCAGCTATATGACCGAGGTCTGTAAATAATCAAATCTGGACCAGACAATTGACTGATTGTCATCATGATCATCTATCCACGGAATTGGGATACGATGACATGCACCAAACAAATCACAGAGTCTGACCACCCGAACTTGTTGGTCGCCTCTTACGACAAGCATAATCACCTATTATGGCAAGCATGGGTTGCTGAAGACCTATTCTGCCCTGGTCCTGCATGTAAAATACCAATGAATGTAGTGTTAAACCAAACACAAACACACACTCCTTTGTGCAGCTGCTGGCATAGCTTCTTCCTCTGTGTCTAAGTCTATGTTACATGCATTGATCAGCTGACGGATCATTAACAGTTACTCTTTACGATGATCACACAAGTAATGTTTTTCAGTTGAAACATCATCCCCCAAAAAGAAAAAGAAGACTAAAGAGAAAGTGGATGAAAGAAACAGATCAGGTAAATGCTTGTATCATATCATTATCAATGCTCATAGATTTTTGTTTGAACTAAATTATAGAAACTGTATGGAGATATCAATTCAGAATTGCATAAGGACTGTGCGTTTTGATCAAGGTCTTATCTCTCGGTGCTTTAAGTCCCTGTGTTGTCATTCACTGCATTAGGTGTGTGTTAAGGTCCGCGTTATCCTCATCTTTGTGCCTCTAAGCTGTTGTTTTATCTGCATCTGTACACCTCTTGCATCAACTTGATCAAGTTATTTTCTGTCTGTAGACCCGGCTGAGTGGCCTGCTGAGGATATCCTGCAGTTGTTCGAGAGGATGGAAGGAGTCCTTCCTAAACCTGACGTATTGCGGTACACCCGATGTGTGGAGAAGATTAACTGGGAAGATGTGCAGTTTGGAGAATATTCAAGCCAGGATTGTGCGGATGTTTTCAACTTGATGCTCAAAAGGGTAGGTGTATTATCATATCATATTATGAATTAGCCAGTGGGCATGGTTGGATGTGAGTAGAGCTGAGTATCACCTGGTATCTTGCGATATGATTTGTATTCTCAAGAAATGATGAAATCACTGAAATACAGCTCTAAAACCTCTTTCTTCATACATTTATTTATTGTTATCACAAAACTTTAACAAAGAAAACCACAAGATCAGAACAGGTTTAAATGAAGGGATGCTTATTACCTGTAAGTGCAACAGTTAGCCGGCATGTTCCCGTAATCTGCCATGCTTACTGGTGGCGCTATGCTACTTCTGTCAATATGGGAGGTAATTCTATTGTTTCTGTTCTATTTATAGAATATCGCAATCTCAGAAACTGATGGTTCGAGTAGTTGTGTATCTAAGTATCACTGATCATGCTGATGTCACGGAAACTCTTGCTCTTCAAGTGTAATGTAACTGGTGTGGGTTTATCATTAGACTAACATTTAGACCAACATTCATATCTGAAATGAAAATGTAGACATTTAATCCTCCACCTACTATATATATTCTGTACTATGTCTCTCATTCAGTCTTGCTTGACAACGGTATAAGGACCTATACCGAAATGTCGCTCTTCACAATATTAAAGAAGTTGTTATCCATAAAATTGTGTCTACCTTGTCATCCGTCAACTTCTAAGTAATGCCTATCAAACAGTTGAAATTAAAATATTTTACAGAAAAAAACCATGTTAAATTATCTTAATAAAATATTATAAAAAGGAGCCCAGAGAGTCTCTTCAATCTGCAGTAATCTAGACTTGCCAACTCTTCTAGACTTTTATGAGTGCCATGTTGGATATGTTTATTTGAGGTTCCCTATGACAGACTAGGTTTATCTATCATGTTTGTCATTGTTTATGAACACTTGCTCTTTTGTAATATTATCAAGATTAATTACTCTTGAGATCAAGATTTAAATTGTGAAGTATTTTTGCAAATATCTAGATACATAAATGTAAATCATGATATTGATGCATAACCAAATTAATGCGAGTGCTGACCTTCGAAATTAAAATACAACTGTGCCATAAATTAAAAAATGACTAATACGGTAATAGGTATTAGCAGTTTCAGTGAGTATCAGCATTTTCTTTTCTCACTAGCTCAACTTCTGCCTCAATAGCAGGATAAGCGGATATTCAGTATCAGGCATATGATGTGGGTCAGGCGAGCTGATAAGAGTGTAATCAGTTGTTGGTACAAGTGTTAGTACAATCTTTCAATGTAAATAAGCACCAGATAATGACTCCCGAGTTATGTTTTCACCAAGTCAGCTGTTAATGTACACATTATCACTATACTTGGATGAGCCGTGTTTAGCCTTCAGTTGAAAGATAATTCACCAAGCAGGCCACAAAGTTGCGACTAAATTGGTCGCCATGGCGATCTAGTTTTGTATTTTGCGACTGGTATTTTCATGTCAGTCGCCAACTGGCTCCTTGTCTTTAATTAAGTTTGGCGACTAAATATCTCTTGTCATAAGATATTTGAAAAGATCGTTTTTAATATAAGTGTGGTAACTTCAGTGAAAAAAAATCGATATCAGAACATAATAACATCGACTAGATCACTGCTAGGCCATGTGTACTGTTTTCGCTTTCGATATGAAGCTCCATACCTGGAATGAAGGAAGCACTTTCCGTTATTAAGTAATGCACTAATGATGTTAAGAGTTGAGTACCCACGCATGTGCTGTACGACATCCGCCCAGGTGACAGCTGTGGCTGTCGTTTCGCCGTTCAAAAACATGAAGTATTTTTCCATATTTGCGCAAGTCAAAACAACAACAAATCGTTGTCGATCGGCAAATGATGAATACCATATTTTCTTTAGTATAGTGCGCACCCCTCTCTAGCGGATTCAGTAATTTTTTGGGAAAAATTTTCGAATAGATCTACCAAGCGCAGAAAAAAAATTACACCGTAGATATATCTACCCCTTTAGCGAAGTCCGGCAAACAAACGGGTGATGAGAAACTTGGTCAGTACAAATTCGAAATTTGAGATAAAAAATCACCAAACATGTTGATTTACCGTTTAAATTGTATTTTTTTGTTCTTCTAGGCATTGTTTTATATCCAGGGATTAAGATTACCATGTGTATCTTCTCGTAACTAAGCCGGACACAGCAATCAGCTGTACACACATTTTCTTGGAATTTACCGGTGATTCAGTCAAGACACACCCAATGATATAACTTTACAGGGTTTTAATGCAAGGATCGGCAAAAATTGTATCTGAAACTATTTTTTTATCAGGAATAATATATTCCGATATCTTGTTAATTTAGATGCAGCTTTTACTAAACATATTTGAAATAATAATAACCCTAAGCGAAGCAGCTGATTGCTATTACCGGGTATTACATGGTTTTCCATGGAACCAGTCTGACCAGTCTCCGTCAAGGCTCTCGCGCATGTGATCGCGTGATCACGAGAATTAAGTGTTGACATAGAATCGTCCAACAAAAACAAATATGCCTTTTAACGAGTCAAAGTATGGCATTTATGACATATGTATCCATTCTCTGTCAACTAAAGTTCGTTTCAAGGCGTCAATAGCGGTAATCTTCCGATCGCTTCACACACGATTTCGCCGAAATTAATTAAAACAATATTAAAAGTAATTTTGAAATAAGTTACAAACATAAGTCCAGATATACAAAGAACACTTTTTATAGTCAGACAGTGTAATTACATGATTAATTTGCGTACTTCAGTATGGATTTGTTGACATGGTATTTCCGGTAATGTCTCATGGCTCACGGTAATGTCTTTCCATGGGGGAAAAACATCAAAACTCATTATTTCGTGTATAATGCGCACCCCCTTCTACACAGCTGTGGTTTTTTTTGGAAAAAAATGCGCAGTATACTCAAGAAAATACGGAATGCTTTGAATGGCGAAGCTGACACGGAAGTTTCATCGTCTGTCGACACGTTCGATGAACCAAAACCTACAACTGGCACCGGTAAACTGTCAGATGATGTTACTGACACAATGTTCTTAGCTTGTCTGATGGATTTACTGACACGGTGTCCTAAAGCTTTTCTGATGATGTTACTGACACAATGTTCTTAAGCTTGTCTGATGGATTTACTGACACGATGTCCTAAAGCTTTTCTGATGATGTTACTGACACAATGTTCTAAAGCTTGTTTGTCTGAAAAACTCAAAAGCTTCAACAACAGTTGTTGTTCATGATATCAAACTGATTATTCAAACTAATGGATTTTTTTGTGTTTTGTTATGCAGAAGCTCAGTTAAATTACAAGTCATTACTTTTGGCTCCTTACATTTTGCCTTGGCTCCTTGAAATTCTATTTGGCTCCTTGAAAAAAAGAATTTAAGAGCCAAGTGGCTCCTTTGAATTTTTTTTAACTTTGTGGCCTGCCAAGAACAAAGATGCTGCCATGCGCTGTCTGTGACTGTCATAACTGCTTGATCACCTTGTGGAAACAGTGAGCCATATAAAAGAGGTTCACATTTTTTAACATAAGCAAGTTATGTTCACACATATATTTTTAATTAATTGTATGCTAGCATTATTATCTTGATTGGCAGTAACAGACAACTTATCGATTGTTAGTCATGCTGGTTGTATTCTCAGAAAACCTTTTTTGTGTTTTTTGTTTGATGTTTTTCCGAATGACTGCTCTCCCAGGAGTTGAGCATGGAGACGAAATATATTAATGTTTTGTAGCATTTTAACATATTTCTGTACTACGAAAAGATAATTAAGGACCATCTGAATCTTTCATGTCAATAGAGTTAATCTGCCATGATTAACTGTAGTAATATGAAAGAATTGGGTGGTCCTGAACTTTTTAATGTAGCAGAGCTCCAGACAACTTTTTGAGCAATTGAGTTTTTACGTTAGGGTTTCTATTTTAATTGACTTATTACATTTTATATTGGCTAACCAATATTTTTTCACTCATCTATTAATCACAAATTATTAAAAAATGAAACAATGTTTTAGATGTATATAACCCTTCTAAATATATAGGCTTGGCTCGGAAAGTAAATTAGCTCGTAATTGTGTTTCGGAAATAAGCTCCTTTGTACGCATGCTGAAAAAGCGTCATTGTGTATTTACGCGAGCTGTTTTTATACATTTGAGTTGTTCATTTAATGCATGCACTTCTGTATGCAAATTAATTGAAAGTACCGTATTCGACGTATTAAGTGCCCGGGGCGCTCTCAAAATTGGAAATAGTGGGCTCTTATTAGAATATAATTTTGGTGAGAACAAAAACAGAGTTGAAAAATTGTAAATTTCGTACAGTAGATTATGCTGACAGCCTGAAATGATTCAAAAGAAAAGTATGTACGTATCATACACGAGAGATATATTTTCCAGAATTTAATTGCCCACAATTAAGGGTGCATATAACACACGAGTGAGTATTATACACGAATCAATAAGTCTTGTGTACATTGATCAATCGGAAGGGGTGCTAATTGGGATTGTTCACTAGCAAATATATTAGCAAATATCGCCATGGGCGCTTATTAGAGCGGGGCGCTTATTACGTCGAATACGGTAATTGGGTTTTGACTATTTTGGGAGGTATTTTACGCAAATACCCTGCTTATCTGTAGCTCTGATGCAGTATGTATCTGGTGATGTAAGGCCAACATGAAAATAAATGTCTGGATCATTGTGATTCTCACGATTCTCCAAAGTCAATTCGAGCACCTCACTTGACTGCACCACCCATACCATGCATACCAGCTCTTTTGGTTTTAGATTATACTACATAAATTATATCATACTTTAGTCTCATATCAAAGAGACTACATTACAAAGCCAATTAACGACCACACTCCCCTTTGGGCCCTGTGAAGATCGGGTTTAGAATTCGTCTTCAACAGCCCATGTTTGTCGTAAGAGGTGACTAACAAGTTCAGGTGGTCAGGCTTGGTGTCTTGTTTTTCATGTCATCATATCCCAATTGTGTAGATCGATGCTCATGATGTCAATGACTGGATTGTCTGGTCCAGACTCGATTATTTACAGAGTGCCGTGATATAGCTGGAATATTCCCTTTTCAAGATACATTGTATGTACAGTCAAGTCTTGATAATCCGACACTCGTTAATCCGACAATTGGCCTTATCCGACACTAACGATGGGAACTGATTAAATCAGACACACCTTATTTGCAACAACTTATCGACATCACTCATTAATCAGTCTCGTTAATCCGACACAGTGATCAGCGTACTCCGTGGTCATCTGCCCGCGAGTACACAGCCCGTGTTTTGATGCGAGTTGAATCGGCTGGTAGCTGCATATTACAACAGCTGCAGAGATAAACTTGCTTAACAGTAAACAATTAATGCTTTAAATAAAGAAAACAGGATTAATCACATGCTTAGATTACCTCAATCTCATTAAAATCAGATACAATTTATTACAGATATTTTAGACTATGCTTTTTAAAGTATTTTGAATAAGTCATACAGTCAACAGTTGTTTTGTGTTAAACTTTAGAGGTTGCATGATTAGAAACATATTCCGCTAACAATGTAACAAAACAATATGAATATTTCATTTTTTATTTTTTTATTACGTGTTTGTATCATTTTCTATCATGTTGTTGTCCTATTTTCGATCACGATCGTTGATTCTACTTAATTTCGTTTATCCGACATACTCGTTAATCCGACATAGTTATATGCAACCACCATTGTCGGATGAACGGGACTGTATTTATATCACAACAAATAACATTCTGCACACCCTGAGTTTTCTCTCTGCCTTTGCACCATTCTTTTCCTTTGAAAGTGGAAACATTGTTGCATCATCAGTGCATGATTTTGTTGAGTCTTGATACAAGCTGGATATTGTTCTCCCTCTGGTAGGTTCGCCTGAATCAGACTGCCACAGACTTGCTGAACAATATGAAGTGTATGTATGGCAGGCAACCCAGGCTGTTACAAGGACAGGTGGTGAGTAGAGGAGGCCCATTCAAACAGTGTTTTATTCAGCAGTCCCATGTTAATGCTTTGTAGTTTGTCTGATATTTACCACTGCCACACTTTGCTTTTGAAACCACAAGTTGATTAGACATCTCAAGGATATCATGTCATCTATAATACCTCACTAATAGCCCAAGAATATGTTTTTGACACACTAATATTTCATACCAAGGGTCATAGCCTGAACAATGTTTGTTGAAGGCCAAGGTTGAGGAGTTACGTTTGTGATCAGAGAAGGTCATGAGGGACTTTAATGCTTTTTGGGGGGTCAATATTTGTTGTCTTATGCCATGTATGCTTGTATTGTTTGTATTGTTTGAATACTTATGTATGACAAGTGATGGTAGTCATGATGCAATGGTAGGTCATCAGGTCATAGTGACCTATTTTCAAGGAGTAGCCTGTGCTATATTTTTGTTTTATTAAATTCCCACTAGGGACATCATCTTTGATTTATATGCTTAGTAGCCCTTTGGAATATTCTTGAAATATTGAAGGTCAAAATCACTCTCAAGGTCATACATTAAAAAATGAATGATGTTTACAATTACTGAAGAAGTATTCACTGTAGTGAAATTTGGTAAATACAGTCGTGCCTCGTTTATATGGACACTTGCGTCATTTCACAATTCGTCCGTATATACGAAATTTCCGTATAACTGAAACCAGCTTCTTACTGGAAGAGTTACTTCCCTTCAATTATGCAACTTATGACAGATGACAGAGCAAACAGATACATCCACTCAATCTTTATTCATACACGTTTCAAAAAGTCTGTCATGGAAGTTTGAACTGTCACCAATTGTCGATTTTCCTATGGTATGTCCAAATGCAGTGCAATAATGCTTACTGATGGTTTCTAAACTTGCTGACGGGTGTTTTTCTTTAAACAGACAAATTTCCCTTTTTTTCGCGCGCTGTAACTGCGTGTCGCTTCTGTTCGCTGGTCGACAGGCCATCCTTACACGACTTTGACCTCTGACCTCCACAGACGCCATATTTATCGAAGGGGATTACATGTACAATAAACAAGCTCGTCTCAAACGTAACTCAGTGTCACTTGGTTAATTGACTTCTCACGAATCAAAGGATTACCAACAGCGGAAGGATTACCACCAGCGGAAGTGTATTGTCCGGATAAGTGAGACAATTTTGTGTGCATTTCAGTGTTTTGTGTATGAAAATGACCGTCTGGTTCCGGAAACTGAATTTCCGGATATACGTGTAAATTTATATAGTAATTATTTCGTTTTGAATGAAAATCGTCCGGGAACCGAGGTTTCCGGATATCTGAAGTCCGTATAAGCGGGGCATGACTGTATCATCCTAAGGCATGTTAGTGTGGGTCATTGGAATGATAAGGCTTTGAATGACCTTCAGTAAAGGTCAAGATCACTGAATTGGTGATTTTGTGGTACAGGTAGTTCTGTTTCTTTGCGTAGTACATGCTTGCCCTAAAAGGAGACTATGCTTACCTTTTCGTAAAAGGTGACTATGCTTGCCATAAAAGGCGACTAACAGGTGGTCAGGCTCGCTGATTTGGTTGATGCATGTTATCAATCCCAGTTGCATGGATTGATGCTCATGATATCAATCACTGGATTGTCTAGTCCAGACTCAATTATTTAAAGACCAGCATCATATTGCTGGAATATTGCTGAATGCGGTGTAAAACAACAAACCAACCAATCTTTGTGTATTAAATCAACCCTTGTGTTTGTCTGACTATGTTTTTGAAAGCTTGGACACAAATTTATTACCGGGTATTTGAAAAAATCAAGGATTTGATTGGATGAAATTATTGGTGATTGAAATCAGAAATGCATCTAACTTTCTTATAAGGTAACGTAAGGTAGAGGCATGGGAATTTTGAGTTGTCATGCATTTGACATATGTTTTCCCAAACCAGAAGTGAAGTCATTAAATTGAGTACAGAAATGTATAGATCTGCTAATTGAGACCGGTCGATATATTAAGGAAATTAGAGAACAGAGACTGTGTTTTATTTGTAACCAGAATTTTATTGAGGACAATTATCATTTTGTGCTTATATGCAATGCTTATAGTGATTTAAGAGCTGAATACAATCCTCCTAAATATTTTACAACCCCTTCTAAAAATAAATTTAATGCTCTTATGTCATCCAATAACTTTAAAATCATACGAAATCTAGCAGTCTACGTTTACGTAAAATAGTGGTAATTCTTTTTTCTCCCTCTCTCTGTAAATAGTTCTGTGTAATAGGCCTATGGCCTGACACTTTTTTGTGAATAAACAATATATATATATATATAAACCGTAAGGTCAAGTAACTTTTGTATTAGTGTAGCTGGAGACATGTGTTATCTCCAGTCGGACGTTATTAGATGTCATCCCAGTCGAAGTGCCTTTAGGTTCCTCGTCATGTTAGATGGGGCAAGGTACTTTAATCTCGTATGATGTTGTAGTAGAAATGCATTTCACCAAACTGTGAACGGGTTAATATTGCGTAACGCTGCACCAGCAATCTTACAGCCATTCGCAGCTCACAGAACGGGGGGTAGTGGTATCACACTGGAATGGTGTAGTGATGACTGGGACTTTTCAGAAATGGCTGTGAGGGTGCAACTTCTGTTTTTGAAAGTCCTTGCAGTAACTTTTCTAGTCAGGTTTTCTTGTTTTCACTATGAGGAAGTATCTGTAACTGTATCCTGTTCAAAGCCATGATATCCCAGCCTACTTGCACTTCTTCCTTTTTGGTTTTCCAGCAACGCATGCCGAAAAAGCCTTCCAACATCTTCACAATGTTCATCAAACACAAGCAGAAAAAAGTCCGGAAAAAGAACCCCAACCTGACAGGTTCAGAAGTGCTAAAGATCCTTGCTTCACTCTACAAAAACCTGTCCGCAAAGAAGAAAGTAAATATTTCTTAAATTGGATCAATTTTTGTAGACCATAGAGATATTTAGAGCTTAACATGCAAGCTACAAGGATTTAGGGAATCGCTGTCCCGTTGACCATGGCTAATGATTTTGTTATGTTTAATATTCATTTTGGGTGAGCAAACTTCCGTGAGTTTTCCAAAAGTTCCATCAGCTCACTTTGCTTAATGTGCCTATCTGTTGCTGTGTGTAGTGACAGCTGATTTTGATGAAGCGATGAGAGGATGAAGTAAGCAAAGCTCGGTGATTATTAACCAGACCTCTGCTTGTTGGTCCTTACTGCACTTGGTGTACAGGGGCCACGGGTGGCCCAGTCGTATAAGGCCATGCGATTCGATGTGCTGAGTTGCGTCCCTTGGGCACGCCAGAAACCTATGATTGTGGGTTCGAATACCAGTACGCCCCGATTATGCTTCTAGGTTTGTCAGAATCATACCCGTGCTCGTGGGTTTCACCAAGGTGGTAAACGTCTGAGACCTGCATCACTTCGGACTTTCCTCCCACATTAAGCTGACACGCTGCGATATAACTGGAATAATGTTAAAAGCTGTGGTAAACCCAACTCACTCACTCACTCACTCACTCACAAGGTGTACAATGAGATTAGGTGTGCATCAAGTTCCAAGTGACTTCTGTTCTCATTTCAGCAAAAATATCAAGAACAATACAACCAAAACATGGAGGCTTATAAAGAAGAATTTGCCAAGTTCAAGTAAGTCTTGGGTTGCTGTGTAGCCACTGGCTTGCAACTATTGCATGATTGCACACATGCACAAAAATATATCCTTCTCAAAAAGTATTCATACATCTCTCATTAAACTTGGTATGTATTTTTGTAGGAAGGGCCCGGCTTTTTAGACGTTATTCCAAGGTCAGGGTCAGCGTTCAGGCTTTTGTAAAACATGAACACATCATTGAACCTTTGAGGTATTGTGAAAACATCAAAACTCTTCAACCCTGTGTATTAGACGACCCCCCCCCCCCCCTTTTAAGCCCCCTAATTTTAAGTACGAAAAGCTTGCCCTATACACAGCGATATACGGTAGTTCAGTGTCATTTCATACATTCTCTCTAATCCACCACAAAAGTTTTACATTAGAGGGCATCATACAATGGACAAATTTCACTTGGACCTTCTTTTGAAAGCTTTAGAAAATCTTTTTGCCAAATAAATCAAAGATCAAGGTTGGAATTAAGGTTTTTATGACATCCAACAGGCATGAAACTTCCTATTTACAGATCCTAATGCCCAGTCAATAACAGTGGTACCGCTCTCCGTGGTCTAATGGTAGAGCGTCCGCCCGGAGAGCGGAAGGTCCGGGGTTCGATCCCCGGCCGCGTCATACCAAAAGACGTTAAAAGATGGTACTTGTTGTTACCCTGTCTGGCGCTCGGCATTAAGGCTAAAACAAGGACTGTTCGGCTCGGAGTCAGTATACTGTGTCTGAGTGGGGTATTCATGTTAAACTGCAGCATGGTATCTCAGTGAGCTAGCACTTTAAATCGGCATCAGTCCGGACTAGTACAAGCAGCCACACAACCACACACACGTACACGCACGTCGCTATATAAGTGCAATAATCTTGGACGCGACGTTAAACCCATTTCCACCTCACCTCACCAATAACAGTGGTGGCATGTCTATCAAAGGTCAAGGTCATCTTTGAGGTTACTGTGAAACGTGGTTGTGTCATTCATTGCCAGTTACTGTGCCACTTCTATTTGTAGAATCCTGAGACTTGTCAATTTGTCGGATTTTGCAAAGTTGTCTGAATTGATGCCAAGGTCTGGAAGTAATGCTTTGGGGCTAAAAGTACATGCATGTATTTTAAGAACTTTATAGAAATGCCAGTGAAGGGGTTGCTTCTATTTTTGCAAGTATCATGTCTGTTTCACTCATTCATTCCTACTCCTCCTTACTCATGCACACACTCCCTTCTTCACAAACTGCTTCGTTCATTCCTTTTCACAAAGTCACACACTAATTTGTTCATTCCTTTTCACAGTAACACTCCTTCGTTCATTCCTTTTCACAAAGTCACACACTAATTTGTTCATTCCTTTTCACAGTAACACTACTTCGTTCATTCCTTTTCACAAAGTCACACACTAATTTGTTCATTCCTTTTAACAGTAACACACTACTTCGTTCATTCCTTTTCACAAAGTCACACACTAATTTGTTCATTCCTTTTCACAGTAACACACTACTTCGTTCATTCCTTTTCACAGTCACACACTAATTTGTTCATTCCTTTTCACAGTAACACACTAGTTCATTCATTCCTCTTCAAACACCGTCACCCACTACTTTGTTCTTTCCTTTTCACACAGTCACACTACTTCGTTCATTCCTTTTCACACACCGGCACACCCCGGCACAACTCTTTCACTCATGTTCCTTCACTGACCTCCCACTATGTAGGTGTATGTATACCACGACACAGAGCCTATGTATATACAGTAGAACATGGATATAACGAACTAATAGGGACCAGAGAATTCAGTTCGTTATATCTGTTGTTCGTTATACACAGCTATGCTCGGATACTTCCGCCATCTTGTATAAAACAAATCACAATACACGTAACTGCAGCATTGACTTGTAGTCGCAGTGATCACTTCATAGCATTCAATTGATAACATTTACTTAAGTTTAACAAGGTTTATCCGTAACCGCTGATTGTGTTGATTCGCCGCGATTGTGTTGATTCACCTCTGATTGCGTACAACCAATTGTCAGTGACACTTGAAACTGATTGACACTATCACTAATTAGTTGTAGATGGGCTTGTCGGTGATCAAATATCAGTTCGTTGTATCCGTTAGTTCGCTGTAGAGAATTCGTTATATACGTAACCTTTATATGATATTATGTAGGAGATAAATCAGGGATTTTTTAACAGTTCGTTGTATCCGTTTGTTCGCTCTATCCGTGTTCGTTATATCCGTGTTCTACTGTATATGTATCTGTTGCAGAGAGGAGTATCCAGAACTGTTCACTGCTGAAATGAAGGCACCAAAGTGTCTGACACCGCTCAGTATGTTTTTGGAGGACAGAATAACAAGGCTGATTGAAGCCGATCCTGAAGTAAGTACCAACCTGATTACTCCCGTACACTTCCTCATCAGATTCATACATTGGGAAAAGCGTGTTACTTCTTCCCTGATTCAGTTAAAAAGTCAGCAACAATGCCAGAAATATCCTATACTGACATCTGACTTCCACACTTCACTACCATCACTGCTGTGTTCATGGGTCGCCTTTTGTCAGCACCATACCCGTGCTCGTGGGTTTCACCGAAGTGGTAAACGTCTGAGACCTGCATCACTTCGGGCTTTCCTCCCACATTAAGCTGACGCGCCGTGATATAACTGGAATACTGTTAAAACCGGCGTTAAACCCAACTCACTCACTCACTCACTCATGGGTCGCCTGGTGTTCCCTGCACCCTTATTCTCTTTATCGCCTAGCGAATGGGTTGGTTGGTTGGTTTGTTGTTTAACGCCGCACTCAGCAGTATTTCAGCTATATGACGGTGGTCTGTAAATAATCGAGTATAGACCAGACAATCCAGTTATTAATATCAAGAGAATCGATCCACTCAGTTGGGATACAATGACATGCATCAACCAAGTCAGCGAGCCTGACCACCCGATCCCGGAAGTCGCCTTTTACGGCAACCACAGTTGCCTTTTACGGCAAGCACTGGTTGCTGAAGACCTATTCTACCCCGGAATCGTCATGGGGACCTAGCGAAAAGGATCGTCTAAGAACCGAGAATACATATGGGCTTTTTTATAAGAGTTTTTTAAAGAGTACAGTCTTTCCACTGTTTACAACTGCTACAAAGTTATCTACTTATGACACACTCCAATGGAGCCGTCATGCCCCCTCTGTAAAGGATGTAAGCGTCTTTATTCTCATGACCCCCGTTCTGTGTGTTGTGATTGTCGTGGTGTCTGTGCTACGGATAATGGATGTCAGAAATGTTGTAATCATTTGGTAACGGAGTTAAATACTTTCCTTTGTAAATGCCACAAGCGGTCAGTTGATTGGCATTCTAAAACATCTGTCCACGATTCAGAGCTTGGTCCCTCGGCTGTGAAGAAACCGAAACACACAGTACTCTTCTCCGTTTCAGTGCCTCCTTCGTCTTCTCGCGAGACTTCTTCCCCAACCGTTATATTGTTGTCAATTGAAGAGAACACTCTCTCCGACTCTTTTCTTACTGCCGACCTACCCACCCGTGCACGGGAGGGACCCCAGTCATCTACAGTTGTCTCGCAATCTACTAACCGCCACACCGTTCAGTCTTCTGATGATTCTTTATTATTCTCTAGAAGGAGTGATCCCTTTATGCTGGAGTCGCCTCTCTTCCCCTGTGGGGGGCTCTGGGACTAGCCGCACACTACGGTTTTCTGCTGACGTCAGTACAGCTCTCCAGCCATCAGATGGAACCAAGACTTTATCATAGTTTCTTACTTCGATGGATCGACAATCACCTCAGGGTCCACAGGGATCGTTAACAGCTCGTCAACTATCACCTGATCGAAAGCTCTCAAGGGATTCACAGTCACCAGACTATGGGCATCATCCACGGGATTGCCACAGGCATCCGGCATCGGATCGCCATCTACTGACCGATCACCACTCTTTGAGAGATTGACATATCGTCACCCCTCTATAGATTGACATCTCTACCCATCAACACAGTTCAATAACCTTCATTGGATTGCCAATTCTCCACTGATCAAGTCGATAGATCCTCAGTCCTTCAGACCTCGACAATTTGATGCTCAAGGGATCGACATTAGACTGAAAAGCTATAGAAATTTGGACAGTTAGAATACTGTGTACAAGCAAGAAGTAATGACATATGTTTGTTGCAGCTGAACCACAAGGAGGCTAGTGAGGCAGCAACGAGGAAGTGGAAGAAGCTGAAGGAGAAGAAGCTGCTGAAGTGGATCAGACGAGCCGTGAAAGCATTTGAAGAAGATTATAAGGTGGATACAGTATGATTATTATTATTATTATATTATACATTTATATACCGCAGGCATCCAGGAACTGGTATCAGATCAAATGTGGTTTTATTTGTTCCCTGACTAGTCATTCGTTCCGGTTCCAGTTATCATTCTCAACTCCGTGGGGAGTATACAACCAGGTCGCAAAAATGTTTTTACATTAATCTCACATCAGGTACCCATTCCATGCTGGGTGAACAGAGACACATTTGAACTAAGTCACTTGGTGACACCAAACGTTTTGACACTTGTGTTTATGTACGTATTCGTGTTCCCACCATCTGGTCATCTACCATCAGACGAGTGGGTTCTTTTGAGTGCACAGGGTGAATGTACTGTACACTAGACGTAGTGACGACACTGTAAGGACCTGAAAACATTGTTGGTCCATAGGCTGAATAACAAGCCGGTCAATAGCGGGATACGATCTCGGCACCTGGCATTTGCTAGCCTAGCGCCTTTGACCGCTTGCCCACTCCGCCCCCTACATACCCCTTAGACCCAGTATAAACCAGTGTTAGTTTGTATAATGATATATGCCCATCAGCATCATTGTAAACCAATGTTTGTTAACATGATGATAAACTGATGGGGTTTCCAGGTTGAAATTGGCCCCTAGCAACCTATGCTGGCTGTAAAAGGCAAATGGATCAGATGGTTTGGTGACTTGCTTGATGGTGTGTCAATGTTTCTTGACAGTGTGATAGTTACTCCATAATATCAATCACTGAATTGTCTGGTCCTGACTATTACTTACAGGCCACTGTTATACAGATGGAATATTACTTAGTGCATAAGGAAGAGAATTTATGGATGTCAACGTCCTTATTATGAGGAAGACAACTTTTCAGAGTATTTACTTAGCCCTTTAGGGGCATGGGTGGCCCTGACGTCTAAGGCGCCGCGATTCGCTGTGCAGAGTTGCGTCCCTTGGGCACGCCAGAAACCTATGATTGTGGGTTCGAATCCCGGTTCACCCCAATTATGTTTCTAGGTTTGTCAGCACCATACCCGTGCTCGTGGGTTTCACCGAAGTGGTAAACGTCTGAGACCTGCATCACTTCGGGCTCTCCTCCCACATTAAGCTGACACGCCGCGATATAACTGGAATACTGTTAAAAGCTGTGTTAAACCCAACTCACTCACTCACTACTTAGCCCTTCATCAGGTGAAGATGAGGAAGTAGGTATATACTCTGAAACGTTGTGTTCCTCATAATAAAAAAATGGACATCCATAAATTCTTAATACATAAACACACTCACTAATACAATGATATATGCCATTCAGCATCAGTGTGCGGTCTACCAACGGGTACACCCGACGTTTGTCCCAAAGTCGACCTGTCTGAAGAAGTCAGAGCAGAACTTGCTAGACATTGCTGAGGGGAAACCAGTTAAACCACCACAGTAAGTGAAAAGCAAAATACATTAATGAGGCATGTATTACCATATTAGCCTAACACAAGAAGACGGGGGCATGGGTGGCCCAGTCGTCTAAGGCGCTGCGATTCGCTGTGCAGAGTTGCGTCCCTTGGGCATGCCAGAAACCTATGATTGTGGGTTCGAATCCCGGTTTGCCCCGATTATGTTTCTAGGTTTGTCAGCACCATACCCGTGCTCGTGGGTTTCACCGAAGTGGTAAACGTCTGAGACCTGCATCACTTTGGGCTTTCCTGCCACATTAAGCTGACATGCCGCGATATAACTGGAATACTGTTAAAACCGGCGTTAAACCCAACTTACTCACTCACTAACACAAGAAGAAAAGAGTGTTGAACTGGGTTTGTCAGCTGTCCCTGGCTCGCACCCTCTTCACATTGACCCTGCCAAGCAACACCTTTACACTGGCACTATGCTGGTTTGATCTTTGGATCCTTACAGTATGTGTTGTATTTTGTGGAGGTGGTAGACTTGGCTTCTTTTATTAATTAGTTGGTTTTTGGATATTTCATAAAAAAACATCAGTTTGATGGGGAGGATGGACTTTTTAAATTGTGACAATGGAACTTGTTCATTTAAACATCGACTATATTAAAAGATTTGATACATTTATTCTCTGTGTGCTGCATATTATTATTACATTTTATTACATTTTAAAATACAAAGGAGGTGTTAGAAAGGCAAGGTTTGATGGCCAAGTCACATTGTTACAGCGTTTCAAGTTATGAAGAAAATATTTCATATTTTCATTAATTTTTTTTATTATTAATGTTTAATGTGATTTTTATTTTATTTTCTTCCCATTTTGGGTGGGTGGATCTGCAAACCAACTTTTAAAAAAATCAAGGCTCTACCAACGAGGCTCTGTTAAAACAGTGTTGTATTTTGTAGAAGTGGACTGGGAGCGTACCAACGTTGTCGATGGGCTGAGCTAAAGGATAGTGGGAAGAGTTTCAGACACATTGGAAGCAAAATAATTCGTGAATGGAAACAGATGAGTGCGGAGGAGAAAGATGTCTACAACAAGGAGGTCAAGCAGGTATGATATAGTCCCTCTGACGCGGATAAATGGTAAAACTTAGTGTATTTCTATCATGAAGACCATGCTTGTCATAAGAGCTGACCAGTGAGCAACTGGTGGTTACAATGTGTGGCCTGGCTGCACCATCTTGCCCACATGACATAGCTCATGCTGTCAACCACTGGTTTGCCTGACCCAGATTTGATGAGTTACTGTCACTGTAAAATAGCTAGGAAATTACTGACTTGTGTAAAACAAGGATTTTTGATGAGTTGGTGAGTATGCAGAGAGTATTGGATAGAATGTAAAAGCTGTTTACTGCCGAAATGCATGTATATTGACATGGAAAGATGGACCCTGCCTATAACCAGCCTCTCTTCATCCATCTGTTATTCATGGGCAAACTTAGTCCGATGGACCCGTGAAGATCCGGTGTAGAATAGGTCTTCAGCAACCCATGCTTGCCATAAAAGATGAATATGCTTGTCGTAAGAAGTGACTATCGGGATCAGGTGGTGAGGCTGACTTGGTTGATGCGTGTCATTGTATCCCAATATCGTGGATCGATGCTCATGATGTCAATCACTGGATTATCTGGTCCAGACTTGATTATTTACAGACAGCTGTCATATAGATTGAATATTGTTGAGTGTGGCGTTAAACAAACAAACAAACAGTCCCAATGATTCTGATCCACTGAAACAAGAGCCTGACCGGTGTCCCCTGTAAGGTGCTGCTTGATGGTCCCTATCAACCACTTGTTGTGTGGCTCACTCGTTTACTGAGATAGTCACAGGCTGCAGTGATATAGCTGAAATGTTGTTGGGATGGATGAAAAGTATGAAAAGGCGACTATGCTTGTGGTAAGAGGCGACTAACAGGATTGGGTGGTCAGGCTTGCTGACTTGGTTGTTGCATGTCATTGATCCCAATTGCGTGGATCGATGCTCATGATATCAATCACTGGATTGTCTGGACCATATTCGATTATTTACAGGCAGCCGTCATATAGCTGGAATATTGCTAAGTGCTGCGTTAAACAACAAAGCAACCAACCAAACCAACCATTTCCCTTCATTCATTTTCGTGCATACATTTCATGTGAAGTCCAGGTACATTTTCCTTGGTCATGCTCAACGACCTGCCTCTGTCTGCACTGTGTTATTACCTATCTCAGTTTGGCTCCATTGTGTTATGACCTGTTTCTGTTTATCTGCATTGTGTTATGACCTGTTTCTGTTTATCTGCATTGTGTTATGACCTGTCCCTGTTTGGCAGCATTGTGTTATGACCTGTCTCAGTTTGGCAGCATTGTGTTATGACCTGTCTCTGTTTGGCAGCATTGTGTTATGACCTGTATCTGTCTGTCTGCATTGTGTTATGGTCTGTCCCTGTTTGGCTGCATTGTGTTATGACCTGTATCTGTCTGTCTGCATTGTGTTATGACCTGTCTCAATTTGGCAGCATTGTGTTATGACCTGTATCTGTCTGTCTGCATTGTGTTATGACCTGTCTCAGTTTGGCAGCATTGTGTTATGACCTGGTGCTGTTTGGCTCAATTGAGTTATGATCTGTCCTTATGACATTGTCTAATGACCTGTTTGTGTTTGCTGCATTGTTATGACCTGTCTGTTGTTAGTGCATTGTATAACGACCTGTCTATTATTGCAATATGTAACGACCTGTGTCTGGTGTTTCCAGGCCAAGACAGAGTATGCTGTTGCCTATAACAACTACCTTTTGAGCCTCTCACCAGAGAAGAGACAGATGGAGCTGAGGAACAAGAAGGGAAAGATACCTGCCCACACTCTTTCAGTGAGTATCTTTACAAATATGACAGTTTCCAGATAGCAACTTTTAGATAAATGTTTCAAAGATGTCAAACATCACTGTGATTGCTGTCCACTATTGAGAACAAAGGATGTTTGATTATATTTTATGAAAGCTTAATGTCTAGTTCCATGTTTGGGGTTGCAGAGCCCTAGATAAGCTGCCTATTTGCGTAAAATATCTATTTAATAAACTGACATATGCAGACAAATCAAATCCTCTCATATCAAAAAGTATAAATCCGCTATTTAAATAAACATAAAACTAATGCAACTAATGTTGTAAATTACAACTATTAGATAAAGCGTTTGTGTATATTACAACTGTTAGATTGTGTACCAGCTCAGAGTTACTTTCGGAAAAACTTGTGTGACAAACATGAAACAAACTTGACTGCCGATAGATTCCAATTGAAAAGCACATTGTGCCTGGTCAATGTATCTTCAACATGTTCGAAGGTTGCTGATAAGTTATTAAAGAAATAGTGTCTTTCTTACAATGCTAGGTTTTGCAAACAAAAATGGCTTCCCGAAGAGGGAGCTGCAAGCAGACGCAGATGGGTATACTTCTATTCCTTTAATTTTAATGATTTGCTGAGATTCTTACGAAACAGGTTGTAAAGTTAAAATACCCAAATGTCAAGAAACAGTTGGGTAAAAGAAATGTCAAACAAACTTATCTTTGATATGCTGCAGGATAATCAAGTATATTCGGGGTAGAATAGGTCTTTAGCAACCCATTCTTGTTGTAAAAGGCGTCAATACTTGTCGTAAGAGGCGACTAACAGGATTGGTTGGGCAGGTTGATTCATGTCATCGTATCCCAATTGCTTGGATCGATACTCATGATGTCACTCACTGGATTGTCTGGTCCAGACTCGATTATTTACAGACTGCCGCCATAAAGCTGGAGTATTGCTGTGTGCGGTGTTAAACAACAGACAAACAAATAAACATGGCAGACTTCAATGATACTGATCATATTTGTAGACCATTCAGCACGACCTGACTCAGCTCAGTTAGTCGAAGTATTCAATTCCATGTCCCCACAATGCTGTATATTATATATGTTGTGGTTTCAGACAAGCAGTGACGATGTGAATGGTGACGTTGCTGATGATGAGGTGGATGGTACGACTGGAATCAAGGAAGAATATGCAAACCACATTAAGGTTGGTGAAAGTGAAGTGGTTTCAATCATCCAAACATGCAAAACACTTTCCCTGTGCAGTAAGCAGCACTCAGACATGCTGTAAGAGAGGTGCAGGTAACTCAGTTGTGGAAGGTGCCTCAGTTCGCTGTGCAGAGTTGTGTCCCCTTAGCTGACCAGAATATTGTCAGCGTGGGTCTGAACTCCTGATTTGTGATGATTGTTTCATGGTCTGTCAGCACGACACCCATGCTCTCTGGTATCACTTACATGGTAAATGTTGGAGACTTGCATCACTTCAGGCTTTCCTCCCAGATGAAGTTGGGAGGAACTGAAATACTGTTCGACTGGCTTTCAACCGAGCTAACCCACTTACCTAAAGGCAATTCTTGTACTGAATAAGGAGTCCATGTTTGTCGTAGGCTTGGACTGGATTGAATCAGGTGGTTACAGTGTGTGACTTGACTGATTCTCTTCCCAGTCTCCATGGTCAACATGGAACCATACATACTTCATCTCAAATGCATCATGCAAATCCTTCATAAGGACTGCCTTGAAAATGTCTGACAGGTCTCAGAAGAATGTTTATGAACACATGCTACTTCATATGCCCTGTCAATTGAATGCTGTATGTTGTGTTTCACAGTCTGTTGTAGGTCTGGGTTTGAAATGGTCTTCAGCAACCCTTGCTTGTCATAAAAGGCTAATAATAGGATCGGCTGGTCAGACTTGCTGACTTGGTTGATGGATATCATCGTATCCACACTTACGCAGATCGTTGCTCATGATGTCAGCCACTAGATTGTCTGGTCCAGACTTGATTATTTTCAGACCTCTGTGATATAGCTGGAATATTGCTGAGTGCGGCGTAAAACAACAAACCAACCAACCAACCAACTCCACTGTTCTTTAAATACTGGTTGTTCTTACTTTCAAACTGCATCATTGTGGAACGAGGTCACTATGTCAGGTTATGAAACACTATATGATGGTCTTCACTGGTCTTGAGTGTTTTACACCCCGACCTCACCACATCCCCCCTTTTTCTGCAGATTTATTTAGGCGTATTGGGTTGAATATGGTATTGGTCATGAACTTGAGAAGGCATGTGTTGCACCCGGGATGGTGTTGTGTACAGTTGTGCTTGTCTGTGCAGCACACGGAACCACTGCGGTCAGCTCTGTCCTACTACATCGAGGAGCAGTGCAAGGACCTGATCGGCAACGACTCGGACACCAGTGAATCCGACCTCACAGTCTCACTTACCAAGCAGTTCAAGAAACTCCCTGAAGACGAAAAGGTACAAAATTTACAGAATATATTTATAGCTATTCTTTTATGCCTGTATAGGTAACCCTTGTCCAAGGGGTGTGTCAGGCTACTGGTGTAATCCAACAATGATACCATTTCTGGTGGGTTTTCTTACCTGACATGTCTACAGTTTGCCCGTCAGTTTCGATTCAGCCATTTGCATCCTTATCAAAAGAGTTCTTCTTTTTCCAAAAATATATTTTTGACAGCGTTTTGTGGTTATTGCCGGCTGACATGCTCTCAAATTATTCAATTGTCCCCTTGTGACATTATTCCAATCATCTATAATAATCTAGCTTTGATAAAAAACATGAAAGAATCTCATTCTAACTTAGTGGTTGGACTATACCATGCTGAACATATGAGTTAGTGCACTATCATTCCTGAACTGACAATAATAGATGCAGCTGAAAGCTTCGTCTCCAGAAGCAAATAATAAATCTTATTGCATGAAAGATGTGTGATTTCTAACTTGAGCTCAAAATGCTATGATAAAACAAGAGGAACTTCATCTTCCATATCCAGGGCTAGCATTTCAGTAAACCTACCAATGGAATCGGGTGGTCAGGCTCACTGACTTGGTTAATGCATGTCATCGATTCCAATTACGTGGATTGATGCTCATGATGTCAATCACTGAATTGCCTGGTGCAGACTCGATTATTTACAGACCGCTGTTATATGGCTGGAATACTGCTGAGTGCGGCGTAAAAGAACAAACACACACACACCAAATTACCTGCCCTTGAATTTCATTAAAATTATACTGACCAATCAGATGTAGAAATAAGGAAGAAGGAAATGGTAAAGGGAGTTCTTGCCACTGCCAGTTTTATTGGACATCCTTTCCAGCATGCTTGTCATTGTATCCCAATTGCGTGCATCGATGATCATGATGTCAATCACTGGATTGTCTGGTCCAGACTTGATTATTAACAGACCGTCGTCATATAGCTGTAGTGCCGCGTTAGACAACAAACAAAATAAATCATACTGCAGGGGCATGGCTGGCTCTAAACTGACTCTATATTTTCTTGTCTTCAGGACAAATATCGCAAGATGGCAGAAAGCCAGAGGAAGCAGACCCTGATGACTAATTTCATGTGAGTTGGATTTGTTGTGTACCTGAAAGACTGTTAAACGTCTTCAGTTGATATTATGATTGATCACATGATGCTATGTGTTATTGTTTATTAATTTTGGTCCCAGGCATTTTGGATATTGATACCAATGTTGAACAGCCTTGTGTACCAGGCACATGTGGTTTGTGTGCAAGTTGTAGTTAATTGCGTTTTGTTGGCTGTTTTCAGATCAGGATCGCCAAAATCAAAACCTAAACCACTCAGGTGTGTATGCTTAATTTTAGCTAACCTGGCAGCAAGTCAAGTGAGATACGTCTCCAAATTCGCTGCACCTATGAATCTTAAAGTTTTGCTCCACTAATGATGAAAACTGAATTAGTTTTAGCTCTTTTAATCTGATGGTCAATATGGCCGCAATGGCCTCAGAAGCCACAGGACTAATATAGCATGAACTCCAGATTTTATTTAAAAGGTTTGAATTCGATTTTGAATGTGGATGCAGTGGCAACCATATTGAAAATCAGATTGAAACATCTTATTAAAAAATAAATAAATTTATAAGCCAATTTATAATGTTTGAAATGTAATGAAAATTTGTATGTGTGTGGTTAGCAGAGGAACTCAACACAAATGCGCTTTGAAATATTACCTTCACTTGATCTTTACTTGACTTTGCCCTTATATGCTCTCAAAATGTATTCTTGGATATATGTAAATAACATCTCCACAGTACCCGTGAATTTCCGGGTTAGAATAGGTCTTCAGCAACCCATGCTTGCTGTAAAAGGCGACTATGCTTGTCGTAAGAGATGACTAACTGGATAGGGTGGTCAGGCTCACTGACTAGATTGATGCATGTCATCATAGCCCAATTGCGTGGATCGATGCTCATGTCAATCAGTGGATGTTTTGGTCCAGACCCGATTATTTACAGACCGCTGTTATATAGCTGGAATATTGCTGAGTGCGGCATTTAACAACGAACAAACAAACCTGTTTGACTGAGGGCACTGAACTTTGCATGCATGCCATTTCTTATGATGCCTTTATATATTGTTCAAAGCAATTAGATTTTCTTACTTTTTTTCGTAATAGTGTTACACCAACTTATTTATATGGTTGTCCTTTTCGCTGTTGACCACATATCTTGGTAAGCTATAGTGCCATGACACTATATTTGTGATTGATTTTGTTATTATAATAAAAAAAAATGTTGTATGGAATTAAATATGACTATTGAGGTGTATTGTCAGTAATAATATAGGAGGAATGATTACAGTCTACTTGGTCAAGAGCGGTATGATGATGCACAGCAGATGGCTCGGGTTCTCATAGTACTGTAATGATTTCAGTGACAATGGGGCAGGCAAACATGGAGCAATGAAATCATTTCCTGGCGAACCGACTCGACCTCCCTTGTAAGTATGAACACAATGCCATTTAGAAAGTGGTCAAAAGTGACAAATGTTATATTTGGGATTACACTTTCTTAGTAAAGTACAGACTCTAGTATTATTGGGGTTGAGTCCCATCCAGGAATCATGATTAGGCAATCGAATGCAAGTTTCCATAATTGAATCGACCATTTTGCTCCCTTCCTCAAGTCCTGAGACAGTTTTGTTTCCTGATAAGGTATATTCACTTTTTATTGTTTCATATTTCGAGAAAAAAGTGAGAAAGGGGGAGGCAAGTGTCCTTGTGAAAATGAAGTGTTTTAGTAAGGTGGACCTCCCTCCCACACATAGCTAAACCATACTCATTCCGTGAAGATCCAGGGTAGAACAGGTCTTCAGCAACCCATGCTTGCCGTAAAAAGTGACTATGTTTGTCGTAAGAGGCGACTTATGGGTGGTCAGGCTCGCTGACTTGGTTGATGCATGTCATCGTATCCCAATTGCGTGGACTGATGCTCATAATATCAATCACTGGATTGTCTGGTCCAGACTTGATTTTTTTACAGACCGCCGTCATATAGCTGAATTATGGCTAAGAGTGGCATTAAACAACAAAGAAAACCAAAAAAACATTCCCTATTGTAAATAACATGTGGTATTGTGGCCGTGCAGGAGTGGCTACAGTCTGTTCTCCACCAAGCTGCTGTCGGACCTGACGGACGTGCCCAGCAATGAGAGGATGGGGGTGATTGGGCAGCGGTGGAAACAGCTTTCTGAGGAGGAGAAGACTGCCTACTCCAAAAAGGTCAAGAAGAAAATGCAGAAATATACCAAAGAGGTGGAAAAGTTTAAAGAGGTGAGCAGACAGAGATACAAGATCTGGTATGAAATAGGAATGGAAAAAAAAGGTAAAACGCTACTAATAACTGTACGAACTCAGTATATGTTGTTACTTATCAGTACTGGGTTTTATAGTTGACACTGCTCTGGAACTATTGGTAACTTGACATATGCACCTCGACAAAACCACCACTTACCATATATTTCAATATGAATAGCCATTTTGTGAAATTATGTTCTACATGTAATTTTCGGATATTTTTTTGTCCACTAGCCTGTATCAGAGTCTCGTTTCTCTACCCTTGCCACATCAAGGCCATTTTTCTTGGCTCGACCCTTGCGCCACCTCGCATAGATCACGAGTTGTGCCCCTTTTCACGGTATCCAATTAGATGGCTGTTCTTATCTCGTTTAGCTTCACAAAGATGGAGACTCCATAGGCGACAACCTAGTCGATCAGATAATGAAAACATTCGTGATGTCATCCTTGACACAAAAACATAGGCATGCGTTGGGGGATTTGAAAAATGGAAAAAACATTCGTGTCAACAAAGACAGGCAGCAGTAAATCGCTTTCATAAATGGTGTACCAGTTGTGAATGTTGATTTTGTTAAACATTCTTTGATTGGACTATCAGTCATATTTAGCACAGGAAAGTGGTCTTGATGTGGCAAGGGTGGAAGCAAGACTTTGATAAAAGAGTAGTGGATGCTTTTGCCTCGGGAAGATGCATATCACTGAGTGAACAAGGATTTACAGTACCTGCAAGTGCATGGTGCCACTCATGTGTATTACCATGTCCAGCCTACCAATGAAAACCAGCAGAGAACAACCAAACTTTGGAATTTGTACACACTTTTAATAGATATAGGGGCGGTCGGGTAGCCTATTGGTTAAGGCGTTCGCTCGTCACACCAAAGACCCGGGTTCGATTCCCGACATGGGTACAATGTGTGAAGCCCATTTCTGGTGTCCCCCGCCGTGATATTGCTTGAATATTGCTCAATGCGGCGTAAAACCATACTCGCTCACTCACTAATAGATATAGCCACACAAATTACAAACAAAGCAATCCCAATAGTTTGCATTGTAATGATTAAAACCAGCCATATTTCAATTAGAGGTGTCCCCCGCCGTGATATTGCTGGAATATTGCTCAAAGCGGCGTAAAACCATACTCACTCACTCACTAATAGATATAGCCATACAAATTACAAACAATGCAATCCCAATAGTTTGCATTGTAATGATTAAAACCAGCCATATTTTCATTAGAGACTGCAACAAACCGAATGTATGCCCACTCGGTTCGTTTCAGTCTGCATGGTTTACTGTGTTTGGTGACCCGTGAAGATCCGGGGTAGAATTGGTCTTCAGCAACCCATGCTTGTCGTACAAGGAGACTATGCTTGTCGTAAGAGGCGACTAATGGGATCGGTTGGTCAGGCTCGCTGACTTGGTTGATGCATGTCATCGAATCCCAATTGCGTGGATTGATGCTCATGATGTCAATCACTGGATTTTCTGGTCCAGACTCAAATATTTACAGACCACATAAATGTGACTATGCTTGTCGTAAGAGGCAACTATCGGGGTTGGGTGGTCAGGCTCGCTGACTTGGTTGATGCATGTCATCGTATCCCAATTGCGTGGATCAATGCTCATGATGTCAATCACTGGATTGTCTGGACCAGACTTGATTATTTACAGACCACCATCATATAGCTGGAATATTGCTGAGTGCGGCGTTAAACAACAAACAAACACAAACAATACTGTGTTTGGGTTCTTTGAACAATGGATGGATCAATTATCGGCGACAGGGCTTTGATATGACGTCACTTTGTGAATGGCTGTTGTGCAAAGATTGGAAACAATGTAAACAATTGGTGTGAAGCAAACGTCAGCTGATGATGAAGATATGTTACTGCTCATTGAGACCTACTGGAAATCTGTTTTGCTATGGGTGATCATCTTTCTGGATTGTCAGGACACAGACATGTTTGGTATGTCTGTGTCTCAAACACCATGTTCCAGAATCCCTTACTCATGAGTAGCCTTACTGACACCAGCTTCTTTTGGCTTTAAGATGGCTACACGTCAGAGCAAGATGAGATGGTCTGCAGGCTTGGATATAGAACACCGAACTGAGGTGATGAATGACCTTGGGAGGAAGACTGCGACATGCCTTGACCAAACATCGGTGAAACATGGCAGTGGGATCAGCATCCTTGATTCCATTGGTGCACTGGAGGATGTATTTACTGGAGATGAGAAATGCTTGCTTCAGAGAAGAGTGTCATCATTGGATACAACATGTGATAGAGATGATAAGAACTCATGCACCACAAATCTTGCACCTCTGAGTTCAGATGAGTCTGATGCTGATCCACATTCAGAATCCTCCCCCTGTCGCCTGTCCCAGGACACAGCAATGCCTCCCTCTATCATTGTCCAGTGTAGAGACATCTACAGGGCGTTCAGGACAGATCACCAACTGATAGCTGGGAGACTCCTTGCATCGCTCTCTGTCACACGGGGGGAGGCGAGGGCAGTGGAGGCTGCCACCAGGGGGCAGTCTGCGTGTGAGGCCTGGTATTACCACCGACGAGGAAGGATTACTGCATCCAGCTTTGCTAAAGTTATCGACTGTGTTAAGTTTGAGTGCAGAAAGGCATCGGTACTCAAGAAACTGCTGCAAGACATCCGTTACCCTACTTCAACATGGGGCCTGGACCATGAGGCAACAGCACTGGATGCTTACAAAAGCCGGATCTCTGGTTACCACGACAACCTGAAGCTTACCCCTTGTGGATTTGTGATCAGTCCCAAGTTCCCTCACTTGGGTGCAACTCCGGATTCCTGGGTAGAATGTGCGTGCTGTGGAGTGGGCGTGGTAGAGGTGAAATGTCCATTCCCTGCCTTAAGCCCAAGCTCAACCGCCAAGTGTCCCTTTCACTTCCTGGACCCCCACAAGAAGGCCACTCCCCTCTGTGCCACCTCCCTGCCACATGACCATGCCTATTACTGTCAAGTCCAGGGGCAAATGGCAGTGTGTGATGTGCAGTACTGCGACTTTGTCTGCTGGTCACCCGATGACATTCATGTGGAACGCATCCTCCGCGATAAGCATTTCTTTAATTCTATTAAGCAGGACTTGGACTCCTTTTATGAGTGTGTTATGATTCCAGCTATACTATCCTTAGAGGATGACATAGAATGAACAGGATTGATTTGATAAATATAGAATGTCCTGGCATCATCTGTTGTCTGTTAGATGATGGTTGGGCCCTGAATTGTTACAGATAACAAGGTCAAAAGCAAAGCACATTGTTGTGAAGTGTTTATGTGTCTCCCGTTTGTCTAGCCTCATGCTCTGTGTTTATTATTAGATTTGGTTTTGTAAATAAATATTGACTCATGTTTATGAGCATTTTTATCCCCCCGACAAATAATGACGGGGGGATATAGCCATCAGTATGTCCGTCTGTCTGTCCCTCTGTAATCATTGTTTGTCTGGAGCATATTTCCCTAAACCGTACATCCTAGCTTCCCAAAACTTGGTACACTTAACAATCAGGCTCAGAAGTAGTGCTTAGAGATTTTTAGAATTTTTTGTTTTTGTCGTTTCCATGAAAATATATGATGAACTTGGGAAATTTGAGGGTCAGGCTCAGGCTCAGTAGAAGTGCCTTTTGCTATTTAGAGATTTTTAGAATTTTATATTTTTGTCGTTTCCATGGAAATATTATGTACTTAGGAACAAGGGTAGTTTTTGAGGGTAGTGCTCTTGTCCAGACCATATCTCCCGAACCATACAACTTAGCTTCTCAAAAGTTTTTACACCTATCAAGCAGGTTATGTGATGGTGCCTTTGCTATTAACAGATTTTTTCTTTTCTTTTCTTTTTTCAATTTAAATTGAAAATTGATGAACTAAGGGTAATGTCCTCGTCTGGAGCATATCTTCTAAACCATGCGACAGAGATTCACCAAACTTTATGCACATATCAATCATGTTCACTAGTAGTGCAGTTTGTTATTTATAGATTTTAATCTTTTTAATTTGTACCCTCTGACATATAATGAAACAAGATGTTTAGGTTTGTTTTTTTGTCAATCCCAATCATACAATGTTTAGTGAAACAATTGTGACTGATGTGTTTCTGTCAGAATTATTTTCTATTAGTGTTAATCTGTAACCATCTTACTTTTAGTCAATCCCCAGCATACAATGTTGAGGGAAACATTTGTGACTGATGATTCTCATTATATCCCCTGAGTTATAATGTTGATGAGGATATATTTGTAATAATGTCATGTTATTGTCATGTTCAAATGGTAGAAGGAAAGTTATTTCTCTTTGCCATCTGAGGGAATTGATGGCACTCATGGCAACCTACTTCCTCGTAGTGAGTGCCGGTAACATGAACAGCAACCGACATGCCACGTCGGGGGGATATGTCATAATCGGATGACTCTTGTTCTATTTTACCATACTTCAGTTTGATTTGAATATCTGGAGTAGGCTCAAAGCAAAAATTTTATTAGCTCACCTGGCCACAACCATATTAAAAGAAAATATATTTATAGCCATTACTCAGACATTTTTGTTAAGATGTTTTGTAATTTGGTACATGGTAGTGGCACTCAACATATATGTTTTTTCTCTGTTTGTGGTGTAACCAATGTTTAGACATTTTTGTTTGACTATTCATTTAAATTCTCTTATAACTGGATATTTGACTCTGAAAAATTCCTCTCCTCTGAAAATATCTTTTTAGTCATCAATATTATGGTGAAAATTTTTAAATGACATTTCTGCAGCAACTTTGTTAAGTTGCTGTCTTTATGGACATTTTAAACTGTACACTACATACCCAGGTGTTTCAATGATAGAATTTGTCATGTACATCCGTTTATTGTTTAAATAGAGATGAATAATTTGGAATAATATTTCCCATGAAATTTCTAGTAAGGAAGCACATTAGTTTCATTACAAACATACATACTCAACTCCCGAAGAAACCCAAATTTGAAGTGGAAAGAGTTACATGCTATAAAGTTTCCAACAGAAACAAGTCACAATAGGCAGGGTTATAGCAACATATTTAATCCCACTTCAGACAGCATTTCATGAACTTCATGTAGGATTCAAGGTCACTTTGATGTTTGTAAGTGATCTTGAATCACATTCGTGGGTATGACCGCTGATTGGCATGATTGGTCTGTTCTGAGCCTCATATGTCATTTGAGGAGTTGTGGCTGCACGTAGGAATCTATGGTGTAGATATGATGTCACCATGTACCGATATTGTCTATCCGAAGTCACACAGTCAGACACAAAGTGGACGATAGTCTGTGCTGTTGTGCAGGTGATGATGTTCCTGAAGCCTGTACTGCCATGATGTTGCTGGAATATTGCTAAAGCAGCGTAAAACCATACTCATTCACTCACTCCTGAAGCCTGTAAATTGTGGAATGGTGGATACCAGGGTGTCTGACAACTCATGGCATGCTCCATGTAGCTTCAGTTATACTGATTGCCCTCGTCCTGTTTTCTCAAGTTAGATGGGACCTGGTGTTTTTTGTGTAAAACTTAAAATCAAACTACAAAATGAACAGCTATTGTTTGAGACCTGATGACAAGGTATCTGATGAATCAATTACCTTCTCAAACCTTAAAGTGTTCCACGTTTTATACGTTTTCCAGAGACGTTTGTGCAAATATTGCAAGTTGCGTTTTGGTGAATGTTATCATGTGTAATAAAATGGAACGTTGTCTTCTCAAAAATTTAGATATTTATAATTTTACATCACTTTTGTTATGATAATATCCACTGAACATCTTTGCATTTGTTTTGGTTTTGAGGATAAAAGCTGATTTTAGTTCTGTGATTGTGTGTTTCAGACTCTGTCTCCCACTGACTTAGCAACCTTCGAGCAGGTGCTTGCTAACAGAGGAGGGAAGAAGAAGGCCCCAGGGCATGTCATGACGGTCAAGATGTTCAAATAGTGTACATCACAAGTCCTGTCGGTGCAATTCACAATATTATTGTTACCAGCTATTGGGTCCTCTGTACAGTGCTATTTAGTGGCCAGTCGGAAAGTTGTACTCGTGAAGCTGTGATGTGGTCTTGTGGCCTTGTGGTCTAAAGTGCTGCATTTTGTTTTGCAGAGTTATGTCCCTTAGTCGAGACAGGATCCACTAGTTGTCTTTTGCCCTGTTTGTACAGTCTTCACCTACATCAGAAAATCACCTTTTCATTATCAAATATACAGTTTAGGAAAAAGTGTAGAGTCAGCCTTCTTGACATGTCACTCACATGATCACATGTGATGATTTTATGATGATTTATAAGAGTTTCTTATGTTACCAGACATGCAGATTCTTTGGACCCAAAATGGCCCTTGTCAAATATGCAAATTCTGCAGGCCCCTAATGACCCTTGTCTCAGGATACAGATTCTGCGGGCCCAAAATGGTCCTTATCTTACTTAGTCCTTTGATGAAGCTTTTGGGGGGGCTCAGCTTAGTTCATGGGTCTGTGTAACCCTCAGACTGAATCTGTCAGCTGTACAATCAGCTAGGCAGGTGAGCTTCTCTGGTTTTGCCTTTACATCTTCTTTTAATGTGGCACCAAGTGGATCATACGAATGATGAGAAACAGGTCACCTATGTTTTCAGAAGTGCCATATGTTTTGATATTTCGGTTCTTAGATGTTTTTAAGACATATTTTATTTCTCCCAGAGATTCTTGTGTATTGTGTCCAGTGTATCATGGTTTGTAATGATACATCCCATTTATTGGTATTAGTGACGTTTTACGATTTCATTTTACTTAATCATGTTGATAGCTCCTGTTGTGGGTATTTTGTTATTTTAAATTTTCTTAAACTTATTAGGGGCGGTCGGGTAGCCTAGTGATTAAAGCGTTCGCTCGTCTCACCGAAGACCCGGGTTCGATTCCCGACATGGGTACAATGTGTGAAGCCCATTTCTGGTGTCCCCCGCCGTGATATTGCTGGAATATTACTAAAAGCGGCGTAAAACCATACTCACTCACTCTTAATCTTGTTGACTTAAAACCATTTTCAAGTCCTTCTCCAAACTAGGATCAACTTTGGCCCCAGGCCACACTCATCAGTTTCATCCATTCAGAAGATTCCAAGAATTGTCACCAAGTGTTTGTTGTCATCACATTGAGTTCCACCCGGTGCGTTTTATCTATGGTCGGGGGGATGATTGTTAAAGACATGGGTCCTGTCCCAAAAACCTTTCTTAGCGCTAAGGCGGTCATAACTCCCTTCAACATAGGCTTATGATCATTGTAGCGCTAACTTCGCTCTGTGGAACCGGAACTGGGCCCTGGGCCCTCAAAGTGATCTTTGCACTATGATTGTAAGAAGTCAAAAGGGAGTTTGAGTCTTGGCGCTAATATCGCGTTGTGAAACGGGGCCCTGTGTCCTGATTTAGTTTGTAAGAGTTAACTTGTTTGTACAGTTTGATATGATGGATTATAGTTACCTGCTCTGCTGTTGTGTGTAGCTTCCATGAAGATCACCCAACTTCATACAGCTTGAATATTGCTGAGTGTGGCAGTAAACAAGAAACTCTATGAAGATCATCGAAAAATGCATAAACGCAGTGAAGACCCGGGTTCGATTCATGACATGGGTACATTGTGTGAAGCCCATTTCTGGTGTCCCCTGCCGTAATATTGCTGGAATATTGCTAAAAGCGGCATAAAACCATACTCACTCACTCACCACATAAATGCAGTGAACATTTGACACACAGATCTCCTGAAGACCCTAACAGACAGACCTTTTTATATTCTTTCTTAGAAATGGGTTCATATTTGTGTGTAGCTGCTTCAAGAAATATAGAATTTTTTAACTTCATCCCATCTCAAACTTTGCATTTTTCCCTACTCAGCCGATCCTAGAGTGGAAACAAACCTTGAACCTATTTTCCAGCTTAAAAAAAACACACCTCACACGAACACAGGTGAGAAGAACGAGTGTGATCAATCATCCAAAATGTAGGTAACTGTGTCGTCAGACTTGGATTTAAAGTGTCTATCACTTCTCTCCTAGCACATTTTCTTCTGAAGAGGGCAAAATCCTCATCTTTTAACGCTCTACACAGTTCACATCTGACAGACCAAGAACAGATTCCATGACAGTCATTACATCTAATATGTCGATCTTGTGCGGAAAAAGGCAGCTTGCGACTGTCACATACTTTCCCCTTTTTTCTGTCCATGATAGCAAAAGATCTTTAACTCAAATACCCAAGAAATAAGTTTGATTCTCCATCAGAAAAATATGTCTAAACTCGAGAGCTATAAGATGGAGAATGAGTTGGCAGGTCAGGTCTCTAGGTCAGGTAGCACGAGTTCCATGCTTTAAAAGTAGAGTGGCGATAGTGCTGACAATGGTTACAGCTGGGATGTGTTTGGGTGAGGTGTTTTTGGAGCTAGAAACGAGTTCAAGGATCGTTTCCATTCTTGGATCAGCTGAGAAGGGAAAAATGCAAAGTGTAAGATAGGATAAGTATATACATATACATATACAATTTATTGTAAAATTTACAATTTTTTCTTTGAAATAAGGGGCCAGGCAGTTATTGTGTGAGACCCACATGAAAAAAACATTTTCTTTTGTAACCTTAGGCATCACTACTTTCTCAGTACTTTTAGTAGTTTATATTTTTCAACCCCAAAAAACTAAATTCCCAATGTCTTGCTGTGGCAGTGGTCTAACAAATATTCTGTTGTAAAAATCCCAGCTCCTATAATGTCAAAGACCGCCTCCGTGGTCTAGTGGTAGAGCGTCCGCCCGGAGATTGGAAGGTCTGGGGTTCGATCCCCGATCGCGTCATACCAAAAGACGTTAAAAGATGGTACTTGTTGTTACCCTGTCTGGCGCTCGGCATCAAGGGGCTAAAACAAGGCCTGGTTGGCTCGGAGTCAGTATACTGTGTCTGAGTGGGGTATTCATGTTAAACTGCAGCATGGTATCTCAGTGAGCTAGCACTATAAATCGGCATCAGTCCGGACTAGTACAAGCAGCCACACACACACACACGCGTGCATGCACGTCGCTGTATAAGTGCAATAATCTTGGACGCGACGTTAAACCCAATTTCACCTCACCTATAATGTCAAATGGTCGGCCCCAGATGGAATTTAGGAGATGCTGTGTTCAACTGATACCAGTCCTACACTGGTTGTCTCCCTTTAGCATTCAGCAAACCATACACTGGCTTCTGTAGCCTTGAGATGATTGAATGAATTGTTTTTTTGATCTATGGATAACAGTAGGGCAAGTCAAGCTTTATACATCTGTAGAAAGATTAATGGTCTATAATGCAAGTTAATGAAAGAGAAGACACATTATTACGGGTACACTTTCATCCGAAATGGGTAATATTTCTTGCTTAATCAGAAATAAGAAATAAGAAATAATGTTAGAGTTATTTCAGATTGCAATAATGAAATATATATGGAAGTGAGATTATTGGACATTCAATGAAATGTCTTGCTATGACTGCTGAAAGAAAAGCATTGGAAAATATTGACTTATGAATCCACATCATTTTAGTTACTGCCTCCCAGTCCTGTATCAGTACACACGACAAACAGAATATGTGGAACACCGTCTATGTTTTCATTAAGCAGTAAAGAGTTTTTACAGTTATGTATGTATTTGTTATACCTCTTAAAATCTTGCAATTCCATTGATTAATCCGTACCACATGATGAAACTAATACATTTCAATATCGACCCCGAAATCATATGACTGACACTGAGACCTCAAATATTGACTCATCACATGATCAGTATTGACCTGTCATAGGATGAATATTGACTCGTCTGCTAGAAAACAAGATGGCGTCTGGTACGAACTCATCACTTTCGCAGCTAAGTTACTGTAATGAAACAGGACAGTTTAAAGACTTCATGAACTTTAAAGTGAATTTTGGTAGAACAAAATGAATGATTACTCTTGACAGGTAAATATGTGAAAACGAGGACCCTCGGAACCGGGCCCTTAGGGAGTCTGTCCTGCGGTCAGACCACCTCAGGGGTTGGGTTCTTGGATCCTTGTTTTTTGTTGTTAATTATTTGTATGATAGTAAGCCTCTTTAATATCACAGGAGGAAATACAATGAACAACATCAAGAACACCCTCACCAGCCTTAGTTTTATTGACCTGTTCAATGAACACACTTACAACGGACGGATATAACAAACAGCTTTTTGGTCCCGTCCATTTGCTGTATATATGTTGTATATATACTACTCAAAAGAAGTTAAGGATCACCCAATTCTTTTCTATTACTATAGTTAATCTCATGCCATTACAGATTAACAATAGTAATTTGAAAGAATCTGCTGATCCTTAATTTCTTTTGAGTAGTATATGTTGTATATATACTTATATCGAACTACGATTATAACAAACTAAAATTAGTGGTCCCTTTGAGTTCGTTATAACCATAGTTTTCTGTATTATCCGTTGTTTCGTAGGTTGATTTGAGGGTAGTTTCTTGAAATACATGCTTGTAATAAAAGTTTTATCAAAAATACAAAGCAAGACGATGTTATAAAATATATGCTGTTTTTAATATTACAAAGTGTTCTGTTTTCTTAAACTTTATATTTTTCATCTTTAAAATAGGAAAATAAATTGGTTAGGCCTAATGATACATAGCAGTATTCTTCAAGTTTTTACAGAATATTTTGTTGTGGGGAATTCCCCTTCAATGACAACCCTGTTTGCAGTGTACACACTGTTACAAGGGGTGATAGCTCAGTAGAGATTGCGTTGTGTAGCCTAGGATTACAGTGGTATGCTGTAGTCGCGATAATGTAATTATCCAAGATGTTGAAAAACTGTGTTTGTTGCCGTGGTCACATTGATACATGCACTGCATCTTTGTCTGATGACTTGATAATGAAGGCAGTAGCGTGATGATATTAGTTGAGAGGTGCTATGTTCAGTGCTACTATGTATGTCTCAAAGCTGAAACCTGGTTAATTCAGACCCTGTTAATGCAGCATCCCTACCTTCCAAATTATTGTCTAGAACACTTATGTGTAATCAATGTCATGTTACTGTTTGATTTGTTAATACTGGTGATTTCAGTGAAGGCATTCGTCTGGATTAACAGGGTCCTGTCCTCACTTCCTAGACAACTCGTTCTTCAGGGATGCATGTAGACTTTGAAAAGTTGTGAAAGTTTTAGATTAACCATAAAATGGTTTTCAGTATGAAAATACATTGAAATGTTTTTTGAACCCAGCAAATTTAAAAATATTAACCATTCCTATCAAAGTACAGCATGACATTCAATCTCTATGACTCTATTCATTTCAAATGAAACTCAGTGGAATTACCTTGAGTTGTGTGATAGGTTGTTTCAGTGTTGTATCACAGAAACTCATCAGCAATAGAAACTGTTTTAGTCCACTAGTCCTTATAATGATAACGCACAGCAAAACCACTAATAATGGTAAATTTCTACTAGTCCTTATGATACCTTAACTATTGAGCAGTTTGTCAAGGACTATAGGACTAGTGCCAATTTCAACGCTGCTCAGCCTGAATTTAGCCTCTTGAGGCCTTACGTTTCATCTTGTGTGTAACTTTGTGATGGTTAAATTTTCAGTATCTGATAGTATATTGTACAATTTTATACTTATGTTTAACTTATAGTTTAGTTATGTTTCAATACAAATATATTTTTTTCTATGCTGGTAGCTTGTTAGATTGATCAACAGCACTGATTTTGTACATTGCAATACTTGAAAGATTGCTATTGATAACAGAGTAGTACATTCTTCACTAAAGATGTATTTATCAAGACTATTATGCAAGTCATATGTTTCAATGCCGAAAAGTATTTAAAACTGCATATTCATTATATTCATTCATTACAAGTATAATAAAATGTGTTTCCTTGCTGAGGGTCCTGTTCTCTTTCCTGACATATGTGCTGAACACATGACACATACATGATGAACACCTGATGACTGACACATACATGATGAACACCTGATGACTGACACATGTGCTGAACACCTGGTGACTGACACATACATGATGAACACCTGGTGACTGACAGATGAGCTGAACACCTGGTGACTGACACATACATGATGAACACCTGGTGACTGACACATGTGCTGAACACCTGGTGACTGACACATACATGATGAACACCTGATGACTGACACATGTGCTGAACACCTGGTGACTGACACACACATGATGAACACCTGGTGACTGACAGATGAGCTGAACACCTGGTGACTGACACATACATGATGAACACCTGGTGACTGACACATGTGCTGAACACCTGGTGACTGACACATGTGCTGAACACCTGGTGACTGACACATACATGATGAACACCTGGTGACTGACACATGTGCTGAACACCTGGTGACTGACACATACATGGTGAACACCTGGTGACTGACAGATGAGCTGAACACCTGGTGACTGACACATACATGATGAACACCTGGTGACTGACACATGTGCTGAACACCTGGTGACTGACACGTGCTCAACACCTGGTGGCTGACACATGTGCTGAACACCTGGTGACTGACACATACATGGTGAACACCCCATCTTGCATTACATGTACTCAACACCTGGTGACTGACATGTATATGGTGCATGTCATCGATCTCAATTGTGTGGATCGATGCTCATGATATCAATCACTAGATTGTCTGGTCCAGACTCAATTATTTACAGACCGCTGTCATATAGCTGGAATATCGCTGAGTGCGGCGCTAAACAACAAACCAACCCACCAACCAACCAACATGTTACTATCCATGTTTTATCAGACACCTGTTGTAGGTTGCTATATACTATAAACCAAGCATGGATGTAGTGGTCATCCAAGGAAGGGAAATGAGCTGTGAAGAGTTGCATCCCTTTGGTGTACCAGGATTCTGTTGCCATGATCCTATGATCCCAGGTTTGAATCAGAGATTCACCCATATTGTGATGCCATCAATATCTGTTCTCATGGGTTTCACCGCAATGTTAAAGTCCTGTCTGAAATGATTTATCACTTTGGGCTATCCTAACACATTAATCTGACACACTGTGATATAACTGCAATATAAACCCGATGTTGTTCATCTCTGTCAGGGGGTGGTCGGGTAGCCTAGTGGTTAAAGCATTTGCTCGTCACACCGAAGACCCGGTTTTGATTCCCGACATGGGTACAATGTGTGAAGCCCATTTCTGGTGTCCCCCGCTGTGAAATTTCTAGAATATTGCTAAAAGTCGCGTAAAATCATACTCACTCACTCATCTCTGTTAGTGAGAGGGGAGGGGGGATGTGGAGGAGTATAACAAGATTGAAGCATATGTGTGAATAATTTTCTTTGAATAAGAAATAATTAAAATTGAAAGGCAGTATTATTTTTATTTTCCTGAATATACGAACAGGTGTTAACACCAAAACAAAAAGTTGTTTGTACACAACTGACGAGACCATCCTGAGCACTGCAACATTTTCAGATAACATTTAACTGCATTCCAACCAGGAATTAAAAAGATGAGTGGCCACAGATATTTTTGTATATTTTGGAGTATAACCTTTCAAAAAAGGTCCTGTTTCTTCAATAAACAAGAAATTAAATTGCTATTCTATCAACAAGTCTTTTGTTTTAGTTTATTAGGGTTTTGAGTGGAAGATCGTCATGTGTAAGTTTCGGCAAATCAAAGTGAACAGTAATTATGGGAAAGATACCCTAGATGTAACTGTCAAGGAATGTAGCAGTCAATGTTAAACATTGTTTTGTTGGAGTGAAAACCACTGTGCAATAAAGATATCAATGTATTTGTCATTTTACCATCAGATCAAGATTCAACATTGAACAAACATCTCTTATTATAAGTCAAGATATAGATATTATATATATTCACTCACATTTCAACTTAATCCTTGGTAACAGTCGTTCTAGTCTGTTTCTGCACGATTTACACGATGTGCGAAAAACACATCAGTTTCATACCGAGACAGTCATAATTGCAACATGGATTTGAACTCACAATACCCGTTCACAACCGTGAATTATTACATATCATTAATCTTTCAGAGTTCTCTCCCTTCTGTTATTGCTTTGCCGTTTCCGGTTTGATCCCCACGTGGGTTTTTACATTGGAATATGTTTAGTACCGTTATATCTAGTGAGACTGGAATCAGACAACCAAAACCCAGAACTGTTTTAAGAAAGAGACATTTATAAACTTTTTTTTTTTATATAAATAAAACAACAAATTCGATTCGTCATTAATGTCAGCAGACTGAAAAGAACAATGTCGACTGTACTGCTCGGTGTTCCCGACACCGAAGTCGCTTCCCCGACCTCATGGGACGTCAACAAGATAGGAGGGCTTCCTGTGAGTAACGCTAAGCTCTGAAGTAGATCGAAATGTATCAATAATTATAACGTTGAAGCTGCAATCAAAGTGGGGTAGCACCTTCAGTATTTTAGAAGTAAAGGAACGTATTGGAGATGTACGTGCACAGGAACTCGTTATATTTACTGACTTATCTATCTATCTATCTATCTATCTATCTATTGGAGATGTACGTGCACAGGAACTCGTTATATTTATTGACCTATCTATCTATCTATCTATCTATCTATCTATCTATCTATCTATCTATTGGAGATGTACGTGCACAGGAACTCGTTATATTTATTGACCTATCTATCTATCTATCTATCTATCTATCTATCTATTTATTGGAGATGTACATGCACAGGAACTCGTTATATTTACTGACTTATCTATCTATCTATCTATCTATCTATCTATTGGAGATGTACATGCACAGGAACTCGTTATATTTACTGACTTATCTATCTATCTATCTATCTATCTATCTATCTATCTATCTATTGGAGATGTACGTGCACAGGAACTCGTTATATTTACTGACTTATCTATCTATCTATCTATCAATCTATTGGAGATGTACATGCACAGGAACTCGTTATATTTACTGACTTATCTATCTATCTATCTATCTATTGGAGATGTACGTGCACAGGAACTCGTTATATTTACTGACTTATCTATCTATCTATCTATCTATCTATCTATCTATTGGAGATGTACATGCACAGGAACTCGTTATATTTACTGACTTATCTATCTATCTATCTATCTATTGGAGATGTACATGCAAAGGAACTCGTTATATTTACTGACTTATCTATCTATCTATCTATCTATTGGAGATGTACATGCACAGGAACTCGTTATATTTACTGACTTATCTATCTATCTATCTATCTATTTGAGATGTACATGCACAGGAACTCGTTATATTTACTGACTTATCTATCTATCTATCTATCTATCTATCTATCTATCTATCTATCTATCTATCTATCTATTGGAGATGTACATGCACAGGAACTCGTTATATTTACTGACTTATCTATCTATCTATCTATCTATTGGAGATGTACATGCACAGGAACTCGTTATATTTACTGACTTATCTATCTATCTATCTATTGGAGATGTACATGCACAGGAACTCGTTATATTTACTGACTTATCTATCTATCTATCTATCTATCTATTGGAGATGTACATGCACAGGAACTCGTTATATTTACTGACTTATCTATCTATCTATCTATCTATTGGAGATGTACGTGCACAGGAACTCGTTATATTTACTGACTTATCTATCTATCTATCTATCTATCTATTGGAGATGTACGTGCACAGGAACTCGTTATATTTACTGACTTATCTATCTATCTATCTATCTATTGGAGATGTACATGCACAGGAACTCGTTATATTTACTGACTTATCTATCTATCTATCTATTGGAGATGTACATGCACAGGAACTCGTTATATTTACTGACTTATCTATCTATCTATCTATCTATTGGAGATGTACGTGCACAGGAACTCGTTATATTTACTGACTTATCTATCTATCTATCTATCTATTGGAGATGTACATGCACAGGAACTCGTTATATTTACTGACTTATCTATCTATCTATCTATCTATTGGAGATGTACATGCACAGGAACTCGTTATATTTACTGACTTATCTATCTATCTATCTATCTATTGGAGATGTACATGCACAGGAACTTGTTATATTTACTGACTTATCTATCTATCTATCTATCTATTGGAGATGTACGTGCACAGGAACTCGTTATATTTACTGACCTATCTATCTATCTATCTATCTATCTATCTATTGGAGATGTACATGCACAGGAACTCGTTATATTTACTGACTTATCTATCTATCTATTGGAGATGTACATGCACAGGAACTCGTTATATTTACTGACTTATCTATCTATCTATCTATCTATTGGAGATGTACATGCACAGGAACTTGTTATATTTACTGACTTATCTATCTATCTATCTATCTATCTATCTATTGGAGATGTACGTGCACAGGAACTCGTTATATTTACTGACTTATCTATCTATCTATTGGAGATGTACGTGCACAGGAACTCGTTATATTTACTGACTTATCTATCTATCCATCTATCTATCTATCTATCTATTGGAGATGTACGTGCACAGGAACTCGTTATATTTACTAACCTATCTATCTATCTATCTATCTATCTATTGGAGATGTACATGCACAGGAACTCGTTATATTTACTGACTTATCTATCTATCTATCTATCTATCTATTGGAGATGTACATGCACAGGAACTCGTTATATTTACTGACTTATCTATCTATCTATCTATCTATCTATTGGAGATGTACATGCACAGGAACTCGTTATATTTACTGACTTATCTATCTATCTATCTATCTATCTATTGGAGATGTACATGCACAGGAACTCGTTATATTTACTGACTTATCTATCTATCTATCTATCTATCTATTGGAGATGTACATGCACAGGAACTCGTTATATTTACTGACTTATCTATCTATCTATCTATCTATTGGAGATGTACATGCACAGGAACTCGTTATATTTACTGACTTATCTATCTATCTATCTATCTATTGGAGATGTACATGCACAGGAACTCGTTATATTTACTGACTTATCTATCTATCTATCTATCTATTGGAGATGTACATGCACAGGAACTCGTTATATTTACTGACTTATCTATCTATCTATCTATCTATTGGAGATGTACATGCACAGGAACTTGTTATATTTACTGACTTATCTGTCTATCTATCTTTCTATTGGAGATGTACGTGCACAGGAACTCGTTATATTTACTGACCTATCTATCTATCTATCTATCTATCTATCTATTGGAGATGTACATGCACAGGAACTCGTTATATTTACTGACTTATCTATCTATCTATTGGAGATGTACATGCACAGGAACTCGTTATATTTACTGACTTATCTATCTATCTATCTATCTATTGGAGATGTACATGCACAGTAACTCGTTATATTTACTGACTTATCTATCTATCTATCTATCTATCTATCTATTGGAGATGTACGTGCACAGGAACTCGTTATATTTACTGACTTATCTATCTATCTATTGGAGATGTACGTGCACAGGAACTCGTTATATTTACTGACTTATCTATCTATCCATCTATCTATCTATCTATCTATTGGAGATGTACGTGCACAGGAACTCGTTATATTTACTAACCTATCTATCTATCTATCTATCTATCTATTGGAGATGTACATGCACAGGAACTCGTTATATTTACTGACTTATCTATCTATCTATCTATCTATCTATTGGAGATGTACATGCACAGGAACTTGTTATATTTACTGACTTATCTATCTATCTATCTATCTATCTGTTGGAGATGTACATGCACAGGAACTCGTTATATTTACTGACTTATCTATCTATCTATCTATTGGAGATGTACATGCACAGGAACTCGTTATATTTACTGACTTATCTATCTATCTATCTATCTATTGGAGATGTACATGCACAGGAACTCGTTATATTTACTGACTTATCTATCTATCTATCTATCTATTGGAGATGTACATGCACAGGAACTCGTTATATTTACTGACTTATCTATCTATCTATCTATCTATTGGAGATGTACATGCACAGGAACTCGTTATATTTACTGACTTATCTATCTATCTATCTATCTATTTGAGATGTACATGCACAGGAACTCGTTATATTTACTGACTTATCTATCTATCTATCTATCTATCTATTTGAGATGTACATGCACAGGAACTCGTTATATTTACTGACTTATCTATCTATCTATCTATCTATTGGAGATGTACATGCACAGGAACTCGTTATATTTACTGACTTATCTATCTATCTATCTATCTATTGGAGATGTACGTGCACAGGAACTCGTTATATTTACTGACTTATCTATCTATCTATCTATCTATTGGAGATGTACATGCACAGGAACTCGTTATATTTACTGACTTATCTATCTATCTATCTATCTATTGGAGATGTACGTGCACAGGAACTCGTTATATTTACTAACCTATCTATCTATCTATCACGAGTACTTGTGTGTACGTGATAAGTGTAGATAGACAGACTCCATGTGTTTATGATCTACAGCAGGTTACTCCTGTATTTCAATCTGCATCAAGTTTTAGAATTTAGTGACAATGATCCCTTAACTTTCCTGCTTAAAAAAGTGTTTGACAGCCATTTTGCTAGCCCCCCCCTTGAAGATCCAGGTTAGAATAGGTCTTCAGCAACCCATGCTTGTCGTAAGAGGCAACTGACGGGATCGGGTGGTCAGTCTCGCTGACTTGTTTGATGCATGTCATCGCATCCCAAATGTGTGGATCGATGCTCACATTATCATTCACTGGATTATCTGGTCCCAACTTGATTATTTACTGACCATGTTTTCATATAGCTTGAATATTGCTGAGTGCGGCGTTAAACAACAAACAAACATTTTGCTAGCAGTTGTTGTTTATCCCCATTAGTGGCGAGAATGGATCTGGGCACTGATTTAACATGTTTAAAAAATATCCCAAATGTTAAGAAAATAATGATTTTCCCAATTTGCCTGCCAAGAGCGCTTATAGTTGGTGTAGTTTGGAATCCTAGAGAAATTGCTTACATCGGCATCAAACTAGCTATGGAGCATCAGATCGCTACTGCATAGAGGCTGTGTTTACATATCAATCTAATGTCTGGAAAGTGGGCCATATGTTGCATGACGAAAAAAGTGTCATGAAACCTAATTTGTAAATGCTCTCTTCTTTTTAAGGACCTAATGATCCATCTATCTACGCCCAAGTGTGAGGGATGCTCAGCTCTGATGATGCATATACTACAGATTTATTGTCCATTGGAGTTGTCTCCCTTCCATCGTAGTCTCCATGTGTTCGCCTGCGTAACAAGATCATGCTGGAACAAGGAACATGGGTATAGTTCACAAGTCTGCCCGTCGGGCTGAAACTCCCCCTGGTTATTGGTGTGCATCACAATGTGTCGTCGTCATCATCATCATCATCATCATCATCATCATCATCATCATCATGTTCATTGTTTGTCTTGTCTACAGTTGCATGTCAGTAAATAAAGTACTTAACGCCCTCATTTTCAGTCTCTGGGAATCTCTCACCAGATCTTCACCTTCAAACGTCTGTCTATTTTTAGACATTTTTTCACACCTGTAGGGTTTCCCTCAGTCTATTTATATCTTGCATTAAGCACTTCCTTTGATGCTTAATGCAATCTATCTTGTAATTGGCCACCCTGGTCCTCTACAGGGAGCTTCCTTCCATACCTGACTTCATGTACTGCTGTTGAGGAGGAAGGATATGTTCTTTTCTTCAGGTTATTTCTTCAACAGCAGCCACCCCCATCGTTTAATAAATGCATAATCATCATCTGCCTGTGTCTCTGTTCTCCAACGGCCTGAGCCGGATCAAATACACACACTCCCCCGGTTACACCTGCATGATATGGACCACATGTTGAGTGATATTTGTAGGGTTTCTTAAACCATTATTACTTAATTCACATCATTGACTCATGTTGATTAAAAAAGTCTATGTTTGAGTTAATTAACATGGTTAAGTCATGCAGATTGATGATATATTCAGGGTTTTATCGGACATAAAATACTGCATTGAAAGCCCAATCTATGATAGACTCCAAAGCATGTGCAGTGATGATATCAGTAATTTTTTTTATTCAAAATCAGCTGAAGCATGCCATAAGTTGTAAGCCTGGCATTTTCATGCCATGGACACCCCCAAAATTATTACTGAGCGTCCTCCAGACTTGAAAATAGACCAAGGTAATTCCCTTTGTTGTCAGAGCACTGGATTATTCAGCAAAACATGAGCATATTTATCTACTTCAACACTTATCTGTGTATGTTTTTGATCAGTGTTCAAAATAAGCACCCTGTAGGCCTGTGGCAGGTACATCTTGTGTCGGGCCCATAGTTTAGTCGTGGCCTGCTGCTTCTAAAGTCTGTGGGGCCTAATGGCAGGGATTTTACTTTCAAACATTGTTTTAGATACTTGAAAGCTTCTTTATACAAAGTCAGTGATGATCCACAGCCATTGCTATAAGCTTGCTTCCTTCATTGTGTGTAGGTGGAGGGTATTCCGATCTCAGCTGAGAGATGCCACCAGTTGCCAGGAGAAGTCCGCCAATGTTTGCTCCTCCAGTGGTAGTAAGGTTGCTATGGAAACCAGTGATTGGTGTGATGATGCAGATGACTGGGGCTGCGATGATGATGATGCTCAAGATTTGGTTGCCATGGTAACGGACAATTTCAATGCAGTTGCCACTGAGAGTACAGCTGGTGCTACAGATGATACCCCAGCATCTCCAGCTACGTCCACCAGCGGTCAGTTCGAGCTAGATGAAACTGAGGAAGCACTTGTCTCAGGACTGGACGAGTTAAATGTGGAGGATGGTGCAGCACCAGGCAATGTCAAGGGAGATGACTCTCTCCTCCCAAATGAGAAAACATTGGCAAATGTGCTCAGTTACTTGGCAACGGACCAGCCAGATGACACAGGTCATGATGATGTGATCCTGCTGAAGTCTGCAGCTTCCCAGTCTACCCCCCTACTGTCGTACCATCTAAACGTGTTTGATGAACCGTCCGCTGATGTCACTGACGAGGCCCATGTGGCCAAACTGTTGAAAGCTTACGAGAGAGCAGAGCGTGTTGATGTCAGGTCACTGGCAGATGAGGATAGGTGAGCTGTGCTGGTCAAGTTAATATATTACAGCAAAACTTCTCAACATTTATGACATTGTTTGTTTGTTGTTTAACGCCGCGCTGGGCAATATAACATAGAGGTAGACTATTAGCAATACTATATTCGCTGGGTGCTTAGAAAATTGACAAAGGTGGATGCTTATTTAAACCCATCTTTCCGAGGCAAGAGAGTTAACTGACTTTAAAAGTCCAGTTTCCACCCTTGCCGAACTAGGCTGGAATTCCTGGGCTCGATCGTAGCGCCACCAGTGGCTTTTACGAGTTATGTCCATTCTATGCCTCTCCCATATGGACCAATCAGATTCCACCTCTCGTATCACATGCATTTGCTTCAAACAATATGGTGGTGCCCAGCCAAGACGATCTGATCGACCATCAAGATCTATTTTGTGATAATAACGTGATCACGATCAAATAACATGAGCACCTTGATTAAAAACAAGAAAAGATTTGGAAAATATCTGTTGACAACGAGTTGGCGATGCACATGCTTTTCAAATCCTGCAATCGACCAAACTCTGCATGACAGTTTACGAACCAGATTTCGATTTCGGTTAGCGAATTTGATTGGACTATGCATAGAATCGTTAGTCCAGCCATAATCTAACTCCATAATCCCAGCCAAGATCGGAAAGGATTGAAACTGGACTTTAATAGTCAGTTAACTCACTTGCCTCGGGAAGATGATTTAAACCTTACACCTGTTATATTTGTTATCAGTGATCAAGTGATACAGAACACACTTAATTCAACATCACTGAATTGGGACGAGGCAGCTACATCCCCTTTCTTCACCTATAATGTATTTTAAGGGTGAAACGATACAGGAAGGTATACGTATGACGATATATGGGTCTTGAAACCATAAGTATCGAGATACGAATATTTTCATCAAATTGCTTGGAAACTTCTTGACTATTAATATTTCAGTGTTGGTTCAAAAGGAAAGGGTTCGTCGTGGCAATTTTTAGTATTGAATTTAATATGCTAATTACAACACATTTAGCCGAATTTGACTGACAAAAATGCTTGGGTGTCATTACAAGAGTAGTAAATAATTTATTTTAGCCAGTGTATCGTCTTGTATCGATATAGTAAAAAATGTATCGTTGCTTCAAAACTCATGGTGCACCAGTTTATCAATTAACCCCAAGTGTGTTTAATGTAAAACGATATGTAATATACACAAGACTATACAGATTGTCATGTCAGTTTTTGAGGAATTGATGTAGAAGTTGGTCAGGGGGAGCTTATTGGAGCTGGGTGCTTAATACAGTGAATACAGTAAATCTCCGTTATCACTGTTCACTTCATTTCTAGTGTAGAGTGAACCCGGTTAATTTTGAAAAGCATGTCCTGTGAAATCGTTAGGGCTACCAGGTTGCCACATCCAGATTATGGATAATGGGCAAGGAGTTATGTTTATGTAACTGTCTGTAATAGTTCAATAAATGTTTGGGGGCACGGGTGGCCCAGTCGTCTAAGGCGCCGCAATTCGCTGTGCAGAGTTGCGTCCCTTTGGCACGCCAGAAACCTATGATTGTTGGTTCGAATCCTGGTTCACCCCGATTATGTTTCTAGGTTTGTCAGCACCATACCTGTGCTCGTGGGTTTCACCGAAGTGGTAAACCTGCATCACTTCGGGCTTTCCTCCCACATTAAGCTGACACACCGTGATATGACTGGAATACTGTTAAAAGCGGCGTTAAACCCAACTCACTCACACTCAATAAATGTTTATCTTGTGATCAGGGAACCTAAGGGTGGCAAGAAAAGTACATCAGCCGAAAAGTATGAAAAGACTGAGCTGAAACATGGAGACAAGTGCTTCCACAAGTTCATGAAGCGTATAAAGCGGTGCCCAGAACAAGTTATCAGGTACATATGTAGGCACATGTGTTGGCATGCTCAAGACAAAAATATTTCTTTGATTGTATATCTCTTGGGTAGATATGCCACAGTGCTTAATAACAGGTTTTATAAAATGTTTTCCAATGATTTAATAGTATGGCCTTTATTGTTTGCATTCAGAACTGGCTGTTTGTTTCTTTACGGGATACAGAAATCAGATATGCTGTTAAGATATGGATATAATGTAATTGTAATTTTTTAGGAGGATATTCATAAGAGAAGTGAATCTTGTTTTTTGGCCTATAGCCTTTTTGAATCAAGCATGTATTTTTTTGTAATCTCTAGAACACGATACAAGAAACATGTTCTTTGAACACATAGGCACTTCAGGAACATGTTCAAACATCATAACCAGGTGTAAATACAAATTGTGAATAATTTTTGCAGATATACTGATATCATGAACTTAGAAGGGTTAATTTCTCAACCCAAGTATTAATTTTTTGTTCCATTGCACGGATATTAACCAGTAAAATATGACTGGGACTGGTAAATTTGAGGGTTGGCTGTTCTCGTGTCCGGCAGAAATTTCTGTTGTGAATATCATATTCTGTGAAAAGCTGTAAACATTAATTCACTGTTTCCAAAGCTGTCGTGTCAATTTTCTATAACTTTCTGTCTGAAATTCGAAAACTGTGCACAATATCAGCCAATAACAATACATCCGCATGACTGGCAGATAAAAATGCCACTGGAAACACTGCAGAGGGGGCAACAAGTCCATTAGTTTCTGTCAATCTTTCATCAGGCAGGATGTGTTCTGTGTCATAAATGTCAGCAATGCCCTTGATGTTGGTGACTATTGTCTGTGCCAGGTATCACCATGGAGGAAGCCCACTTCCTATCTCTGCCTCCCCGCTAGCTCCACGCCCCTGTCCCGCGTGCGGTGCTGCTAGGGTGTTTGAGCTGCAGCTGGTGCCGTCACTGGTGTCCTTCCTGTGTCAGAACAAGGAACAAGGTGGAGCCTGCAGTTATGTTCAATTCTTTACTGCTGAATTTATGTTATGTTATGGTACTGTGTTTGTTCGATACTTGATTTAATGCTTTGCTTGGCCCAGACATGATTGTAAGCAGGCTGGATTACTGTGGACATTGGCATCAAATCAACATTTACCAGTGTATAAAATTCTCCAAAATAGCAATATTGCAAAGTTACCAGACCAGAAATATGTTGCCAGTCCAGAATTTTCTAGACGAACAGAAAAAAGGCAACACAAAGGTAAAAGTAAATGTACTAAATTAGTTCTCATAAAACATGTATATCAATAAAGTGGTGGATTGTCAACTTAGTAACTCCTGACACAAAACTGACCTTCTGCAAAACAGAACGTCTTGGACTGTCGGGCAGGGGGGTATTTTGTGTCATGGTGGTTACTGCACCTGGTCATCTGTTGTAATGAACATTGGTATAGTTGCATTATAACTTTTATGTCGATGACACCACAAACCACTGAGGTAGAAATGTGAATATGTTTGTTCTTCTGTTTCAGGCCCTGTAGTGGAGTTCGGGACAGTGCTGGTGTACACCTGCAGCAGCAGTTGTTGGCAGGAGGAACACACGATTCCCTGTGAGGAGCTTGTGATTGTACAGTCCGACCCTGACCAACACCTGTTCAAATCATGACGCTGATTTCAATGGCACTGTTCCCCGAGAGGAGCTTGTGATTGTACAGTCCGACCCCGACCAACACCTCTTCAAATCATGACGCTGATTTCAATGGCACTGTTCCCCGAGAGGAGCTTGTGATTGTACAGTCCGACCCTGACCAACACCTGTTCAAATCATGACGCTGATTTCAATGGCACTGTTCCCCGAGAGGAGCTTGTGATTGTACAGTCCGACCCTGACCAACACCTGTTCAAATCATGACGCTGATTTCAATGGCACTGTTCCCCGAGAGGAGCTTGTGATTGTACAGTCCGACCCTGACCAACACCTGTTCAAATCATGACGCTGATTTCAATGGCACTGTTCCCAGAGAGGAGCTTGTCATTGTACAGTCCGACCCCAACCAACACCTCGACAGAAATCTGAACGTTAAAATCCATGTTGTTCTTGACGCGATTTTGATTGGACTATGCATAGACTCATTAGTCTTGCCTCGGGAAGATGTGCGAAGCGCTAAGGTGGTCACAACTCGCATACTTTAACATGTTTAACATTGTCTTAAGATAGTCGTAGCGCTAAGATCGCTTTGTGGATTGTGAAAAAACAAAATCAGTTTTGATAAGTGGTTTGAATGTTTTATTCCATACAAACTCCTACTGATATGTTAAAGCGTTGAACATTGTAAGCTGTCAACCTTCAGATGTAGGCTTTATGTGTGTGTGTGTGTGTGTGTGTGTGTGTGTGTGCATGGAACACACGGTGTGAAGGTGATGACTACACACTGTAGCTGCTTATACAACATATATGTACAACACTCGTTAACAAACGTAAACAACACTTAAGTTAAATAAAGAATCAGCACCTGTTTCATGTTAAAATGTAAGATTAAAAAATAACAATAATAATAATTGACAAATTAATACACAAGAATTCTTGTCACAGTTATTTACATCATGTATTTCAGAAACTTACAATTAGTTTGGAATATTTGTGCACAATAGAGTCCAGAATATTGACTGAGGATATCACTACTCTGCAGTCACTTTATTGTTCTACAGATCAGATTGTTTTTCTTTATTAGAAGTCTGTGTATTTTTATACGCATTGTTTACAGGAAGATAAGTTTCCTGTAACAACTCCTAAATGTTTCACGGAAAAAAGATGCCTGCTTTCAAGGCGTGTTAACGGAGTGATATTGTTTGTCAAACAAATGCATTTATTACAAAATGGTAAAAAAATGATTTATATCCCGAACAGTATTTATCTTGTTTAAATGTAAATAAAATCAGGGTTTCCTTAGCAAGATATCAAATTGTTCACATGACCTTGAAAGTAGGCGTACACAGGTATTAAAAGAGAAGAACGCTTTTGTCAGTTGTGCGCCCTAAATGACATTGAAGATGAATATCACTTCCTTTTATATGCCCATTTTATGTAACATTAAGGGCTAAGTATACACCTGAATATGACTATGTTAATCCCAATTTCTTTACACTCACATTCCTGTTAAACAATTCGAAGTACTAACTTTTACAAAAGTTACCGATGTTTGTTCATCATGCAATGTGACACAGTATAAATATTATGTTATTGACTCGACTGTTCTGAATGCACTTATTATAAATGTACTATAGGCCTGAGGCCTCCTCAGTAAGGAAATAAGAACATCAGTCTGGTATTTTACTGCCCAAATGTGTCCTGGTTATCATAAGATGTCTGATTGAGTGTGGCCAGAAAGGGGATTTCACGGCAGAATGCTTATGGCAAGAGGCGACCACAATGCGGATCAGTTGCTCACAATGTCTGCCTTATTGTTGTGTGTCACTGAAGTGTAGATAGATGATCAAAGTTGGTGACATGATTATATCCAGGTTGAGTGATAGAGTTTGAACACCACCGACCGTGTCGTAAAACAACATTCACTCACTGAGCAATGAAGACATCTAGTATGAAACACTTAACTTGAATTGTACGTGTATAGTCATAATATGTACAAGCAGGGATAGAAAGCTATACTGAGGGCATAATTCCTGCCAAGCATGTATACAAAACAAGACAAGAAAACATATAATATAACAAAACTGATGGTGATGTCTGACATGAAATATAACAATGAACTATGACCATACATGAAGCACATCATTCCTCCATCACCACAGCAATGGACGCCCACTGTTACAAAACGGTAAGAGAGAGAGATAGAAGCACTTCTTGGAGGCTTGGACCAACTGATTGGTGATCCTTTTGTGGTCATTTGACGCCACTGGCATCCTCAATATGTTGTTATGCCCACAGAAGGGGAGAATCGAAGGCTCTGATGTCTGTGGAAGAGCTGACATCAACATGGTCAGCCTGCTTGGACATAGTGTTTCTAGCTTGCTGGTCAGCCAGTAATATCACAGATAGAATTGGTTGGTGGTAGTTGGAGAACTAGCTTGGGTTTTCGACACACTTCCCATTCTGCAGGGAATATCCCGTACAACACTGAGTGCTGCACACGGCCATGTAGGTCTGGTACCTGAAACATTACGTTTACGGTGCAATAAATACGTTGCAAGTGATTCCGTGACATTTGATTGACTGACAAGCAATTCCTGTTGCATTTATGTTTCCATAAACCGAAAAATGATTCGACCACGCCCAATAACGGACTACTGTTTCGTGAATAGAATGGGCGGGGCTTCTGTTGCATTATTGCCTGAACGATAGCACTGATGTATTGTCTGCAGTCTTTTGCGTTAATAATTAAATAAACAGTGCGTGAGGTTACTATTGTTAACGTATTTATTTAAATGAATAAACTTCAAAGTGTGTTTGCGTTCAGGGACTTATAGACGTAAAAATCGGAGTGCACGCTTTGTGTTAATGAATCAAATCAAGGGGAGATAAACACGCTGTACGATGTTGTGGAATGCTGCATCACCTTGTGCACATCTTGGAGGACCAGATCATGCACTGCTGCTGGTAGCTTCTCTTCTTGGGACACAGGACCCTGGCGGAGGGACACGGGTTGTCCTGGCAGTTCGCCGTCTGCTTGTCCTCCGTCTGGTTGCTGAAACACGGAACACCCTAGGATGAGAACAGGTCCACTGCACAGTCGCTGTCCTCTGTGACTGTTTAATGTCTTTGTTGGGGACGGTTGGGTAGCCTAGTGGTTTAAGTCCTGGTCCGTCACACGAAAACTGTGTTCAATACGTAAAAGGTGAGATGAGGTGAGGTGAAATTTGGTTTAACGTCGCGTCCAAGATTATTGCACTTATATAGCGACGTGCATGCACGCGCGCGCGCGCGTGTGTGTGTGTGTGTGGCTGCTTGTACTAGTCCGGACTGATGTCGATATATAGTGCTAGCACACTGAGATACCAAGCCGCAATACCCCACTCAGACACAGTATACTGACTCCGAGCTGACCAGTCCTTGTTTCAGCCCCTTAATGTCGAGCGCCAGACAGGGTAACAACAAGTACCATCTTTTAAGGTCTTTTGGTATGACGCGGCCGGGGATCGAACCCCGGAACTCCGTTTTCCGGGCGGACGCTCTACCACTAGACCACGGAGGCGGTCCTATACGTAGAAACCCATTTGTGACTCGCAACGGATCTAAAACCCTGCTATGGCGTTAGGCTGGGATACATTTTTAAAAGAAATTATTCCAGAAAAAAATATTATTGTCTCCGCTTATGTCCTGCCAAAGCATGTCACGGGCCAAATAAGTATCGGTTGCCTCCCTTCAGAGAAAAGACTCTGTAGTCGACAAATATTCTGTTTCTAACAAAACTCACAGCCCCTCGGAATATTACGTGGTGGGTGCCTTGGAAAAGACTACTAGTACCCTAGTCCGAGACAAGTGAAACTATATACATTTGTATGTGAACTGGCGGGCAAAAGGAAGTATACACTTGAAAGTTGGATTTTACAACCATATTACAAACGTTATCAAAACGTTACTAGGCTGAAAATACTGAAAACGGAAGGTTAAAACACAACTGTGATACCCGTATCAATTACTTCAGCATCGTTATAACCAGTACTTGTTTGTTTTATTTTAGCCACCATCAAACATGGCGCATACATTGTTTTGAACCAGCAGTATAGATGTCACACATTTCCAGAAACTAGGGCAAGGACTAGAGACACAATAGATACTATGAGTTGAGTGTATTAGTTCATTATCAATACAAAGGTGTAGATACGCGATAACCTCACAAACTCTAACTTCATTATTGTGTAGAATCACGTATCTGTGTATGGCCCTATGTCCACACTGTAGGCAAAAAGCGAAATCCACTTGTCAAGCATCTCAAAGTATATTAAGCGTCTTTTGATATCAAATATAATCGATAAAAATGTATCGACGATTGTATATATATTTGATATCAAAAGACACGAGGGTGAGATTATATTTATCATCCAAAATCATTCTTCCAACTAGTTTAGTTTGTAAATAGTAATAGTGAGTGAGTGAGTTGGGTTTTACGCCGCTTTTAACAGTATTCCAGTTATATCACGGCGTGTGGGCTTATGTGGGAGGAAAGCCCGAAGTGTTGCAGGTCTCAGACGTTTACCACTTCGGTGAAACCCACGAGCACGGGTATGGTGCTGACAAACCTAGAAACATAATCGGGGCGAACCGGGATTCGAACCCACAATCATAGGTTTCTGGCGTGCCCAAGGGACGCAACTCTGCACAACGAATCGCGGCGCCTTAGACGACTGGGCCACCCGTGCCCCCTGTTAACAGTAATAATTAACCAGTATCTTGAATGTAAACTTACAGCAATTCAGTCTTAGTTGCAGAAAGATTAGTGATGCCATTTGATTGTGAGGTAATCATTGACGTCACTATTTCATTGCAGAGGTATCGCTTGATATTACCCATAAGTTAAGAATCATCGTGTGCAAAAACGTTCCTATATTTGTACATGGGAATTTTTCCCCATGTTAATTGGTCAGTTGAAGCAAAATGACATCACATTACATCATTGTTGCGATAAAAAACCCATGACGTCAACCATTGTTTACCACGTCACAAATTTATTACATTACGTCATCTGAACAACAGGATGCGATATGTGAAGTTTATCCATAGGGTTGACATTTCTTACGTTTTTTCTTCATTTTCTCTTTGAAACGTGAATTAGTAATGTAGAATAACCTACTCAAACTCGGGATTACGGATTATCTGTTGTAAAAGGGATTAACACCATTCCTCGGGGCAGATAATCCGTAGCTCGTCCGTTATTCTGTCAATGATGGTTTCGTGGACTTCAAATTGCCAATATTTCACTGCATAAGAACTGAAAGCCAAAGAATTGTATCCCGTTGTTTACCTGCAGGATCTCTTCTGTTTATCACAAGCACGTGTCCTGGTTCGTGTCCCGCATCCACCGCATGACCGTGAGCACGCCGACCACGAAGACCACGTGGACCAACCGGTGTCGATGACGTCGTTGCTGATGGCCAGCGCACTCCCCTCTACAATATCAGTGATTGTGGAGTGTGTCGTCACTACATGGGGATCGGCTAACGTCACTGAAAGAGGTGAGGTGAAATGTACTTGTCTGGACTTATGCCGATTTTATATTGCTAGCCCACTGAGATACCAGTTTCAACATGGGTACCCTAAGACAAAGGATACCGACTCATTAATACCGTGTGAGTGAATGAGTGTGGTTTTACGCCGCTTTGCCAATATTCAGGCAATAGTGCGGCGAGGGACACCAGAAATGGGCTTCACACATTGTACCCATTTGGGGAATCGAACCCGGGTCTTCGTTGTGACGAGCGAACGCTTGAACCACTAGGCTACCCACGGCACTCTAAATACCGAGCGCCAGGCCGGGTAACAACATGTACCATCTTTTATATGACGCGGACAGGGGACGGAACCACCGACCTTTTGCTTTAGGCACTGGGGATATTGTTTTTAAAGTGAGGAGGGCGGTAGGGCCTTTTATAGATTAGTTATTGAAAACAACACTGATGATGGAGGGACATTTTTTATTTGTCCCCCCCCTCCATCCAAGAATACCCCCAAACACAACTGGGCACACACTGAACTTGGCTTATCTAAACAATGTCCGTTGTCAAGTTTGGATAACAGTTTGACTCATATGACAATTATACTCACATGTGCACCTGTTACCAGAAAGCTTGAAGTCACCACAGCATTGGCCTACTTCCCGTAGACACTCGCCACGTCGATACGCTGTTTTTATTCTGAAGCACAATGGATTGAGTGAGGTTGATTTAAAACCGCGTTGAACAATAGTTAAGTTTCAGCATTGTGTGTGTCCAGTAATAACTGTTACCACTTGTGTGAATCTCATGAGCACAGGATTTGGGAGGAAAATTGAATTTGAACGCTCGATCCTTTGAACGCATATCCACTCTCGCCCCAACAACAAAACTGTTCTTGGTTGACACTTATTTTTGTTTACAAAGTATGCAACACGTATCCAAGAAGCATGCACATTTTGACTAATTAGAGTGTGTGAATATTGTTTTACGCCTCTTTTTGCAATATTCCAGGAATATCACGGCGGGGGACACCAGAAATGGGATTCACACATTGTACCTATGTGGGGAATCGAACCCGGGTTTTCGGTGCGACGAGCGAACACTTGAACAACTAGGCTACCCCATCGCCCCTCGACTAATAAGAAGAGATTATAAAATGACATGCACCTTCTGTTAAAATATTCTGTTACCTCTGATATTCTGTTACCTCGGATGATATTTTAAGCACCCAATGTACGCATTTTTTACATTTTGGAACACCAGCATGTCTATTAGGACATTTGGAGGTGTTTGAATAAAACGTCGTTATGCACGAACCTTATTAAGTGTTCTAGCCGCATGTCGTTGACATCATGTGAAAAGACATATTGCAGCGTCAGCTGTTTTTGATATACTGTTTTTTTTAATACATCCGAGTCAGTCCTGGAATTAATCAACGTTTAAGAAATGAATAGTTCACTCACGCGTAGTACCCGCATCTCCATCCCACGGGTCTGAAGAAGGATGGACATGGCACCCACTCCTTCAATGTCCACATCTTCGGACACCACCTCGTCTCCTGGACCATGCACGCCGGCTGGTCGGTGGTCGTCTGCTCCAAGCAGCCGCCGCAAGACGCTGAAAGGTTGACGTGACGTTATTTTCCCTGTTGTTTCACAGCAAACATGGGCACGCTGGCTATTATCATTGCAATGTGAGTGGGGATCGGTTGTCTCCGCTTTGAACAGCTGTCCCCCCCCCCCCCCCCCCCCCCCCCCGTATGTGGGAGAAAAGGACAAACCGACACAGGTCATAGACCTTTACCACGCACGGACAAAGCAAAGTCATTATGACAAGGTAACAAACGGGACGAATCAGGAATTCGAACCAACGATCACGGAATCTGGCACGTCCAAGGGACATAACTCTGCACAGTGAATTGTGCATCTTAGACCACTGGGCCCCGCATGTATCTTTTGAGTAACAAAGCGAGGGGTCGTGACTGAATATGGCAGAAAAGTGTTAGTAACACGGCGGCCAGCTCTTTAAATCACCAGGTGGGTTAGGCGAAATGGTTTAACGTCCCGTTCAAGATTAATGCAGTTACATAGCGACTTGCATGTACGTCTGTGTGTGTTAGTCGGTCATACAGACCCTGAAACAAATATATCAACTACAGCCCATGCAAGTCTATAATGTTTGGCAAGTACAGATTACTGCAGTATCTGAAAATGTAGAAAGTTTCTTGGTTCCTTCTTATTATATTTTATAACTATAATCTAACAACTGTATATGTAAATCTGTCATACAGACCCTGAAACAAATATATCAAATACAGCCCATGCAAGTCTATAATGTTTGGCAAGTCTGGATTAATGCAGTATCTGAAAATGAAGAAAGTCTCTGGGCTCCTTTTTATTATATTTTATAACTATAATTTCACAACTATTTTTTCTGTAAAATATATTCATTTCAGAGACTAGTCTAGTGTATGTGGGTGGCTGCTTGAAGTAGTCTGGACTTTATGCCCCAGACACATTATACTGTCTTCGAGCCGACCATGCCTTGTTTTGTCCGAACGCCAGGCAGGGTAACAATAAGTACCATTTTTTAACGCGTTTACTTATTTTCACTGTCAGACGCTCTATCCACTATCCATTGGACCACGTAGGTGGTCTTTGAGTAACAAAGTACGACTACAGAAGAATAAAGAGCCCATTTAAAATACGCCAAATTGTATTCACCAAGGGAATGCTAATGGTGTTACATTATTCCGTCTGCTTGTCGTAAAAGGCGACTATGCTTGTCATAAGAGGCGACTAACAGGATCGGTTGTCAGGCTTGCTGGCTTGGTTGATGCATGCCATCGTATCCCAATTGCGTGGATCGATGCTTATGATGTCAATCACTGGATTGTCTGGTCCAGACTCCCTTATTTATAGCCCACCGTCACATAGCGTGAATAGTGCTGAGAGCGGCGTTTAACAATAAACAAACAAACAAAACATTATTACGTTATTGTAATAATCTGACCTAAAACGGTATGTGTCCACTTACTTGAAGACACGATAAACTTAAAGCCACCGACACCGCCGTGTTTGGTTCTGAAGAGTACCATCATTGTGTTGTTCTCCGACTGTATGGCAGAGGTGGGTGCTTCGCCACAGCAGAATCTACACACAAAGGAAATCATACAGAAAACATAACCTTTGTAAGTACTCGAGGGAAATGTAAATGAAAATAAATGTTTGCATTCTTCAAAAAAGTTGATCTAGTTCATATTCACTCAAAAAGTAAAAATGAAACTCAATCAGCGCCTGTTCGTCATGAACTGCATAGTTACGTGGCTTATGGTGAGGTTCAAATTGTGTCAATTTAATTACCTCAAGCTTTTTCTAAGTTTTACCTGGCTCCTGTCTTGGCCATACTGACTCTGTACTTTATTTCAGTGTATTCTTCATCACAAACATTGCCACCAAAGCTGTCGCAGGATGGTTGTTTTGACAGGAAGCCATCTTGGATTGGCATCAGGTTGACAACCTTGTCCTTGGCGGCCTGGAAATATTTAAAGCAACCTCGCACTGTTTTACATAGAAAATATTTTATTTGCATCGTGGTGTGAAAGCTTTACAGGGGAGGAAACCCCGTACTCATGAGTGAGTGAGTTGGGTTTAACGCCGCTTTTAACAGTATTCCAGTTATATCAAGGCGTGTCAGCTTAATGTGGGAGGAAAGCCCGAAGTGATGGAGGTTTAAGACGTTTACCACTTCGGTGAAAGCCACGGGCGCGGGCGCCCAAGGGACGCATCTCTGCACAGCGAATCGCGGCGCCTTAGACGACTGGGCCACCCGTCCCCCCTCGTACTCATGAAGGTCTGTTGTTTGGGAATAGTCCGATATTCCACCGATCAATATCGGGGCAATCGTTTAGCCGGATCCATGACCTTTTGGTGCTGACAAGATTGACAGATTCATATTTGCACAGCGAATGACTGGGACTCTGATCACTGGACCATCCGTGCCCCCGAAAACTCCTCACAACGAGCCTCACTGCCGAATTTCACTACACCGGTGGAGTAACGATGCTGTCATGCACTGTAATGGAGCTTGGGATAACAATACGAAGCAAAAAGGACATCGGCGCTGCGTACAGTCGGCATGATCAACTGTTGATTTCAACATACAACACCTGGAGAGAAGGACTATGACTCCAGCATGACCCACCTTGATGATCCAGTTGCACTGCACGTTAGGCTGGTAGTGAGACGGGTACCCGGGAGTTTGGATGGTGTACGTTTCCCGGCCCTGTATCTGTACGACCCCACCACACGACGCTGCAAACAGCCATAGTTAAGCTTCATTTTAATCTGATCCCTTATATGTGAATACGTCAATTTGAGGACAAGATACAAAACCGCATACAAAATAGGATATACAGTAAACGACGGTCATAACGAACACGCTTATAACGAACTGACGGATATAACGATCTTACTTTTTTGGTCTCGACCATTTGCTGTAATTATGCTGTATATATGCTTATAACGAACTACGGTTATAACGAACTCAAATTAGTAGTCCCGTTGTATCTTTAGTAACGCATTAGTTTCCTATAAGAATAATATTTCTGTCATCCTTGATATGTAATATTCTTCAGTGGCAGTATTGTATATCAATGAATTATAGAGTTGGTTGATACGCACTACCTACAGATGGCGCTACCAACTGGCACGTGGTTCCTGTAAGGCCATCCGGGCATTTACACCGGGAGCACTCATTAGGGTCTGGATAACCCTCATACTGGCACATTCCCTTGACTGGCGAAGATGTACATTTGTCTGGAAATGAAATTCCATGAAATATTATGTCAAATAGTGACATTCAATCCACACACTGTTGCTTAATACGCATTTAACAGACATGAGAACCGTTATTTCCATACATATTCAACCACATTCCAAGAATTTGAGAATCATTTGTATAGTGTCAAACAATGGCGCCTAAGGTATTCCTGCTAAATTTTGGTTGGTTAGCATCCTTGGCTTTGATTGACATTTAGAAGTTCGAACATGAAGACACCAAACGGTTATGTGTAACAGCTTCTTTATTGTTCGTCAGAACGATTCCGGGCTACGTTTTGCCTTTTCACAAGGTAAGTGACTCAACTATTGTTATATTGTTTATTCACAAAAAGTGTCAGGCCATAGGCCTATAACACAGAACTATTTACAAAGAGACGGAGAAAAAAGAATTACCACTATTTTACATGTATATCCATATCCATACGCATTCATACACATACACATGCATATAAACAAATAAATATTTAGACTGTATGCAATGAACGAAAAGCTTTGTAAACGTAGACTGCTAGAATTCGTATGATTTTAAAGTTAGTTGATGACATAAGAGCATTAAATTTATTTTTAGAAGGGGTTGTAAAATATTTAGGAGGAATATATTCAGCTCTTAAATCACTATAAGCATTGCATATAAGCACAAAATGATATTCGTCCTCAATAAAATTCTGGTTACAAATCAAACACAGTCTCTGTTCTCTAATTTCCTTAATATATCGACCGGTCTCAATTCGCAGAGTATATGCAGAGTTGTATACAGGTTATAGTCGCACGTGCTATGATTCCTGCACAGAGATCTACAGATAACAGGGATAACGAGGCGGGGAAGACACTGTAGGCGACGTGAAAAGCTTTCTGCATATCAATTAAAGGGCCTCGTTCCACAAAGCTATGCTAGTGCTACCATGTTTTACCATACGACAGTTTTAGCCTGGGTATGTTGAAAGAATCAGGATGAGGCACCAAACACTCACCTTTACAGTAGGCGAGGTTGGCCTGCTTGGCGTCATAGAAAGACAACATCTGACGTTGACCCAGCACATTCTGCTCCAAAGGTTCGAGAGTTTCGATCGTAGCTTTGCTTCCTGTTGAAAACGCCTGCATATGACAGATACAAACGTGTTGGTCGCCAGGATAAAGATACACTATTTGTTGGTCGCCAGGACAATAGATACAACATTTGTTGGTCGCCAGGACAATAGATACAACATTTGTTGGTCGCCAGGATAAAGATACAACATTTGTTGGTCGCCAGGACAATAGATACAACATTTGTTGGTCGCCAAAACAACAGATACAAAACGTGTTGGTCGCAAGGATAAAGATACAACATTTGTTGGTCGCCAGGACAATAGATACAACATTTGTTGGTCGCCAGGATAAAGATACAACATTTGTTGGTCGCCAGGACAATAGATACAACATTTGTTGGTCGCCAAAACAACAGATACAAAACGTGTTGGTCGCAAGGATAAAGATACAACATTTGTTGGTCGCCAGGACAATAGATACAACATTTGTTGGTCGCCAGGATAAAGATACAACATTTGTTGGTCGCCAGGACAATAGATACAACATTTGTTGGTCGCCAAAACAACAGATACAAAACGTGTTGGTCGCAAGGATAAAGATACACTATTTGTTGGTCGCCAGGACAATAGATACAACATTTGTTGGTCGCCAGGACAATAGATACAACATTTGTTGGTCGCCAAAACAACAGATACAAAACGTGTTGGTCGCAAGGATAAAGATACACTATTTGTTGGTCGCCAGGACAATAGATACAACATTTGTTGGTCGCCAGGACAATAGATACAACATTTGTTGGTCGCCAGGATAAAGATACAACATTTGTTGGTCGCCAGGACAATAGATACAACATTTGTTGGTCGCCAGGATAAATATACAACATTTGTTGGTCGCCAGGATAAAGATACAACATTTGTTGGTCGCCAGGACAATAGATAGAATTAAAACGATGCGCTCCTTATCTTCTGATGCAAAGTACTGTTTTCAAAGTGTTAATGAATAATCTAGGTAAAGCAGGAAATGACACTTTAAACAGAAACCTACCAAATACATGTATCATGATGATACTATAGTTATCCATCATCTGGTTACATATGGAAACCTTCTTGTCTTGAAATATAGATAATAGTATTTGTTTGTTTGGTGTTCAACGCAACACTCAGTACATGACATCGGCCTGTAAATAATCGAATCTGGACCAGACAATCTAGTGATTGATATTGTGAACAACGATCTACGCCGTCGGGCTCAATCAAGTCCTCGAGTCTGACCACCGATCCATTTGGTCGCCTCTTACGAGCAGCATGGGCTGTTGGAGACATAGTCTACCCCGGAATCCCATCAGGCGAATAATAACAGGTGATGTGAAATGGGGTTTAACGTCGCAATCAAAATTATTGCACTTATATAGCGACGTGCATGTACGTGTGTGTGTGTTTGTGTGGCTGCTTGTTCTAGTCCTGACTAATGCCGATTTTATAGTGCTAGGCCACTGAGATACCGTGATAGTTTAACATGAAGACGTCACTCAGACACAGTATACTGACTCTGAGCGGACAAGTCCTTGTGTTAGCGCCTTGATGCCGAGCGCCAGGCATGGTGACAAATAGTACCGCCTTTTAACGTCTTTTGGTATGACGCGGCCAGGGATCGAACCTTCCGCTTAACCGGGCGGACGCTCTACCACGAGACCACGGAGGCGGTCCGAATAATAATAAGTCCCACATACCCGTACATACCACTTTAAAAGACAATTATGTTTAACATTACTCAGTATCTTTCAATAGTCAATTGTCCCTTGAAGATCCGGGGTAGAGTGGGTTTTCAGCAACCCAAGCTTGCCGTAAAAGGCGACTATGCTTGTTGTAAAAGGCGACTTGCGGGATTGGGTTTTCAGGCTCGCTGACTTGGTTGATGCATGTCATCGATCCCAATTGTGTGGATCGATGCGCATGATATTAATCACTGGATTGTCTGGTCCAGACTCGATTATTTACAACCCGCCGTCATATAGAGAGAATATTGCTGAGTGCGCCGTTAAACAACAAACCAACCAATAGTCAATTACATTGAACTAAATTTAATCAAATTTCATCATGTTAACGTTCAGTTGTATAGAATTTCTATTTGAAACGTCATCTCGACATTCTCCAGCCGCTGCCTCTACTCGGCTTGAATGGATTCTTACCGTGGAACCATAGTGCATGACGGATCCTATGTCATACGGCACATCCAGGTTGTCAAGGTAACGCCACGATTCCTTTAAGAAGTTGAAGTCCTCGCCGACGCGGACGTTCTCGTACTTGACCCTGATGTGGTCGTCACGGTCAGGGCGAGAGTGCTCGTGCCAAAACCCAATGGCGTGTCCCAGTTCGTGCACCACGACCCCCAACTGTTGGCACAAGACATCATTATATCGGGCGTCTCCATCGTCGATTATCCACTGTATATCGCCATTACATTTCGATAAAAACCCAAGATCCACTTTTGATTGGATGGCTATGTTTAGCGTCATGTCATTCGAATCGGGCTCAAAACGAAGTTTTGGTAGTTGATCGTCCCGGATATTTATCATAATAGAAATAGATATAGATCACCCAGATTATGGAAGGAGGGGCACCCGGTACACCGGGGCATATCTGTCGTTATGGTGATTTGAAATAGGGTTTAACGTCGCGTTTCATTACTATAGTGTTAGTGTGTATCAGCGTGTGTGTTAGTGTTAGTGTTAGTGTGTGTTAGTGTTTGTGTGTTAGTGTATGTTAGTGTTAGTGTGTGTTAGTGTGTGTTAGTGTTAGTGTTAGTGTGTGTGTGTTAGTGTGTGTGTTGTGTGTTGTGTGTTGTGTGTGTGTGTGTGTGTGTGTGTGTGTGTGTGTGTGTGTGTGTGTGTGTGTGTGTTTGGTATGACGCGGCCAGGGGATCGTATCACCGACCTTCCGGCAAGACGCTATATGCATTAAATTTCATCAAAGAATCATATTGTTTATTTAAAAATGAATATTTGACTTACAGAGAAACAGCCTTCTCCCACGGATATTTCCTGTAGTTTAAAGGCATTTTCCTTGCCCACATAGGACCAGCATCTAGTAACAAACACCAATGAAGCATCAAAGTATAAGTGAGTCCAAATAATGAGAGGAAGATGGCGTATACATATTTCGAACGTATAATTAACTACAGTACGCCTTCCCCTAACAAAGATCTTTGTATGTAGGTAGAATACCTCAAAAGGTTTTAGTCATTACAGATGCTGTAATTCAGCCTGCTTTAGATTCGTACGCATCTGATGTGTCAAAATCAGATTCACGTGTATCTAATGTGTCCAAATTTTATGGTGGAGCGAGTGAGTGGGTGAGTGAATATTGTTTTACATCACAGGCAGCAATATTTCAGACCTACCAGGAGGCCTGGAACATCCAGTCAGGAACAGACAAACCGACTATGGCATGCATCCATTTTTACCAGCTTCAGCGATTCCAGGTCAGAATTGGTAACAAAAATGGCGATCAATTAGTCAGGCTCGGTGACTTGCTTATTGCGTGTCATCGTTCCCGGATATATTAGGTCGTTGTCCATGCTTTCAGAAACCAGTTCGCCCATCTAGAATATTGCTGAACGTGTCGTGATACAACATTCACACACTCACATCCACGTTAGTAAACTCGTCACCCTAATTAAAATAAGATCTTTATCTCATGTATTGTAAACATATATTAAGCTGTCACCTACCCTGTGTGTTTCTTGAACAACAGCACGGGCCGGAGAGGGGTGTCTATCGGAACTTCCTGGAACCGGATGCATGTGTGTTCCTCCCAATGTCGCACGCCCTCCAGGATCTGAGCCTTCTCCGTCTTGTCTGCAACACCCACAGCCGTCACTACATCGTCAACCAACACTGTTAACCATATACCCATCGCACACTAAAACTTCAAACTGAAACCGAAGACACGCATTCCTTGCTATGTTTTCCCGGGCTTGATCGTCTCACAACCATGGCAGAAAATTGTTTTCGTGTGCGATGCATACTTTTTTTATCTTGCACATTTCTATCTTTAAGGACACATCTTAGTCGTTTCCCCTCGACGGCCCTCAGACGTTATATATCGGATATTAAATGTCCACGGTAGACTTTGAAATACCATCTAACACACCCCATCCCTTATCTCATCTAACCTTCAACGACATTCAAATTAGTGACCAATTTCTGAAAGCAATAGAGTGCGGGTTTTCTCATACAGAAGCTTGTGGGTATCCTTCTAGAACATAATGGTGGTGGTTCCGTTATTCAACTGTTCTGCATAGCTAAATAATTCCAACCTGATGATATATCGTTGTGACTATATATTAGAATATCTTGGTTTTATCCCGACACGGACTACGGTCTTATACCCGCTTATATCGAACTACGATATACTAGTACATTAACCGATATACATTTTAAGGGCCCTTAGTCGAAGTTTCTCGGTGTGGTTTGCAATTTAATTTCGTAACATATAAGCACATTGCGTGACTTGTGCATTTAAGACTTGAAACTCAACTTGCTCCAAGAGCTCGACCTTGTATACCAAAATACCAATGGTTTGTATTCGCAGTGAATATGAATGTATTCACAACAGGCAGTGGCATCGTGGGAAACACATCCACGCAGATATGACGCATGTAGCACCTACTCACTAAAGCTTAATTCCTCATCAAATCGATAGGGTATCGGGAGCGTCCACCACTTGTCCTGGTTGGCTGTGATCTTCCGTTTGCGTCTTCGTTTCGAGATGGAGTTGAGGATCTCCCTGGCTTCCTCCACCCTCAGTTTGATGTCGCCTTGAAACAGAACCTCGTTTAACAACACACCCTCCTGGAAATAGAGTAAGTGAGTGAGTATGGTTTTACGCCGCTTTTAGCAATGTTCCAGCAATATCACGGCGGAGGACACCAGAAATGAGCTTCACACATTGTACCCATGTGGGGAGTCGAACCCGGGTCTTCGGCGAGATGAACAAACCCTGGAAATAGAGACGTCGGCCGTTCACCGGTTCATATCAATCGTACACTACCACAAGTCTTATGGTAATGGACACAATATAGAAGAGTCAGTGAACTGGGCTTAATGCCGCTTAGAATAGCAGCTCAAATATGTCATCTCAAATATTAGATTTGTAAATGTATTTGCAGTAATTGTTAGTGGTAGCAAATAATTGGAGTGCTAGTATAACGTCGATTGCTGTCGGCAGCAACGAGTGGAATTTGGAGTTATCTGCCCTGGTTGTTGATTACATGGGCTTCATCGTTCGAGAAGTTTCGGGATGGAAGAGATTCCAGAAGGCCGGCTGTACCTATATACGATCGACAAGTGGCAGTACGAGGTATTTTTCGATCTGAACTGCGTCTTGGGATGGGATACCTGTTTGGTACACCGAACTCCGAACACCGAACTCCGGTCAGCTTCTAACATTTCTATGAATTCAAGAACGGAGACTTGTTTCAAACATGCGACAGCGACATAATTCTGATCATACGTAGGTGCACTTATACATTATTTCTAGGGCATGTTACTTTTTGCTGCTCTTATTTAACACATTGTATTGTCTTCTTTGATTGTAAACCTAAAATTGTGTGTTTCAATATACGTTATTGCATATTTATTGATATCGTGTCGTTCTGATTTCACAATATGTGCGAACATATTTCGGGTTAAGCTCAGTGTTTCAATTTGTGTTTTATCTCGTAACAGTCAAAAGTGATGCAGTTCGTAGACCATAAACTGTTAAACCCATGAGTACGGATATGCAGATGAGGGTCAAAAGGTCATAATAGGGGCGAATCTGGGACTCGAGCCGCCGATCAGCGGATCCTGATACAATATGGGACGGATCCGCACAGAGACCATAGATGTGAGAATGTCCTTGATAAAATGATTTATATATGATGGGATTTTGTTTTGTTGTGCCACTGATGACAGCATGTGATATATCTCTGATCTTGATGTCAAGAAGGCTAAAAAATTCTTCCGCAAGTTATGTTTTTCTAGAACCATCCTGTAAGAACATTTCCGAGACGAGGCTGCACAGTCGGTGTGATTTGCCAAAGGGGAAAACGAAACATAACTGCATTGAACGTAAATGACGACATCAGCGGATGAGAGGCGACACCGGAAATTTGAGGACAGTATTTATCTATTATTCCTTGTGATCATGTAAACAAATTTTTATAAAGGCTCCATTAGGCTCTGTAGCTCACCTGAATTGAAGAAAAAATGCCGACGCTGTTTAAAATCGGATCGGAATTTTGTGAGCAACAATTTTAGAGACGTCATTGCTGGGATCATTAATATATTCATACATCCATTCAGCTCAATCAACCTTGTAGTGTCAGATGAGATGTCGAAAATGTAAAAGTTTAAGACAGACGGACGACCTCATGACTTAACATTCAGTCAGGTGAGGTAAAAATCGGAATTGAATGAGAAGAACGTTTATTTATAATTAAAACATTTGCCCGGCCCCAGTATATATATATATATATATATATATATATATATATATATATATATATATATATGACACATTACATTACTTAACAGAGCATTCCGCATTTTTATATATTTCGATAATTCAAAATAGACTCACATTTAACAGCTGCAGATATCATGCAACGTCATTCCTTAAAGCTATGATAGTGATGAAAATCAGTAATACAGTAGTGTTATCGTATATTTGATTTAACAGCCCGGTCGTCGTTGGAGGTCTCATGGATTACCTCCCACCTGTGTTTGTCTGCAGGTAAACAAGTGCTACTTCTAAACAACCAAAGGAAACGCGGCATGGGAAAAAAATAAGAGGACTTTAGATTCACTAGATTATATATTAATGGCAAGACAAACAAATCGGTTTAATCGAAAATTAAAGAAGAACATCAATTTAAACTATTATTATTTATTATGAAAGGTTGGCATCTTCGTGTTCGTTTCTTAATAAGCTATATGCTTGGTATTCTGCGACTATAGCAGGTAAGTTAGACGGTCTCCTTTATAATTCCATTTGTGAAGTGAAATTGAGCTTAATCTGGCGTTCAGTTGTTTAGCAACGTGAGTTTTAATATTTTGACCCAACCAGTTCTCAGCATAACTGATAAACGCGACTATGGACGAAAAGCGACAGCGAACACGCTCTACCCATTACACCACGGAGGCGGTCCATTTGTGTGGGTTAACGCTCACATATTAGTATGGAGAACTGTCGATGAAGAAAGCCAGAAGCTCGGGCAATCCAGACGAAGATACATATATGAATGAATGTATTGCATCCATAGCACAGCGTACCGGAACACATACAGGCATATATATCAGGCTAAATCCCATGTCGTCATTTGAATAATATAACACGATAATTCCTTAAGCAGGATTCGATTTACGCTAATGAAAGAAGATATTTTACATAAATATGACAGGTTTGAGATGTAATCTTTACGTACACTTGATATGTAGGTCTATGTCTCGCGGCCACGCCTAGCACGTGCGGAACAGGTGAAGGGATCCCGCGCGGCCCGCAGGCAGAAGGTAAGATGGCGGACATACTGGCGGGAGTTTCTGATGGCAGACGATAACAGATCAGCAATTAAAATCGATGTAGCGGCCCCGGGGACAATGGATCAAAATTATGACATCTTGGTTATTGTCCTATGGTGAGGAATATATCACGATTTTATTTGTTTTAAAGGAAGACAACCATTCTAATGTGTCTCCCATAATTGGTAATTGATGCCTTTCTGCAAATAGTGTCCAATTTAGTTGAACTCTTGTGAGTGTGTTTGTAGAATAAAGTGATACAGTTAAAAGCTTCTTGGTAATCTGTGGGTAGCAATTAATTCCAGAATGTCATCTTTAGATTGACAACATGACAAACATGGATGTTGATATATGACAGCCTGATAATAGTCTTCTGAGATCAAACATATCACTGATTGTTAATAGCCTTCTCAGTTCAAGAATGTAACGTACTGATATTAGCTTTCTGTCATCAAGTATATCACCTCCTGATAATAGCCTTCTGAGAACAAAGATATCATAAACTGATATGATCCTTCTAAGATCAAATATATTACAGACTGATAATAGCCTTTTAAGATCAAATATATCACATCCGGATAATAGCCTTCTGAGATCAAATATATTACAGATTGATAATAGCCTTCTCAGAACAAAGATATCGCAAACTGATAATAGCCTTCTGAGATCAAATATATCACATCCTGATAATAGCCTTCTGAGATCAAATATATCACATCTTGATAATAGCCTTCTGAGATCAAGTATATCACAGATTGATAATAGCCTTTTAAGATCAAATATATCACATCCTGATAATAGCCTTCTGAGATCAAGTATATCACATCCTGATAATAGCCCTCTGAGATCAGGTATATCACAGATTGATAATAACCTTCTGAGAAAAGGTATATCACATACAGATAATAACCTTCTAAGATCAAATATATCACAGACTGATAATAACCTTATGATATCAAGTGTATCACAGATTGATAATAACCTAAGAGATCAAGTATATCACAGGTTGATAATAACCTCATGAGATCGAGTATATTACATCCTGATGATAGTCTTCTGAGATCCAGCATTTCCCATACTCATTGTTTCCCAAACAATAGACAACTACTACCACTACTACTACTACTACCGCCTTAACTAGTACAGGGCATAAATACAGGTTGTGGTTGCACCCAGCGGTGGGCACAGTTAAAACGTATTGGACCAATCTGTATAGCATTTAACTATGAAATATGTAGACGCACATGGATTGACCATGAGACATTGTATGTACTCTATCCACCGTCAGTATATATGCACCCAGAAAAAGTAAGGCACCATCCTTCTTAACTATTCCTAAACTTCCTTGTGTCGTCAGGAAATATCTGCTTATGACATTGGTTTGTTTTTAATAAATGTCCGAGTGAGTGAGTGAATTTGGTTTTACGTATTCCAGTGATATTGCGTGTTAGCTTCATGTAGAAAGAAAGTACGAAGTGATGCAGGTCTCCCACGATCATAGGTTTCTGGCGTGCTCAAGTGACGCAACTCTCCACAGCTAATTGTGGCGCCTTACACGACTTGGCTAGACGTGCCCAAACCTGCTAAAAGGCTGGTACTAGAACATTGTATGTTTCTCTAGGTTGGCGCAATTAACATATGATTGAAAGACACACAGAAAATAATTGACATGGCAGTCAAACTAACTATTGCCACGAAACAAATCGGAAACATATCATCCAATAATCTAATTCGCTTTCTGTAATTCAATATGAGGATGTCACTGTCAGCAAATAAAAAAATAATGTGATTCGCCTGAAAACTACTACTTGATAGGATTTAAAATAACATATATAGTATGTGGTGTTTAACCTGTTTTTAGATGTGGATATTAACACAGACAACTATAAAATAAAACATGCATCAAAAGCCTTTAACCTAAATCCAATTACCCATATAAATGAGATAGGGAAAAGCCTCTGGCTGACAGTGACATGAGAATAAACCCACAGCATAGATGTTCGCTTCATCTGGGGGCTAATTGAAACGTATTCCCATCATGCTTTGCGCTGACACTTCTATCATCCTGTCAATCACATATTGACCATACCTAGGTTGTGATAACATCCACGTACTTCCGGTTTAATGGCATAGGGCCGCCCAAGGCTAACACACCTATTGGTATGTTGGTAGAACATTGGCTGGGCCACTTGGTTGTTTGTTTGCTGATGTCACCTGTTTACCAGGTAGCGCATTCTCTCACGTACACGTTGGAAGAAATAGGGTTTCCTATGTGTATAGGAAGGACGGGTAGCGTTGTAGATAAACCGTTCGGTCGTCGTGTCGAAGACCCGGGTTTTAATCCACACAAGGGCACACTGTGTGAAGAGGGGCGTTCGCCTCCGTGATTAGCGTTATCTCTGTAAAAGTTCTACTATCTAATGACATGTTCAAGTGATGCCACTATAATTACAACAATTGTTAACAATATAATAGTAAAGATTACACAATTTTATAATAATGTGTCCGTTTGTCAGATTTGCAAGTGGGGAACATTGCTACTCACAGTCGTGTTGAATATATTCTGGCTTAGAATGCCTGCTCGGAAGGTACTCAAGGTTCGGTTGATTGGTCGACCAGCCTGAAAAACAAAACAAATATTGGAAAATATACTTTAACGCAAAGCCAAGCCAAATGCTCTAATTTTAATATTAATCTTATAAGGTACCAGACATTGGTAAATGTCATCCACGATGTCACTCGCAGAGAATTATTCTTTTGGTATATGCAGCTGCAGAACGTTGTGCGTCTGTATAAATCTGTGGATGTACCCTTCATTCTCAGCGGATGGTACACATGGGTAGGGACAGGGAGGGACATACTTGGACACCTGGTGTCCTGGATATCACGACAATGTTTAAAATGCGCTGTTGTTTCTCAATATCCACAGGTGTGAGGGATCGTGACATTGGCGTCTCCTATATGTTTTCTGACGACCGCAATGTACTACCAGAAGTGGGTGTGCCGGCTAGAACATGGTTAAATACAATGGTGCGTCCGTCAGTAGTGCGGATCCGCTGAATGTGGATTCAAAATTCGCCTCGATAATGGTCCTTGATCTGTCTAAATCCATACCCATTGGTAACGTTAAGCGGCAACCGTCTAGGACTGGTAGTTCTTTGTGATTTTTCTGAAAAGCCTTGACATACTGTTCACCGTGGCGTCAAGTCATCCATATGATATTATCGAAGTTTATATTTGAATGAAATGTTGACAAATAAAAGCGTAAACAACATTCCATAATCATAAATCCATGGTGAAAGCAGAGTCTATTGAACAATTCCGACTATGTCATAAAACAATGCGATTACCGAAAAATACTACTTATTTAAATAAAATGGACTGATGATGTTGTGAAGTTTTGTCTGTTTTACTTTTTTTGAAGGTTATTATAAACTATTTTGCAGTTCGCATTGGTAATACCAAAATAGTTTTTTTTTGAAATACTTCGGTTAATGCACATATAACATTTGTGGAATCTGGCTATCTCCTTCACATCACATTGACATCGAATGAGTAACACTGTAACACAACTGCCAGATATCCGGATGGTTCACATTTGAAAACTTGATCTCTTCAAGATAACACAAGTGAGATGGGAACAAATATGTTGAAAATGTGGTCGCATCCTAACAATACACACCTTGTTGACGACAAATGTTTGTCTTTATAAATGAATAAAGTATTTATGAAATGTTGCCTAAGGCAAAACGGGAAAATGACTTGGCAAATGAGCTGTAAAATTTGGGAAATCCAAATCACAAAAAAACAGATATCTTCAAGATAAACAGATATCTGCAAAAGGACAATCATGCATTTTTAACAGGCTACCTAATGACACGATACATAGATTGTATGGTGTCCCCGGATACTCGACTCCGATTATTACGAATAGTGTTCGATTCTAATATAAATATAAATATAGAACGCCAACGCCACAGAAAAAAACATTCCTGATTATCTGTCAAAACATATTCCATTGGGGGCAAAAAGCAAAATAGCATTGAAAATAAATTATTTTATGAATGGATCACCGAAAAGCAGTGACATCAGATGTTCGCCAAAATAGTAAGCATGACCTGCCCTACCACATTCCTTTTATAATTTGTCTTTCATTCTTGGAGGTAACGGTTGGAGAAGTGAACCCTCTCCATCGTTCAGATTTAAAAAAATCTTTATTCGTATTTAAATACTTTAAGTAGGTCCTTGTAAGATACACGTAGAGAAACTATATAAATAATTGTTGAAGATACCTGGAACATAGGTGAGTGAGTGAGTTAGGGTTAACGCCGCTTTTAACATTATTCCAGTCATATCAAGGCGTGTCAGCTGAATGTGGGAGGAAAGCCCCAAGTGATGCAGGTCTTAAACGTTTACCACTTCGGCGAAACCCACGAGCACGGGTATGGTACTGACAAACCTAAAAACATAATCGGGGCGAACCGGGATTCGAGGAACATATGTCCGACGCACATCATACCTATCATACCTCTATACATATACATGCTCTTAAAGTAAAGCTTTGCTTGTTGATCAATGCCACAAACAGCAATATCCCATCTATATGAGGGCCACCTGTCAACAATCGAGTCTGAATCAGACAATCGTGTGATTGATATTGTGAACATCGATAACCAAGTCACCGAGCCTAACTTCCCGATCCATTTGGTCTCCTCTCACGACCAGCACAGACTGCTGGGGACCTATTCTAACCCAAAATTCTCTCGGGGGTCAAGTAAAGTAATTGTATTGACTGAATTTGTTCTTGATTTGGCTTTGTCTTTGTTTGTTGTTCAACGCCGGTCTGTAAATAATCGAGTCTGGACCAGACAATCCAGTGAGTAACACCATGACGTGCTCTTGATTTGGACACAATGCCTATATGTTACTCCCTCTTGCTTTACAGCATCACATATGATGTCTTCATAAACATTATCAACAAAGCAGCCAGACGTTCAAGTATAAATCGTTCAAATCCAACATTTCAAAACACATTTTGAATTGAACGACTTCAAATATATTTTGCTTTTACCGAAGGCCATACGCAAGACTTGAACTTGAAATGAAAGTGGGATCCTAGAAATCGTTACTGATGTTGTCAACCTTTGAAAATATAGATAATTTAATGTTTAAAGTATTGCTGTTATAGTACAAATAAAAATAATTGGATTTGATATACCCATTTGCTATAGGTTAACGGACCTCGGGACGTCACAGATGTAGGACTATTTGGCTAACTTGCTTAACCTCGACACAGTATCCTTGGAAACAACGGAGAAATACAGATTACACCTGGAACATGCAATACACGAAGAATGTTCGAGACATTCCACCACGACTCAGTGTCTCCCCAAGGCTGTCATTACATGCGATGCTAATGGCAACATCCACCTACTCAATAGAGGATATTTCATAATCGCCGTAAATAATTAAGCCAAGCCTGTTAGTGGGAGAACGACGAAGGTGCCCATTGAAAATATGGTCCATGTGCGTGGACTCATTTCCTTACGGCTATCTGTTATTATGCGGACAAAGTGCACCCTGTGATGACACGACGATAATAATTTGTGATGAAGATGGTTTGAGAGATTGTCTTGAGGGTGTTCAATATCAGATGGAGTGAGTCTTGTCAATGAAATGCTGTGTTAGGTAACCCTATACTGGTATACACTATCATCCATTTCTTTACGTAGCCTTATACAATGACAGGACATAAGTGGTCAGTCCCGGGTTGTGCTACTAATGGACGCTCGCCCGACACGCTGTTGTCTAAAATTAAAGTGAGAGCCACTTTAAAATATCTTCAGAGGTAAACGTAACGCTGATATAAAGATGTATTGATATATGTTGCAGGAAATATATTATGCTGATGCTGTGGGCCATGTAGCTATATATGTAGCTACTATAGATGTAGACTACTAGGGTAGCTGATGCCAGCCACATACATACTGCTGTCAAAGAGAAAGTCGTATCGGAACTATTCTTCCAATTAAAACTCCTGTAATTCTGAAATAAAGAACCTTATATTTCTCCCAGCTAGTATAATAAAATAAAACAAATACTTGGTGACATTTATATAGAGAATCTCACCCGAGTGTCTTTTGATATCAAATATATCAACACGAGTTGATAAAAGTGGAAAAATTCCGAGGCTTGCCGAGGATTTTTGCCACTTTTATCAACGAGTAAAAAGTACTGCAAACAGCTTCAGTAGCAGAGCCATTAATAGTTGACATTTGATTGTGACGTCATGGTAACCAGTGACATCACAATGGTCTGCAAACCATTGTGATGTAATTTCATTGCAGCGATATCTACAGTGTAGATATCGCTTGATCTCATCCAAATGATATCTCCTGTGGGAGCCAGTTTTGGATGATAAAATGTATTTAAAGCTCATGGAGCCACATTTCGTTTGAAATGTTTTAAGCAAAGGAGAGTTTTTTCAACATATTTAAATAGGGAGAATGCAAGAGTGTCCAGAACATAACTGGGGTACAACTTTTCGAGACAATAGTTTCACGTTCATGTGTTTTCCTTCCTCAGTTTACAAATCACTGATATCTGTAACTCTATACAACGGTAACTTCGTGGAATTATCTCTGGAAATCCTCAGGCAAATGTCAAGAAATTGATAATAAAAAATATTATGACTCACTTCAATAGTTCTACTGTTACCACAAGCGATATGTAAATGTATAGGCTTGCTGGCAGTCAGTCACTGTAGCAGTGCTTATGTCAGGGCCACAGGGCCTCAGGGCTGATGCTTCCTTCAATGGATTGTACACGATGTCTTGAAGGATGATGCCAACGGGTGTTAATAAAACACTGTCACAACATTTTGAGCTATATATCATCTTAACATTATGTCTTTAATGACTGTCAGATTGAAAACAAATCTCCGTTTGGATAATAAATATTGTAGCAAATGTGTATTACATTGATATAGAATTTAACAAAACTATACCATGGTGATAAAGAATGTTACATAACGAACAGCTCGGGATGAAGAATTATGGTGACCAGATTCATTGAACGAACACTACGTAATGATGAAAGTAAGAAAACGAAAACTTCGCGCTGAAGAAACTAAATTATGGTGAAAAAGATGATATCTGAATTACTAACGTCACTGCACTATTTGTAAAATATGATAACAACTGATTGGAATATTTAGTTTTACTTTTAATTAATCCCATTCCCCCCAAAATATATTCGTGCGATATGCACACGTGACGGGATCAACCATGACGTAAGCGATGGCGTGGGCGGAGTGTGTGTGGGAAAGCTATTAGCAACTACACCACAAGAGCACATTGGCGCCACAGATAAGATTTACGGCTATATAAAGATGGAGGGATAACATTTATTCAAATCTAAAGGGCACTTTTAAAAATAGTTGAAAAAATATACATTGGGACAATAAAGATTGTAGCAAATATGTAGTATAATGATGCAGAATTTAACTGAAGTGCATGGTGACAAAGAGTGTTACATAACAAACTCATCAGGATGAAGAAACTAAAGTATGGTTAACACATTCATTGAAGTCGTCGACATGTATTTAGAAGTTGGGAGAAC